ACGTTAGTTTAGTAGTAGAGAGAAGAAGAAGAAGAAGAAGAAGAAGAAGAAGAAGAAGAAGAAGAAGAAGAAGAAGAAGAAGAAGAAGAAGAGATAATCAACGTACAGGGTCGACGACGACAGTGGTAAGGTTGTGCTTTTCAATCATGTCTGACAAGACATCAATCGTCTCCACGGACCCTAGCATGCCTATATTGCAGTATTGTCAGTCATTTCCAGAGAAAAAAAAAGAAGAAAAGAATACAAAATGAAAGAAATCAAAGAAATTACCCGTCTTGACGACATCCACGCCAATGTCCTCCACCACGGCATCAATCTGCCTCCCCACAAACTCAGCCGGCACAACATGCACGCCCAAGACGCCCTTTGTATTTTGCACCGTGAGCGCCGTCGTCGCCGTCATGGCGTAGCACTGATGCGCCGCCAGCACCTTTTGGTCCGCCTCTAGTCCTCTATTATTTTTTGTCAACGTCGTTATTAGCCAAAGGGGAAAAAAAAATTGCTTCAACTCTGAGAAAAAGCTCTTCAAAAAAAGTTCCTGGTTTGAACTTACGCCCCGCCAGAGGGATCGGAGCCGGCGACGACCAGCACCCTGCCCTGAACCATAGTTCCTGAGAAAGTCAAATCGTGGAAGCTGGATAAAAGCGGAAATGGTGAGCAAGTTGCAAAGACTACTGTCGAGATGGACACAAGTAATGGGCAATGTCGAGATGATGGAAGCTAATGTATAAAGACTCATTGACGCCATATTTCACTCACAGATACAGTGGGGTCCGGCCACAGTAGGCTTTCGGAGCGCCGCCCGCGACAAGCCGCGCCGTATTCACAGGTTCATCAGCGTACAAGACTGGAAATAATGTATATATATAAATTCAATGTTTAAAAAAAAATCAACCAACCAGAGACTAATCCAGACTAAAAGTGGACAAAGTCTTGTAGAGAGACAAGATTTCAGCGCTCCTACCCGCCTATTCTCTTTCCGCCAGGCCAGCCCATGAGCCGCTCTATTTCCCCGTCTCTGGATGTTGCACCCTGACGCCATGCTGTGCTAACAGAGAATAAACAAGGAAAAAAAGCAAAAGAGACAAAAAGACAAGAAAAAAAAAAAGAAAAAAAAGGCGGAAAATGGACAAAAGAAAAAAGTTAAAGAGAGAATTGTCAAATAAATACAGAATCCGACTAATGCCAGAAATATAAACAAGTCTAGCGCCTCAAGTTAAGAGGCGGCGGTAGCATGCTGTTCCGGAGATACTCGGTCGGTTCGCTCACGCTGCGCTGCCTCTCGGTGCGATTATCATCGCTATTCAGACTATTGCCGCTGGAATGGCCTTCTCCGTCTCCGTCTCCGTCTCCGTCCTCCTCCCCGTCCTTTTCATTCTTCTTTGCCTGCTGGAGCTTTTGGCGCTGCTGCTCCTGTTTCTGCGCCCGTTTCGAAATGGCCTCGTCCTCGTCCGATTCCTCCTCGCTGCTGCCCTCCTCGTCCTCATTGTCCGATTCCTCAAACACAATCTGGCGCATGACATTCTTGTCGAACAAATCAATCACCATTCTGCGCACGCCCAGGCGGTAGTGGTTCCATTCCATCAGACCCATGACGTATCTAAAAAATTCGGTGCTGCGAAACGCCGACGGCTTGCGCTGCTTGAGCTTTTGTAGTTCCATCACGGCCCTCTTATAAATGACAGTGTTTCCAAGATCTACCAGAAGCTCCACAATGCGCCCGTTGACTTCTTCGTCAGTGACCAGAGGGGCCGCTACGGCGTTTTCCCCCGGTGGCGTCGCCGTACGAGCCCGCGGTGGCTCGCGAACTGTCCGTTGTGTAAAGGGTAATGTGATGGAAGATGCCCCGATATGGTCCCACGGTTTCAACGACAAAAGCTTTGTGAGATCAGTTGGGATGCAGTACCCAAGCGAGTGGCCCATCGGCGTCGTGTTTGCATCCCATCCATGTTCAGACAGAATCTCCAGGCCGTGCGTAGATCGAGAAATTAGCCCTAGAACAAAAAAGGCCGTCCCTCGGAGGCTCATGACTTGATGAGACTCGGCGATGCGGATAATCTGCTCAACCACGTCGCTGGCTTCCAGGAATGGCGCTCCAAGCTCCATGCAGCCAACGTTGCCTACCGCCCACATACAGCCCTTGACCTTGGTGATGAGTTCGGGGTCCTCTGCTTGCATTCCATAATCGCGAATCGTCGCCGCAAACTCATCAAAGTGGCCCTTGTCTCGCAGCAACTTGCAGCCTTCCGTTGTTCTCGTCAGCTCCCGATAGAAATGAGGTGGTACATGACTGTCGTGGAATTCTGCCCCTGATTCGGCTTCGTCAAACATGGTGGATTGCTGTCCTTGCTCATCCGAGTCAATCAAGAACGACTTGGCGAGAGATGCCTCAATCACGCCGACGTAGCTGTCGTTTCTACCCAGGAACCAGTCATCCATCTCATTGCTAATGTAGTCGAGTCCATCCAGATAGTGATAACCGATCGAGGTTGAAAGGAATCGCAAAAGGAGCGGCGCGCCAATCTCGCCGAGATGATCTAAAGCTGGTCTGCATTCAACAACGTATTCCAGATAAGTCTTTCGGTTGCACGCCTTTTCCAGAATCTTGACAGCAGTTGCGCACACATCAATCTCAGGGTCATATAGCTGTGTCGACAGTAGCTGAATGGCCCACCGAGAATCACTGACATCTCCCAGCGCGTTCGTGGCGACTGGGCGACGAAGCGTACACTTGCGAAGCACATCGGTCGCGTAGATTCGAGTCTCCTTGGTTCCAGCAGTGAGAGCCTTGGCGAGCAACACGCGGTGATGCCCTTGCAGCGTATAATCAAAGTTTGTCAGCAAAAGCTTGATCAAGTCAGGCCGCTGCTTCAAGTCGACAATGTGGTACATCATATTGAACATCTTCCATCGTTCAAGAAGCATCAAGCCTTTAGGGTCGCCAGTCAGGACACCAAGCATGGCAAAGTACCCGTTGCAAAGAGTGTCGGTAAGGCGGTCTTTGGCGAATAGCGGAAACTGCGCAGTGAGTCCGCTTGTTGGGTCACATTGCGCGAGACACTCTGCCATTTGGCGGACCAATTTGCTGTCGGCCAAAATGTTGACGCCTTCGTTGGACTGTAATAGAGAGTGCATCAAGGCACAGCCAGCCTGCACATACTTTTGTGTATTGCGCGTATTTTTTATTTCAGAAAACTTGTACTTGAACGGCCGGTAGAAGCTCATGATTCTCTTCATCCATTTCGATGCCCTTAAAGCCTCTTCCAGCCGCTTGCCATTTTGTAGTGGGCCACCGATGATCTTCATGATAATGTCCCAGTTCCATTTCGCATAGTTGGAGCTGTTGAGCACGCCAGAGTCAATCAGCAACTGACGAAAAGTGGTATCATCGAATATGAGGGCATTATTCGCTCGAGGCTGGCCTTCCAACGCGGCCAAATCAATCATGCTATCGCTTGAGGGAAGAATACCGGCCATTGTCTCCGACGGCGCACTTCTGTACAGTGTTTTGCTGACGCTACTGATCTGATACACAATGCTAGATGCGACAAAATGCTCGTCATTGTCGAATTCTGTGGCTGCTTTGAAAAGCTCAGGCAGTAGTTGAAGCTCCGCGCTCCAAGACGGTGGCAATAGCCGGCTGGCAAGTTTCAGAACCTCGGAGAGTAACAGCGATACTTTGCGCTTCAGCATAGCATCTTCTTCTGTTTGCGCAATCTGCAGCAAGCTACGCAATAGTCCGGCTTTGATGAGTACAGCCAAAATGAGTGCAGTATAGTGATCGACGAAATTCTGTTCACTCCCGTCGTCCTCCATATATGACGACGGCTTTTCCTTCGCATCGCCCGATTTTAGGTTGACAACGCGACCGTACGTGGTCAATCGACGACCAGCAAGAAAAGACGTCGCCCAAGCAGGGGGCTTGATTCGTAGCATCGAGAACAAGAGATCGAGTACAGTTTCTCGCACATATTCGTTCGGGAGAAGCATGCTGTAGATGAGAGACCGAATAGGCCGGAAGTCGTACATGCTGAGAGTCATGATACCAGCCCATGACCTCATGGCAGTGGAGATTGCGCGGCAGCTCTGCTTCAAAATGATTTCGTTTGTGCCTAGGGGATCTGTAAATGATGCGAATAGGGCATCAAGACCGTAGCTGGGCTGCAAATATTTGCGCTTCTGCGGCGTGTCGAGGAGGAACAGGAAGACGGCAGTTAAGCTTTCGGAAGCCTTGTATGAGCCTTCAGAGAGGGCGTCCGACAAGGGTCCGAGGCCGCCTGACGCTATCAGCAGAGGAGGATCCCTGACAAGAATCTCGGCCAGGGTCTCGATACAAATCGGACGCAGACGGTCAATGTTCTGATCGTGTGCCGGGATAGTCGCACGTCGGTCGTCGCCTTGCTCAGCGACAGCGACGATGGTTCTGACGACAGCTCTCGATATTTCCTTGACACCGTCTTTGACATCAAGAAAAGCTCTGACAAATTTGAGAGCTTGCTCGCGCTCCACATCAGCCTTGCGGTAGTTATTGAGCGAACGGACGACGAGGAAGTCGGTGTTGAGGTCTCGAATCTTCCTGAGCGAAGCCAAGTCGGAAACGGCATATCGCGTGACTCGGTAGCCAGCGGCCACCACTTCTCGACTTTCACTGAGCAGCATCATTTGCATGCGCATGCCAAAGATGGACCACACCAAGTCATACTTGATGGCGGGGTGTCTCTTGAACAGGCCTACAAGTTGGTTGGCGCGGCTGACGTAGTACTCGGGCGTCATGCCTTCAACCTCGAGAGCTTGCAGCAGTTCGGCCAGGGCAAACGAGGGGCTCTCGGCCGCTTCGTCGACCTCGGACTCGCCTGCAATGGATTTGCTAGGGCTTTGATTCGATCGGACACCGTTGGACAATGAGCTATCCTGGGTCCATGTGCGTGTCGGGGTGGCGGGTCGCGTGCGCTGTTGCTGTGTATCTAATATTTTGCTGCGTAATTCGCGAATTCGCAGGTTGCTGGCACTCAGTTCAGCCTCGACTCGCTGGCGTTGATCCTTGGTCTGCTTGGCCTTTTTGACATTGAGAGCCTCGAGCATGTTCTCGCTGCCCTCCTTGATCTTCAACTCGCGGATGAGCTTGTCTTTGAGCTGGAGTAAATGCTGCTCGGATGCGTAGTCTGGTGATTCCTCCATGACCTTGTCCATGACGCCGCCCGTGTACACGGATCCGACGTCGAGCCGGCTACCTGCGCGGCTGGACATGATCTGGCTCCGAAGCTCGGAGCTGAAACTACCAGGGCCGGCGGCCGGATTCAGACTGCTCCCGCGGGGGCCAAAGGACATGGCGGATGTGGAGAGATTTCGCGCCGAAGCTGCGTTGGCAGCACCATTGGGTGGCTGGAGGCCGTCGCGGTCGAAGCTGGTGCGGCCATTCTGCGGTTGGGAGGTCTGGCCGGGCTGCTGCCCAACACCGCCCTTTTGGCCTACATCGGAGGAATTGGCGAGCATGGCGGCGTCGTCTTGCCCACCGATTGGGACGGGGCCCTCTGGTGGGCGTGCTGCATCCGTGGGTAGCTATGGCACGGCTTTTCAAGGTTGAGAAGAACAGGTTGGACGGGAATCGGCCAGGCGTCGCGCGGTGTGCCACATCCGATGTGACTTGTGGTATCGGAGTCGGAGTAGAAGGCCAGCGAGTCGATGAATTGTGTTGGAAATGCGAGGGCCTCAGAGGTTGAAGCTGATGTCGAGCTGGGTGATGGTGGGAGAGGACGATGGCTGAGGACGATGGTTGAGATGGTTGAGAGGATGAATTGTTAGCAGTGAGATACAGCCCACTGGCAAGTCTACCTTTAGTCGGACGTGGTTATGCGGGGCGCAAGGCAGCCAAAAGCAAGTATGGGCTGGATGGAGAGTTGGGTAGTTATTTGTTAGTGCGCCTCGCCAACCAGCTTGCGTCAGAATCAAAATGAGGGGGAAATCTGAAAAAATCCGAACCAATTACTCACGGTTCCTTGCTCACTTTATCATGTATCGTTGCACAAGAGCTGCGACCCATGACTTGGCTGGCTAGCCATGTCATGCCAGGCACAAGTGCTATGCGCGACAGGAACACATCATCATAAATGTGTAAAGTCACTCTGTGGTTTTCACAGGACTTGACGGCATGTCGATCCCCGATGACACATTCCTCTCCCTTTTTTTTAAGGGGGATCTCTGTCGTTGCCCTTGACTGCGATAACCGTGTTCCAATATCCGCCATGGCCCCGTTCAGTCATCACTATTGGCGGAAACCAGAGTAGGCCCGCGATGAGATGATCAAAAATGAAAGGGTGTTGTACAAGTCATCCGCGAATCCCTGGTTCGTATCTGGAGTATCTGGAACGAAGACGATTATTGCGTGAACAAGTTGGTAATGTTGAAGAAGAGTGCCAACGTGTATAGTAGGAGCCAAGGATACAATTCCTAACGCATACAGTCATTCTCAGGTCTTTTTCGCATTGCGACTCGACTCAATTTAATAAACAAATAACGCGGCCAATGCTATGATTTTTCGTCTCGAAATGACAGAGACGCATTGCAGTACTGCGAGACTCTTGCCCATTTCACTACAAACTATGTCGCTCGGCACCGTGCGCCATTTCTTTGACCGAAATTTCTGCATCACACCAACCGGGGAAATCAGATCATCAACGGCCAGCGGGAAAGCGACCATTGAGCTTGCTACTCCAGTCCAGTCTAGCTTCGGCGTCGGCTCTCGCGTCTTTCGAGACGCGGCCCTGGGTTTTCCCAAAAGACCCCTCATTGGAGGAAAAGCGAACAATAGGCAAGTCTAACATGCAGAAGGGAAACATGGCGTGACTTGAAAGAATAAGCCATCTCGCCGCAGAAGCCAAGCCCGTGCGTGCATCTATCTCATCAGCGGCCCCCGTGGATCCAGGCGGCCCTCCGCGTGCTGGGTGTCGGCGGGCTCCGACTCGCATCTGGCGTGGGCGATCCCCCCCCAGCCAAGTGACTTTTCCTCATGCAATTCGCCCCATATGGCAACGTTTGAAAATACGGCGGTTTTTGCTCCTCATTGTTAGCGTCATAATATTAGTGGCCAGGCTGGGTGGCCGCTGCGTACTCGATCTCGCGTGGACAAGTGGACGTGGCCGAGCGAACCAACCCGTCCCGGGGGCATGTCCGGACTCGTCAAGGGACGGCGCCGCTGATGGCTTTATAAATAATCGTGCTGACCCCATGGCCTGGTATGGCATGCTTATCTTTATCGCGTCAATCAAATCTTGATTTTTTTTTTGGCAGAGATTATCTTTTCGTTTCACAGTGCTGCCACGCCACAAAACCTTGCACAACCGGGCGCCTATCTCAAGCCACGGGGACATCCGACGAGAAACAAGGTTCCAAGACCATCGCATCCGGCTCTCATATCTTCACGTTTCCATCCTCCTAAATACAACTTCATCTCCCTCTTTGCGCCAAATTTCTGCATTATTTCTTCTTTGAGCCTGGCTTTGCTTGCATTTGCTTGCAAACGAGACTTTTGCGTCATCCATCTTAACCTAGCTCAACCCCCCCCCCCCCCCTTGTAGCTCTATCCCCCCCGACGAGACACGACACATCAACAAGTCGAGATGCCCTCAGTCACAGCTGCCCGCTACGGCAAGGACAATGTACGTCTATTCAAGACGCACCGGGACCCCAAGACGGGCGTGCACACGGTAACGGAAACTGTCGTGTGCGTGCTCCTCGAGGGCGCCATCGAGACGTCCTACACGCAGGCCGACAACTCAGTCGTCGTCGCCACCGACTCGATGAAGAACACCGTCTTCATCCTCGCCAAGCAGCACCCCGTGACGCCGCCGGAGCTGTTTGCCGCGACGCTCGGCGCGCACTTTATCGAAAAGTACAGCCACATCCACGTCGCCAACGTCGACATTGTGACCAAGCGCTGGGTGCGCATGCACGTCGACGGGCGGCCGCACCCGCACAGCTTCGTCAAGGAGGGCGAGGAGAAGCGCAACGTGCGCACGCGCGTGAGTCGCCGCGGCGGCATCGCCGTCAACAGCGGCCTCTCGGACCTCACGGTGCTCAAGAGCACCGGCTCCGCCTTTCACGGCTTCGTCCGCGACGACTTCACCACCCTGCCCGAGACGTGGGACCGCATCATGTCCACCGACGTCGACGCCAGCTGGGACTGGAGCGTCTTCCCGGACCTGGCCGCCGTCCGGGACGCCGCGCCCGAGTTTGACCGCGCCCACGAGGCCGCCCGCAACATCACCTTCAAGCGGTTCGCCGAGGACAACAGCGCCAGCGTCCAGGCAACCATGTACAAAATGTCCGAGGACATTCTCAAGGCGGTGCCCAATGTCAACAAGGTCTACTACTCGCTTCCCAACAAGCACTACTTTGAGCTCGGTAAGTTAGCTAATTCGGAACGTACACGATATGTAATGAGACTAACACGACAATCAGACTTGAGCTGGCACAAGGGCATCAAGAACACGGGCAAGGATGCCGAGGTGTATGTTCCTCAGAGCAACCCCAACGGCCTCATCAAGGTCGAGGTTTCTCGCGATGGCCCTTCTTCCAAGCTGTAGATTAGAACCCGATGATTTGAATCCAAGCCCTTTATTCTGTTTCATTGTAGGTAGTTGCGTTTTTCCTCACCATCATCAAATTCAATACTGCGTATTATACGTGCATCCCAGACTAGATAGCAGCCCCTGTCTGCTTGCTGCGTGAGAGATGTCCGGGGAATTTGTATTTAATTGGAGTTGTAACCTCAGATTGAAATTTGGTTTGACCACATCTCAATACAAACAGTTCAAGTTTTTGAGTAATACTGATGAAGCAATCATATTGTAGCGGAAAACTATCCCACGGGTAGTATTTGGAGCAAAAAGCGCTTCTCTAGATATTATACAGATGTTACATGATGCATCGGGGTTTCCGCATCCACATGCACACCGTCACCATATACACGCGATAAAGTTGGCGACATCCCCCTCATAACCTCTTGGCGTCCGAAGCGCGTATGCTCTCGACATTGGTCTCCCAGCCCTGCTTGCCCACAGGCACGCCTCCAAACCGCACCAGATTGTCCTTGTACGGGTGCGCGTCGCCTTCAAACGCCTTGAGGCGCGCGAGGCGCTTGTCGCGGAGCCTGTTCTTGGGGAGCATGCCGCTGACGGCCTTGCGGAGCACCTCTGCGCCGCCGTGCTTCTCCATGAGCACGTCCATGGTGACGGCGCGCAGGCTTCCCGGCCGGGTATTGTGGCGGTAGTACGTCTTGCGCCACTTCTTGTTGCCCGTCGTGTACAGCGCCGCGCAGTTGGTTGCCACGACGTAGTCGCCGCAGTCGGTCGATGGGTCAAACGTCGGCTTGTGCTTGCCCATCAGCAGCACGGCGATACGCGACGCCAGACGACCGAGCGACGGCGGCGTCACGTCGTCGGCGGAGGGGGCGGTCGCGCCCGCGGGCGGGCTGGCCTTGGCGGACGTGGTCAGCGGTGTGGTGGGCGTGGTGCCGGTGGTCGCTGAAGCGGCGGCGGCAGCGACGGCGGCCTTTTTCGTCGTCAGACCGGCGTGGGGGGCTTTGGCTGATATCTGGTGCCATACTCGCGAGTAGGCCAATCGTGTCTATGGAAATAACGGATTAGCTGGCGCCATCTCTTTCGCACTGGATATGGCGATCGAGGAGACGACTTACCATGCCAATTGTTTGTGACATGATGCGGAGTTGGGCCTCGATACGAGGTCAATCCTAACGTTGGGGTTTCTGCACGTAGAAAATCCAACTACAAGGCAGATTAGAAGCCTGACCTCCGTTGTTATACCGCCGAATCGCTCGCTTGTTCGTTAAAATGTCGCCAATGCTCACGAGCTTCAAAAGTTTAGCACATAGCCAAAAGATGGCTGACTAACCATATACACCATGAGGGTCACCTGATGTACCTATCGAAAGAAAACGCCCCCAGCCTCAGGGAATCTTATCAGCGGGTCGCAAGTCAGCAGCAGGCTCTAAGCCCGCTAAATAGCAAGCCCAAGCCCGCTAGAAGGCAATACAAGGTTTGCTCAGCTTCCGAATCAAGGGGCTTTACATTCTGATATAAACATATAACTAAAGCTAAACGCGGCGCTCCACCGGCTAATCCGACTCTACTTAGGCAGAGCTTCTCTGAGAATTGTCTCGATCTGGCAGTGCCGTGAGCTCTCCAACGCAACGTTGATGGCACACGCTTTCTGTTTTCCCCACTGTTAATTGCCACCCAGATTCGACGGAGACGGCTCTGGAAAGGCACCAGGCATTTCTGAAAACTTCTTCAGCCAGGTGTTATTCTCCAAGCCGGCGAGCGGACCTCGTTTGAGCAACACGGTTTTCTTGCGTTTCTGCACGGCAGCTCGGGCACCAAGTCGATGGCCGGCAACGCTGAGTGCTGGTACTGCGGGTTGCTTCATGGCTGCAGTCTCACCTGCACCCCGTTCTCTGGTGGACAACTCGATGTTGATTGCCTCTTGAACCACATTTCCCTCGTCGCCTCGGCCTCCAGGGTTCAAGTTGGGGTGTTGCTCCATTTGCACCGTGACTGGTACAGCATCTCCGCGCAAAGTAGGCGGCCTTGGTACAGGTCTTGCAACAATCCTTGGCTGAGCGTTTGCACGGGAAGGGTCACGCAGCCCACGTTCCTGCACCCCATACGTGCCAAATTGAATATCCTCCTTGTTTGGGGGGGCGACTGGCTGCAACTTTGGGACGTTTATGCGCTGTGTTGTCAACCCGTTGCCGTCAAAAACCTTGATGAGCATTTGCGCTGCCGTCGCACGCTTGGTATAGTCGATGACGACTAGTTCATGAACATCATACAAGTACTCCCAATAATTTTCAGCCAAAGCGAAAACCCATTGCAGTTGCTGGCTATAGTCGTGGCAGGTGAGAGAGCGATACCCGTATAAATCGAGGGTCCAGGCAATGGTCATGAATAGCGACCACATATCCACGGCAGTTGTCTGCTGCTCACGCTTATAAATTTCTGGAGCAGCAAACTGCGGAGTGCCGCAGAAAGTTCGTGCGCCCTGCTCCCAATTGCTAAGACCAAAATCTCCGAGACGGAAGGACAGGTGATTGTCTCTAAAAGTGTAAAGCACATTGGCAGGCTTCACATCGCGATGAATGAGACCCTTCGAGTGGAGATAGTCGAGCCCCTTAAGTACGTCATGGTAGACTCTCAGAGCCAGTGGCTGATCGGCAATATGCAGAGGACGGTCTCGCCTCTCAACGAGATTTTCGAGGCTCCCATCCTGCAGGCTCATAACGATGCGCATAAGAGATTTGGGCTCATCAATCGTGTATCCGAGAAATTTGACGATGTTGTCCTGTTATCTGTTAGTATGGGCAAGTGACGCTGCTGCAGGCGAAGACGGACATGGAGTAAGCCCTCATGGATTTTCATCTCTCGTAAAGTCGAGCGGTGGAATTTCTGGACTTTGACAGCAACGACTCCTTTTGTCTTGGCGTCGAAGGCCCTGAACACGGTCCCAAACCCGCCGTGTCCAATGGGACCCCCCTGAAGCACAAACCTGGCCGCGTCGGCCGCGTCGATCTGGCTGGGGACATCATCGTCAGCTGCTTGTCGGGCGTTTGCGTACTCATCTATTACAGGCAAAGGTAGAGTTTCGGCCATGTTGGGATGTCTCAGCAGTTCAGCTTCGCGCCAGGCCTGCAAGGCGGAAGCTAGCTCAGCCGATGGATAACGCCAGACAATGTCAAACTCGGCTTTGTTCTGTTGGTCGACTTCAATCTCAATCCTGCGGAGACGACAGCTGCTGCCGCCTGCCTGACGCAAGCCGCGACTTAGTAGCTTGCGAGAGTTGTCATCACCATATGCTTGGCATGAGGCAGTGCTCGAATTATCGAAAAACATGATTCCTTGATTGTCTGCTTCGGCCAGGAATGCGCAGTGAGTCCTGGAGATGGCCGTCCACTCCACAGGCATCGCAATGTCCCCGGCACGACCCATTGTCACGATACAACAAGCTGTTTTATCCGCAGCTCCCGACTTGTACAGGCCGAGGTCGAGGAATTGCTCCCCATCGCGCACCGTGACAAGGTGGCTATTTGTATAGAAGTTGACGATTTGGCTCGCGGCATGGCTCCTTGGCTTCAGAGAAAACAGAACGTTTGCACACATTTTGAAAGATTACTCTACACAACCAGAATGATGTCGGAGAGCATGGCTTCGCAAGCTAGCAGCGAGGACTCTGGCTATGATATAAACATATGAACGAGTCAACTGCATGAGCCGCGGTGGTTTATGAAACAAACATTGTCCTAGGCCATGTGTCACTCAATATAGCCATTGGCTGTCGATTCCCGGTTGAACATGGCGATTTCTAAATTAGGTAACCACGCCGCAGCACTTATAGCCTAGGCCGCTGCGCCAGGCGGCCCGGTGTTGATTGGATGCGGTGCCGCCAGAGGCCGAAGAGGGTTGCCTGACCGAGTTACAGGTCAGCCCCTAGGTACTACGCGGATGTCTCGCTAGCCGCCGAGAGCAGTTGGTGTTCAACAATCAGCAGGGCAACAATGCACAGTGTGTCAACGTGGTGCGGCGTGCTAGCACTGTGCGGGGACCACAAGCTGGCACCTAAAGATCCTAAGCTACAGTGCTGCGAAGCCTCGTCAACGCCTTTGTTTAACAATCGCCATGTTTCGAAGTTTCTTGAGTTTTTTTAGGGGCCAGAACTCTGACCTTCCACCTGAGTACCAGACAGTCGATCCTCTCAATAGACAAGACGGACAAGAAGCACCCACAACCGAACGAGGCGACGCCCGTCTATTGGAGCCGGACTATGTGTCTCCCACAGAACAAGACGACACGCCCCGAAATCGATTCGACTACTACGTCGACTTACGAAGGCTTCAACAATTAGTTGAATGGCAAATGCGACATATATCACCCGGGCTCTATGGAGACCTGGATTCGCAAGTCGAAGTCGCCCGTGACTGGGTTATTGACTGCTGGAAGAGACATGGCATCTGGGCCGCTTCGTGGCGTGGCACTGGCCCAAGTCACAATGACAAATGGCCATGCCGTGACTCGGGGGGCGTGCCCACTTCTCTGCTCTCTCTGGAACTGGAGTGGGAGATAGAACACCTCGTCGAATTACACAGGCCGACGCGCATTCCAGAACTCTTCGGCAGCCAATACGTGCCCCCGGCCCGCGAAGTGCCGCTTCAATGGGGGTTCGACCACCTTGTTCGTACGGCGTTATACAACGTGAGTAAGCGCTGGAGGAGGGCTGGCTTTCGTTGCAGTGGCGTGGATCAGCCCGGCGTCAGGTTTTGTCGGAATCTGAAGTTGCTGTACGCCTCGCTTCCAATGCCTGCTCGCGAAAAGCTAGATTCTTTGGACGCGTGCTGCTGGGCGGACTTGTTTCGCGGGGAGACGAGGCAAAACCAGGCTCCGCGAACTGACATGTTTGGCCGGATCATTGGGCACGCTCAAGCGAATGCGAGCCCAACCGCGGACAGCTTGGAGCTTGATCCTCTGCAGACCTACATCTGGGGCCGGATCGATGGGGACGCGCAAGCGAGTTCGATGTCGAGTCCAACTGCGGACGGCTCGGTGCTCGAGCCTCCACGAACCACTATATTCGGCCGGGTCATTAGGGACGCGCAGGCGAATGCGATGCCGGCTCCAACCGCGGAAGGCTCGGTGCTCGAACCTCCACGGACCGGCATATTTGGCCGGATCAATGGGGACGCGCAGGCGAATGCGATGCCGGCTCCAACCGCGGAAGGCTCGGTGCTCGAGGAGATTGGTCAAATGGTGCAAACCCGGAGGGCGGCTCGAAGAAGTGGCCGCGTTGCTCGTCGCCCGCCTCGTCGACGGGGCATTGTTAAAAGGCGCAGGGGCGTTGCCGAAAGGCGCCGCCGGGGGTCATGAGAGCTCCTTGTGTCATATCGACCTACGTCCACATTCAATGAAGTTTGAATGAAAATTACTCATTTTACACTTATTTGAGGATGCAATACCCCCGAGCATGGCACATGGCCAATTGTCTCAACTTGACCCCGAGGTAGCTTCATGGGCTTTTATCGCAAGGATATGGATCTGTCAAATGTGGCAGTCGCGAAGCAAGATGAAAAAGTCGGTATGATATACGTCAGAAGGCGTAGGGAAGCCCCCCGAAGACGCCCGGTTGTCCAACTTCACAAAGACTAGCACGCCAGCAAGGCAGCCTGTCGTTCTGCTTTGGCACTAAGTATCATCTGACCCTTTCAGAATGTTACGTCTCTGTCCAGTAGTCAGATATTGCTCTCCAGCCGTCATTATTCAACGACTCTCAGATACAACGGGATCAGGATACCCACGTCAATTTCCGGACCCAACGTTGCTTGAGAGAATCAGCAAAAAGGCTGATTCATGAAAAAACATGCTCCATATCGTTTGGACGACATTTCTTAGTATTCAATAAAGTGATGCAGCCAAAGAAATGGGTAATTTCATTCTGTACAATGGCAAATTGGTAGCCAGCTTCATCATAGTCTCACCATCAGGATGAGTGTGCGGTGAAAGCTCTCTACAACGGCCAGCGGAAGAACAAGCCACTGCTGCAAGAAGACTTCCCGCCGGCGCTGGAGCGGCTAGCCGCGGATGCAGAGGCGAAGTCGACCGAGCTTGAGCAGAAGGTGCTGATTTTCACCCGGATGAGGCTGGCGGAGCTGTCGCAGACTGTCGTGAAGCAGTTACTGCGATCATGTTAAAACTCAGCGGCCACTTGCCAAGAAGTGACCGCCTATACGAAGCGTTTCGTTTTTATTAAATAGATTTCTCAAATTTAAATTGATAATAATAACATTCTTTTGTCATCGTTTATTTATGTGGAATATCAACTCGACTTACTTAGCTTAGTCATTTAGGCGCTTTGTGCTATCCTGTCATGCCGAAGAGTCTTATTTATAACTAATGATATGGTTGCAAGATTATTAATACACGTACTCGTAGATTTTATTTACCATACTCACATCTATCACCTCTCAGATATTAGCAGCTTTGATACCAACAGCAAGATTGATTATAGAGCCTGGCCTCCGTTGTTGTGCCTTTTAAATAATCGCTTGATCGTTGAAATGTCGCTAGTGCTAGCGAGCATTCAAAGTGCAGCGCATCCCCCACATACGCCAAAAAGGACGGCTGACTAACCCGCACATACTTCGGGAGCCTTTATTAGCGGGCTGGGACCAGCTTTTGGCAGGCTTTTAGCAGGCTTTTCGCGGTCTATTAGCAGCCTACAGGAGCCCAAGCCCGCTAGAAAGCAACAAAAGATTTGCTCGGCTTCCGAATCGATGGGGCACCTAACTATTTCGCCATGCACAAACTGCGTAACTTGTACCTACCTAGGGAGTCGGTAAGGTAGTTAGTTGGCTAGGTATAGATATGACGGCACCGTCAAGCCATGGATTTCAAAGCACAGGTCCCGCCACCCTACACAGCTCACCACACACCTCGTAGATATTAATCTGCCATGCTCACATCTGCAACCTCCAGGACATTGGCAGCTTCAACTATTTGTCTCGTCACTGGATATTCCATCTATCGCCATCAAAAAAACTCATTTGCTCATGAGACTGCTGCGAGTAAGCATCTCGCCTCGCGCGCTCACTCACCTGATGGCGGAACTGACGGCAATGCACAGAATCCCCCGGCAAAATGACTGTCAACCACACTTTCCAGGTAAGCATTTACATGATTTGCCAATCTCCTTGTCTCTCCCTTTGTCATCCCCTTTATCTCCTCTCAAACCACATCGACCTTTATTGTCTGTTTCTCATTGCACCGCCTCGGTTACGACTTTTGGCTGATGAAACACCCGCGCACCCCCCCCTATACGCAGACCCTGTTTGCCGTGCCGTTGTCCTGCGACGGCTGTGTCAAGTCGGTTTCGGACGCGCTATACGGCTTGGGAGGCATCACAAAGGTTGAGGGCAATCTCAAGGATCAATTGATTGCGGTTGAGGGTTCTGGTACGCTTCACCACCATGCCCGCCCTGCCGATATCCGATCGCACGCACATGTGCGCACACATGTTTTTGCGATAACTAACACTTCTTCTCTCTTCTCTCTCCCACAGCGGCTCCATCCAAGATTGTCGAGGCGATTCAAGAGACCGGAAGAGATGCCATCCTGCGAGGCTCAGGATCCTCAAACAGTACGTCGCAGTCTCGCTCCGCCTCTTTCGTCATTGGCCGTATCGCGTTCGCAATCGGAGCAAGATTATGTAGAAACAGACACGACAGCTAAAAAGTAAGATTGCCGATTGGCTAACATGGAACTGCGTGCAGGTGCTGCCGTGAGCATCCTTGAAAGCTTTGCCGAATCGGCGCAGCAGCATGACAACGACCCCAGTCGCGAGGTTCGTGGCCTCGCGCGCATGGTCGAGGTCGGCTCGGGCAGAACCTTAGTCGACCTAACCGTTCGCGGCGTCTCCCCGGGCACATACCGCGCCACTATCCGCCAGTATGGCAACCTCCAACACGGCGCTGAGTCGACCGGCCCCGTCTGGACGCAGCAGCAAGACGAGAGCCAGCCGAAAGGCTTCATCGGCGTCGTCGAGGTAGGAAAGGACGGGCGCGGCTCCGTCTTTGCGGACCGCGAGTTCTACATTTGGGAGGTCATTGGCCACGCCATGGTTCTCACGAAGCAGAAGGAAGACGACCGCGACGACGGACGGCAGCCGCTCAAGAACGATGCGGATACCGTGGTGGGTGTCATTGCGAGGAGTTCGGGCATGTGGGACAATGACAAGACGGTGTGCTCGTGCACGGGAAAGACGCTGTGGGAGGAGCGCAAAGACGAAGTGGCCAAAGGCATGCTGTAGAATATCGCGTGGCTCGGTGGTACACTTGTACAGAAGGCTGCATAGCAGGGCGTTGGGGATGGGTGAATATTGAGCGGCGTTGAATGGGAATTGAAGCGACGCCAATAGGCTGCATAGTAGGGCGTTGGGGGCGAGTGAATACTGAGCGGCGTTGAATGAGAAATCGAAGCGACGTGATGAAACATGTTCAGACGATCTGAGTGATGATGGCGGGACCCATTCCAATCTGACGGACGACAAGAATTTTGGTTGACATGGTTCCCAGATTGAAACCATTCGTCCGACCTTTGCCCGTACCATCTCGAACTGTGACGGATAGGGACATCTACGCGAAGCAAGTTTCAACATCTGTTTCACGCTATCCCAGGACCACTACTTACAACATCAACAAATCCTCCTTTATCAGACTAGAATGTATACAGGCTTTTGCATCAACGGTCCAGTTCGATCAGTAACCTCCGCCAGCCGTGAAGCGTCCGGCGCATAGCCGGCTTCAATCTCCGCAACGTCCATCGCCACACCATATCGTCCAGCATAACCACGCTAGTATTCAACCAGCCTACGGCAAGGTTGAGCATGAAGAACACGTTAGCCTCGCCAGGCATCGGGCTTGCCTTGCCCGCCGTCTGTCGGTTTTGCGGAGTTCTTTGACGCACTCTGTGGCAGGGACTGCGCCGTACCAACGCTTGACTGACTGTCAACTCTGCCCTAATCCGCATGGCTTCTCAAGTTGGAAAGAATTGGAGCGCCGTCATATTGCATAGTGCGCAAGACGTTCGTCCCGCAGTCAATGCCCCCCTTCGTCATTAGTCCGGCTTGAATGTGCCGAATTACGTCATTGTACGACACAAAGAGGTAAGTCCTCCCGAGACGGCCAAGATTTGTACGTGGCCCATTGATGCTGCGCCCTTCACTTTCAAATAGATCGATGGATGAATCAGTCTACAAGAGCATGACAGTAATGACAATGATGAGAGAGATTATAACATCACGTTCCGTTGAACGATGCTGGACTTTGCTGGCGATGGCGGCGGCTCCGTCGGTCTAGACTTGCTCAGCAGGTCAATGGCAAAATAATGCAAGTGTCATTCTTGAGCAAGCGAATCTCCTACTCACAGAGCTTCTTTGATTCCATCAAAGGCAGGTGACTGTTCAAAGGTACACTGAAAAGTGCACAAGGGAATCGATGTGACACCTTCGGCGGTTTCGACGGCGCGGTTCAAGTCAAAAGAAGAACGCCAATTTCCGGGGTCAGCGCAGCCTTGCGCTGCAGACACACGTCTACAAAACTTATGCGAGGCATCGAATCGCGAAAGGGCGCCGTGGTACAGCATCACGGCATCTCTCGGAGGCTAGGTGGCTTCTGCGGCTTCTGCTTGTCATTCGTACGACGTGCCACAAGAGCGTCTACTGACACGGAAATCGTCACTGAAAGAGACAATAGCTCCCCTTTCTCTTCCCTCGGCCGTCTGTTCCACTCAGAGTATACATTCAAGGGCCGAAGCTTGGCCGAACGGCCAAACGCCCCAAGGATGGTGGCCTGTCACCGCCTTGGCTCGGCGCGTAAATACTAGCGTTTACTGGATACCACGAGGACAAGAACGGCCTTTTGGGAATCGCCCCGTCTTGGAAAGATATTTTTGGCAAAGGAATAATGCGGTGTGACGGAACGATACGCTCTAGATTTGTACTCGGCCAGAGGGCTCGATGCTGTATGAAGAAGCCACAACTGGCGGTCGAGGAAAGGGCCGGTCCTCGATCTAAACATAGAAGCCGTTGCCTGCACATGCTTTTACCAGCTGGAGAATTTCTTCTTTTCGGCCGGTCATATTTATAGAAGTGATTTCAAGCTAGAGTGCAGGCTGCAGTAGTTATTGTTGGGGCGCGAGTTGAAGGATTGCCGAGATGTAACAATGCGATGCAGCTGCACGGTTCTGATCGACCCTGATGTAATTGTGCATGTCTGAATTGTTATAACCCTTAGGGGCCTGGTAAGACTCATGATATGAGTGGCATTGTCGGTCGGGAAATTGTTTGTATCCCTGCCATTAGGTACGAAATTTCCCCTTTGGTATGCAAAGAAGATAGCCCCCTGCATTCAGAATGGCAGCTTCGATAGAGACGGCAGAAGGGTGTGGAAGCCCGAGCCAGGGTTCGTCGAGATGTCACAGGGTAGAAAGTCGGGCGCTTGCGCTGGGACCAATGAGGTGGCAGAGGTGCATGTTCCTGTAACCTTATGCGTCCCAAGATAGCAACACGCTAACGGTATTGAATGCTACAACGTGGCAGCGTGCATGCCCCAGCAGCTGTGGCGTTTTGACATCGTCTTTGGTCCAGCGGCCGTCGGTTCTGGTCCTGAGTTGCACCAGTGACATATGCGGTGCCTGACGCTTCATCGATGCCATTTGGAGATGAAGGCTGCAAGAAATCACAGGGCAGGCAAAGGATTTTGAAATTAAGGCCGTCCACCGGATATGAAGCGAGATGAAGAGTCTACTCCGCAGCGTTCATTGCCGCGTGGGTTTAACTATTCAGTTAGAAAATGGCATCTCGCTCAAACTGGCACCACACGGCATAGCCGGACAGTGCAAAATATTGAGCAAGCAGGGATGATCATCTGTCAGGAGCGGGGATAGAAGCAGCTGGGATTCGGGAACAGACATGTCATGTCTGTTCGCCCAGGCTGGTCTGTGGATCGGGTATAAACCCCAGTCATGTTCGGCTCTTGCGATTCTCGTCGGTCAGACATTTCCAGGGCGCAATCGAACCACTCATCAGATCGGGCTTTGCAGACCTGCAGAAATGGTCTTATGATTGTTTGGTGAGCTGAGGTTCATCACCTTACAGCATGCAACGAGGGCTTGGCGAAACGTCTGGACTTTCTGGACTTAGCGACGCAGCAGACGGTGGTCTGCAACCAAGACGCCTCGTGGAGTCACGAGCATCCCACATGAATGATGGCGGGCGTTGACTAACGGGCAAGTATGCTGATGGCGGTAGGCAGAGAAGCGGCCAAGGGCCAGCAACGGCCCACGGCGCAGTCCTGTCTTTAGCAGGCTGTGACATATGTTTTCCGGGGCCCTCATTCAACACGTCAAACGTCTGCAAAGCCGTGTGGTGCATGTCAGGGCCGTGGAGCCGATTGAAGCAGAATACCAGCCCCTGCGTGCCTCCTTGGCATGCGAGGGCGTTGGCGGCGCGGTGGTGGTTGTATCAGTAGCACAATGGGGTAAATAGCCTCCCCTGGGTTGGGGCTAATGCATGAGGCTAGTCGACTAACTAGTTGGCGATGGACGTATGTGGGAAGAGAGAATGAGACGGGGGCTGGCGATGTAGTTGAGAGCAAAGCGTCATGGGTGGTGGTTGTGGTGGTAATTGACAGTTGCCAACTCTTTTCCTTGCGATTGCCAAAGGTAAGGTAGTTTGCTAGTTACTCCAGTTGGGCATGAGGGGGTCGCCCCAATTGGTGTCGGATTTTGCGTGTCGCCTCCACAGTGGTACATAGTCTGACACGCATTGTCGCACGTAGTTTTATAGTAAGTTAGCGAGCGGCTCGTATGAACGGCTGAGTAGTTAGTTACAAACCAAAAGAAAGCGAGGAATAAATAGGTTCTGTACGCATGTAGCCCGCAGCAGAGTAGAATTAGTTGGGCGGTACTATTGCAGGCATACAAGGTGTACATGTATTCATGAACTAAATTATTACTCCAACACCCATTGGTAGGTGGACTTGGTATGCCGTCTGTTAATGCCCGCCAGCCATCTCATGCATCCCCCCTTTACCGCCCCATGCAGGCCCAAGACTGATTTCATCTACAACACATGCTTTTCTTTTCCCACTTCGATTTTCATCGGACCCTTTTCCTTTCATTTCTTCTCTTTTCAGCTTTCGGGGCCTCTCTTTTTCTGCAAGCCACCGCGCCCCGCCTCTCGCTCAATCAATTCTTTCGGCTGGCTACAGTGGCATTCGTTACCTTGCATCCTTTGAGCAAACGCATCTCTGTCTACGGCCGGTCCAGAAGACACAACGCGAAAACAAAGTACGACATTACTTGCCGACGTCTTGGCTTATTGATAGTTTGCCCTGCGCGGCGTTCATTTAATTTACGGTCTTTTAATTCCCCGCTCGAGCTGGCTAAGCGGTCGGTCCAGTCGTTTCCGAGGCATACAGCAAGAACATTGACCACACGATATCTACTCTTTTAATCCCCGACCTTGGCTCTGGCAGCCCTTGCATTCTTTTCTGAGCATTACTTCAGATTGTCGGATATTAGCTATTGTCGGACATTCCGTCTCCGCAGTGTTAATGACTTGAGGTGGGAACAAAGCCGATAGTACTCTGTCCGACTTTGCACGCGGCTCGAGCGAACAACCAATCTTCAACGCGGGTGGCGATTGATAACTGTTTACTACAGCTGGCTAGTCTCGTCTGCCAAGACGACTACCTGCGAATCTACGACCCAGCTCTCGGACATTGCCATCGAGGCCACTGGCGGTGGAAGCGAATCAACTACCCCGACTGCTCGGGCACGAAGTGGGGGAAGACGCCATATCGAGCCACACGCACCTCTGCGGTGTATTTTGCACTAGCCAGCAACTCAGCGAGCGAGCTGATTGAGGATATCTCAATTCTTGGGCATTTCCTTGTTACATTGCACTTGCTGGGTCTTGGCTCGTACTGGCAATACTGGCAAACTGGGTCCGACCCCTAATAAGGTACTGTACGAGTGCCGGCATCCACCACTTGTCCCGCTGCAATACCACCCTCCTGACCACGAGCCAGTCCGCCACGGCCGCTGGCCCGCTGTGCATCCTTGATCCACTACATCAAGGTACCGAATAGTCCCGGCTACCACTGGACTGCTGCAGACTGGGTGTCAGCCTGCTAGCGTCCTCTTTCCTACTAATAGCAAGGTACCTACCTACCTTGACCACCTGCCGAGCCACACGGCCCGCCCCCTCTCACCTCTCCCCTCTCTGCCAAGCTCCCAAGTATTGGCTGCACCGCATCGCTATTCCTGGTGCTTCTTTACACTAATAAGCGCCCGACTTGCTGCTACCCCAGCCGCACTGCTGCATTGTCCTGCAGCATTACCGGTTTCTCGTCCCCTTCTACTCCTTCTTCTCTTTTTTCTTTTTTTTTCTCCCGCCCTCCTTGCTTGCTTGTCCGATACTGCTCTTCTTCGCAAGCCTCAATTTGACTGCCAACTTGTGCAGCACATACTGCGCTCGGCCATCATCATGTCTCTGAAGCTGGTAAGTCTTTGCCTTCATCACCACCCCACTAGCACTAGGCCCCTTCCATTGACCACAATCGCAGGAAATCGAGACATGGGTTTCGGCCCTCGCAAGATACGACAACAATGAATTCGACGATGCTCTCGGCGATTTCGAAAAGATATGCGATACCAGCAAGATACTGTTTAATATGGGCGTCATCCATGCCACCCTCGGCGAGCACGAAAAAGCTGTAAGTCTGGGACTATGGTGGCTGTCGCTAATGTCGAATGCTAATCTTGGGCCATTCACATAGGTTGAGTGCTACCAGCGCGCAATTCGTCTCGATCAATATCTCGCCGTTGCTTACTTCCAACAAGGCGTTTCTAACTTTCTTCTCGGCGACTTTGAGGAGGCCCTCGCCAACTTCAACGATACCCTTCTCTATCTCCGAGGCAACACGATGATTGATTATGCGCAGCTTGGTCTGCTCTTCAAATTGTATTCGTGTGAAGTGCTTTTTAACCGTGGTCTATGCTATATCTATCTTCAGCAAAAGGATGCGGGTATGCAAGATCTGACCTTTGCCGTCAAGGAAAAGGTTGTCGAAGACCATGATGTAATTGACGATGCAATTCGCGAGGAAGCCGATGTAAGCTCTGCCTATCTTTCAAAAAGAGGGCCTCGTGCTAACTTCTCGCCAGGGTTACACTGTTTTCTCGATCCCAGTTGGTGTCGTATATCGACCCAACGAGGCCAAGGTCCGAAATCTCAAGACCAAAGACTATCTTGGCAAAGCAAGGCTAGTCGCTGCATCGGATCGGTCCAATGCCTTTACCGGCTTCGCTGGATCCGAGATGAAAATCGCAAGTTACACCAGAAGACGACTGCTACACCCCAACTAACATCTTCTTCAGGCTGCAAAGACCGAAGTTAAAGATGACCGCCCCGCTGACAACATTTCGTTTGCTGCCACCAACTTGGTCAAGCCCGGTATCCAATCTCGAAGACAACAATCAGAACCACCGACTAGCAGTCGCAATGCATTCCCTCCCACTCCCCCACCAGAGAGCGATCGTGGCCCGTCCCGCGGCACTTCTGTTCGCAATGGGGGCAGGCCCACGCTCGCTAGATTAAACATCCAACCACAAGAATCTAATCGCAAGTACGAAAAGGCTTCGCCCCCAGACGACGGTCGATCGAATGCCACGCGGTCGGCGTCAAGCGCTCTGCCTTCTCGGGGATTCTCCCAGAGAGAGCCGCCGCCACTACAGCGCCGACCCACAAGAACAATTGAAGAAGATACTTACGCCAACGGTGATGTGTACGACATGTACGCCGGACGCAAAGAGAGAGAATCGAGAGGTTCGAGAGGCGGTAGCAGACAAGAAGCCCGCCGAAGGCCATCGGGACGATATGACGATGACGACGATGGACCATCGGACTATGACGATGGCTCTTTGGACGGGGCTGAATTCGAAATGATTCCCAGCAACCGACGCGCGCCGGGCTCCGTATCAAACGCCTCACGTAACACATCAAGACGGCCCGATGTTCGCAAGTTTCGAGTAAAGGTCCACGCCGAGGATGTCCGATACATCATGATTGGTGGGGCCGTGGAGTTTCCCGACTTTGTCGACCGCATCCGAGACAAGTTTGGCATGCGCCGTCGTTTTAAGATCAAGATTAAAGATGAGGACATACCTGACGGCGACATGATTACCATGGGCGACCAAGACGATTTGGATATGGCCATGTTGAGTGCTAAGGAGGCCGCAAAGAGGCAAAGACAGGAAATTGGAAAGATAGAAGTGAGTTTTCTCCCACGAACAGGACACAGCTCTTTCAAAGGAATCATCTGCGGATCGCAATGTTGCGTCCGGCGGCTATCGACTGAGGCAGCAGTAGCTAACCACTGGTCTAGGTTTGGATTTTCGAGGTTTAGACTTTGGACCAGTCGTATACCCACGCGCAACGCAACCACTTGCCGTACTGGTTCCAACCGCTTATCGTTGAATTTTTTAAGAATGTTTCTTCCTTCTCTTATTCTTCATCTACGGGCACGAGACATCTGTTCTCTGTCGGTAACCGTTTCTATCACACCTTGTATTAAATAGGAATGACCCCGTCGTCAACGAGGGCACGCAGCATCTTTTGCAACTAACGACTTCATGGTTTCGCATCTACTTGGGCATATATGTAAGCTTGATTTGACAGCTTTCTCCATCTACTCTGGCTAGTTACTTAGCCAAGCATAATTATAAAGTATTACGCATCAATTGCCTAGATGTATATCGTCCCACCACGTGCTGCTTCCAATTGTAAGCTTTTGGGTATATGTACTAGTGATACAGTAGTTGTACAGAGGTTGCCGAGACAACGTGTTATGTGACCTCTTGCACACATTGCAGCCGGTGCTGCCACTCGTCATGGCCCAGCGTGGCAAGCATGCGTCCGCTGCTCTGCGACACCACGTCCTGACCGCCCGCGCCCACCAGACGCAGCACATTGTGCATCGTCAGCGCTTCCACGCCCTGCGGATCCAGGATCCCGCGCAGCGCCTCCACCACACGCTGACCGTCGTCGTCGCCCCTCCAGACATCCTCCTGCGCGAGCACCCGCTCCAGCGCGGCCAGGACGCGCGCGTCCGGCGGCGTGGCAACCGCGGATGCTCGGTATACAGCCTGCGGCGGCCGCCAAAAGAGGTACGGGTGCTGCTCGACCACGTCACTGGCGTCATGGAAGCCTCCGTCGCGGCTGGCCAGCACGGCGTGGATGTACGCGATGTGAGCGTCGTCGTTGTCGTCGATGCGGGCGGTCAGTTGGGGCACGAGGTCAAGCGGCAGAGAGGCGGAGGGCCAGGCAGATACACCGCGGCCGGTGGCGGCGCGCACCGCGGCGAGAGTGGGCGCGAGGAGGTGGCTGCGCAGGAGAGCGGCCTCGTAGGGTGGCAGGGAGCCGAGGGGTTGGCGGAGGAGCAGGTCGCGGTACTTTGCGTTGAAGTGGTGTAGCTTTTCCACGTTGAGCTTGATGCCACCACGGGTAAATTTAAACGTCAACTGTAATTTCATCACGTATGAGCAAAGGTCTTCTTTTTCGCGCAGAGTTGGAGGGGGGGGAGGACGTTACAGCTTGGGCAATGTTGTCGACGCTGCGGGGGGGCTGGACGTTGGGCTTGAAAGACGACCCGAGGTTGGCGAGCCAGGAAAGAAGGGCGGCGGGAAAGATGTGGCCCGTCGTCTGGTACGTGGACAGGTTGACGTCGGCGTTGCGCTTGCTGAGCTTGGTGCCGTCTGGGTTGACGAGCAGGCCGAGGTGCGCAAAGATGGGAGGCTGCCAGCCAAAGGCCTGGTAGAGGGCGATGTGCTTGGGCGCGGAGATGAGCCATTCCTAATTGTGCCAACGAGATTTAGCGTCTGTAATTCTGATTACATGAATCAAAGAGCAGTAATGAGAGGAGCAGAAATTGAAATGTGCAGCCATGTCTCCATACCTCGCCGCGGATGACGTGGGTTATCTTCATGAGATGATCGTCAACCACGCACGCGAAATGATAGGTCGGGAACCCGTCCGACTTTAGCAGGATGAAATCGTCCTCGTCCTCGCTTTTCTGAAAATGGCCGTAGATGGCGTCGCGTAGCTTGGGCCGGCCGCACGCCGCGCCGCCGCGGAAGCGCACCACGTGCGGCTCGCCAGCGGCCGCGCGGCGCGTCGACTCGTTAGCGTCGAGAGCGCGGCAGGTGCCCGGGTAGTGAGTTGGGCGGCCGGCCTCGTGCAGGGCTTGCCGCTGGGCGTCGAGCTGCGCGGGGGTGCAGAAGCAGCGGTACGCGTGGCCCTTGTCGAGGAGCGTCTGGACATGCTCCTTGTAGATGGGGAGGCGCTCCGACTATGAACAACAGAGGGTTAGTCGGTGCACGAGATTCAAACCAGGCAAAAGAGGGCGCGAAAAGGGGATGACGTACCTGCCGATAGGGACCGTATGGGCCGCCGCAGTCGGGGCCTTCGTCCCAGGAGAGGCCGGCCCAAGCTAGATCTTGCAGTAAGCGCGACTCGGCGTCATGAACGAGGCGGCTCTGAGACACAACGGGGGGTCAGCGTCAGAAGGGCATAGATAGAGAGGATGTGTGGATGGGCCGCGCGCGTACCTGATCGGTATCTTCGATGCGCAGGATAAAAGCGCCGCCGTCTTTGCTAGCGCGCGCCGCGACGTTGTTGAATAGGGCCGTCCGCAGCGAGCCCAGGTGCAGGTAACCTGTCGGGGACGGCGCGAAACGCGCGCGGATGGGCAGATCGGCGCTCTGACCGAGGATGTAGCGCGGGGCCGGCGTGCCCGGCTTGCGCTGCGCCTTTCCCTTGTTTCCCGTAAGAAGCCCGAGGCCGCGGAGGCCTTGCGTCGGCTGCTCTGCCGACGACGATGGTGATGATGAAGCGGGCTCGTGGTGCCGCGAAGCGCAGACGTGGAAGCACCGCGGAAGCGGACGGCACCATAGGAGTAAACGCCGAATGGGTATTTGGCAGGGAGGGCGCGCAAGAGACATGACTGCGTGCGCGCCGTGAGGGAGCGCGATAAGGCTCATGGCATGGCGGGATTTGCTGGTTGTGAAATCTGCATCGAGGTTAGCGGGCGGGACCCCTGCCTCCCCTTGTAAATAGCGGCGGCAAGCTGGAGACCTGAGGCGACGCCAATGCGGGCTCGGTGGCGCTTCTTGCCGCCATTGCTCTGCGGTTAGTTGTGCTATTTAACATTGATAGAATGACTCTTTATATTTCAGCAGATGTCTATTTAATATCATGGATTCGCGGTAACATGGAAAAGCGGTCGAATCACCGAGCATTGTTACGAGACAATAAACAGAGTCGCCAGGCGTAGAAGGCTTTGAAGATGATGCACGGTCCAAGATGATTTGCGAGCCATTTCAATCATCAACGAATAAAAAAGGGGCTAAACAGTGGCCAAGTAACGTTAAGACAGGTGACGAGCGCCTAACCCTCTACTCTCTCCCACCCACATGATTTTATCCTATTCAGGTACGCGCAGAACCGAAGCTATCGCCACTTAATTGAAATCTAATCGTAACTTCAAAAAATATCTCTTCTGAATACGAGGACAACCCTGTCCCCACCGACGGGAGGCGTAGGGCTGTGGGGGCTTGAGGTAGCTTTGAGGGCTTGAGGTAGCTTTGAGGGCTTGAGGTAGCTTTGAGGGCTTGAGGTAGCTTTGAGAGCTTGAGGTAGGTAGCTTTAATAAGGCACGCCCCGTGGCGGCTGCTGCGAGGGCTTCTGAGGCTTTCCTGGCCACCCACAAGGGTGACAAAACAGACCGCCGGTGCTTGAGCAGACGTGTCAGCAACAGCAGTGTATATATCTACGCACAATTTGTTATAAAATTTGAGATAGATATGATTAAACTCTTTATATCATTATCTATATAGTTGATATTTAACTAGTGAGTTTACTTTAATATTGTCCTGTTTTCCTATCATCAAGAATGAGCCTTACTCCATGTGCCAGCGATCTATGTTGTCACCCTTGGGCCACCGAAGCCGCCTTGAAGAGGCTGAGGAAAATGGGGCTAATGAGGCCAATCAGAGGCTATAGTGTCTTGAGGCACAAGCTGCCTCCAAACACAATCGTTCTGAACTCTGTTCAAGTATCTGTCTATTGACCACGCCTCTGGCACGCCCTCATCAGCCACATATGAAGGTATATGGCATCTTTGAAAAGCTTAACTGTGTCCAAAAGGCAGACCACATTGCTGCGTAGATGACAGCAGGGATGAACATCATAAAAAGCCGCTGACCCCCCAAGCTTGAAGTGGTTCTTATCCTCAAACTTCAATCCATACCAACACTCGCATCATATTTGTTCTTACTCAAGCAGTTCAGCTTAGCATAATCTCTCAGGTAAGTGACCTCTGTTTACGCTACGAACACCGAACAAAGCTAATGTCAACATTGATCTACGATAGAGCTTATTAGCCATGTCTGAAGCCAACGAACTGGGGCTCCTCCCGAACCGGCCCATGCTAGAAGTACTGAGTGACCAGTTCTTACTCAATGTCATAGCCTTACTTCCAATTATCGCCTATCCCTTTCTGCCCTCGGTCGGTCGGTCTGGGGTCCGGTGCGAACTTTTCCTCATCTGGTCTGCGGTGGTCCCTTGGACCCTCATCTTGGCCATGCGATTTTATTTCGAAGGGCCAATACTTGAAGTCGAGGAGTACTTCATGTGGCTGACCTATGTACTCGCGATGGCTGGCATTCAGGGACTTCGTGTGCCGTCCGACCGTCTCCCGAAGCCGACAGACTTCAACCTCGCCGCGGGATTGCTACAGTGCTCTGTAATCTTTGGTTTGATCAACTTTTTCAGCAACGACATCTCCTTGCTCACACCCACGTGGATTGGTTGGCTATCACGCCTTCTCTATTTTCTAATCGCCTTTATTTTCATCTTGGGTGTCCCTTTCTTCGTTTTCCTGTCTTGGGACGCGCCGACAGCCTTTCTCAAGTTTACAACGCGTCAGGTCCCTGAGTGGTTTTGGCTACCAGAGAATGGCGCCGTGCGTGATTTTGCGCCTGCATGGAGCATTCTCCTTGCGATCGCTGTGGTGATAGCACCTTTAGTGCTGAGCATAGCTGTACTTGAGAGCAGACTGTCTTGAAGCAATGCTGTTCGGGCACTATCGGAAGGCATTTGGAGAGTTCAGCTTCCTCCACGACTACGCGCAACGACTCGGTACACGCAGCACCGCCACGAACAAATTACTATAGACTGATGACGATAACGAAGCTGCGAGTGCCGTCTTATAGAGGTCTATCCACCGATAAGTGTGATACTTCTACCTTTCTAGAAAAGGAGGTTGTCTAGCACTTAGAGGGCCTTCTATACACATACAGCACGCCTAAGCATTATAGGTTTAGGGAAAATCCACCAGAAAGAGGGCTTCTTATTATCTGTATTTACAAATGGATATTTTACCCGAAGAGACACCTTCACAATCACTGGCTGTGGACACCTGAGAGGTCTGATTGGTCACGTATACTACTAGCGAAAGCCTGCTAGGCATCCCGCTTAGATGTACTACAGCAGGGGCCGCGGTGCGGCACGCATTCGCATTACAGCCTCATTCAACAGGCAGCTTATTTCTGAGATGTCATATTCACAACACAAAGCTTTTCTGTTATAATAAAAAAGCTCATCGAATATCCTTCCCAGGACTTCAAAAAATAATGTATTAGCCTCGTCTGGTGCGTATCTGTGATCTGTTTTTATTGTCCCCCGCCTTGCCACCACGGGTTATTATTACCAGCGCATCTACAACGCATCCTCACCATTGTTGTAGAAAAATGCCCCACTCGAACGTTGCCTCTGACTAGACTTGAGGTCTTACTACCTGGCCCCCGCCGCACACTGCTGACGGAGCGTGAGGGTTATTCGTACATGATGTAGGACCAGCTATTAAGATGTTGCAAGTCAGAAAATGTAACGAGCAAACTACGCAGCCACTGAAGAAATCAAGTCACAGGATGACAGGAAGAGTTGTGTTGTCGTCGTGCAGCTTGTAGCCTTCCTACGCACATCCATCCGGCCTCCTCGGTCGCCTTGTCGGACTGTCTGGCAAACTCGGCTGCATTCGCCGTCAAAATGTAAAGTCCGTTGCCAACATAGAAATCGGCTGTTTTCCCGCCATCTGATGCCGGATCGCCCGGCAGTCGAACTAGCCTTCAATCCCCATACGCCACCCACACAAACCCTGGCGGGCCATGCCATTGTTACAGTGTCATGCCACTTACCAACAATCAGGGTTTGTTTCAACATGCCTTTGCCTTTCATCGCTCAGTCTAGAGCTGCTCAAGTAGACCATGGAGGCACTTTACCCAGTACTCTGTGCATCATGGCCTAAGATATTTTACAACCATTATCACTAATTGACGAACAAGATTGAGGCTGAACGCTCTAGGGCATTGATCCTGGACCTGCCACTAAGACCAAGCTCTTGCCAAAGGCCGGGCTTAATGCCCTTGACTTCGATAGTAGATATGTATTTGATTCCAGAAATATTTCAAAGATAATATATCCACTCCTCTCATCTTAGCAGCGAGCAGCAATAATACGCTCCCGTCGCACCGATCGCCCGGACCTTTCATCAGACGCACGGCTATGATAGACAAGGCGCCTACGACCTGAAAAGATAATCAAGTTATTTGAGTCTCAAGGTTTAGTAATGTATTTTAATACATCATGTTTTAACTAACCGTACTTGAGGAACCAGGCTAGTCCTAGTACATCAATTAATACTATCATAGATTTCGAGTTAACTTTCATAAATGTCGAATTTATCATTTGTATCCTCTTAGGTTTATATAAGCATAAAAACCAGTACCCTCTAATATCTTTTTAGAAATAAGAATTTGATGATCTTTCTAGGTACAATACATGAAGTCTTAGTCAAGAATTTTAGCTGCATCGCCGAAAACGCCTGTGAATTTTCTTCATTTCACGCGCTTGTTAGTGGTTCGCAGGTAGATGCAGGACCCGCTCACTCGCTCCAGGTACCTAGGTACTTCTGCCTGCCAGCATCGGCGTCATGGACCAGCTGTGACCGGCCGATTTTATTTTCTATTTTTTTTTTTGCTCTTCCCTAATTATACAATCTTTCATCTATCCTTTCGATCCGCATCCTAGATATGCTTGCATTTCTTTTCTTTCATATCCCTTCAGTCATTACTTGAAAACAGTCTTTTCTTGTATTCGCCGTCGGTGACGTTGCGCCTGGTGTGCAATAGCAGGTGACGGCCTCATTGGTAAGCATTAAAATCAAAATCACACGATACCAACATCACCGCCGTCATCGCTCAATCAACCGTGCCCGAGAGATCACGTCCATTTTACTCTGTTCTGGCGAAGTGCTCTCCTCATCGCCTTGCCGTGCTGCAATTCCCGGCTGTTCCGCCCAAATCCTCTCATCACGACCAGGGGGGGGCTGCTCAGGGGACAGCATCCACCAGCCCGCCGCCCAGCAGGCTTCTCCCTGCGCCCAAGCCTCCAAGCTCTCATCCACATCCCGCACTCTTTCCAACCCGACATGCCTCATCGGATTGCCTCGTCCTCTTAACCTTTGCGCTTATTCCTTCAATTGAATCGTGTGCTAACCTGCTGACTGGCCTTGTTTTCTTGGCTCTCCGCAGCCCACCTCGAGTTCAAGCCGTCGATCCGCATCGTTCGCCCCTGTCCAGAACCTCGCCGTTCCTGCGCCACCCACATCCGCGCCATCCAAACGTCGCCGGCTGCTTCCTTCTCTCGGCTCGACACTCGACTCTCGCCAGAAGCATGCCGCGCCGACTCCAGAACCCCTTTTCCACGTCTCCCACCATGCCGCAGTCTGACAAGAGCCAGAGACGTTCCTCCACTGCCAAGTCCAACCGTCTCTCTCAACTCTTTTCGTCTAGCCCAAAATCCAAAGAGAACCAGACTGCTGCTCAAAAGGCTCTTCTCGCCATGCAGCAGCATCAGTTTCAGCAGGGCGACCTGCCTGCCCTGGATATGCCTATGTTTTCACACTCAGGCTCCCGCGACTCCCAGCCCCAGCCCTTACACGCCTCACCTGCTGCCATCTCGCCGGCCACTGTCCCACTACCCACCATTTCTCTTTCGAGCGTCATGGCTAGCGATCAGACTGTCGAAACTTCCACGACGACAATCTTCAAACCCGAGACGGCCGAGGAAATTGAGCGTCAACGTATCGCCGACTCCCAGTTCGGTCCCCTTAGTCACCCCTCCCACCTCTACACCTCCAAGTCGCACGGCGAGCCCCTCGAGGCTCCCATTGAGGACGAGCCTCCCTACTACTACCTGCTGACCACCTACATCAGCTACCTGATTCTCATCCTCCTGGGTCACATTCGCGACTTCTTTGGCAAGCGCTTTGGTGACAAGAAGCTTTACCAGGCTCTCAAGGTCCAAAATGGCTACGCTCCGCTCAACGATGATTTTGACAACTTTTACACGCGCCGCCTGAAGCGTCGTCTCGATGACTGCTTTGCACGCACCACTGTTGGTGTGCCTGGCCGCTACATTACTCTCATGGATCGCATCTCTCACGACTTCAACCTTTCCTACCAGTACACCGGCACCTACACGGAGACACTCAACATGAGTTCTTACAATTACCTTGGTTTCGCTCAGTCCAGTGGTCCTTGCGCCGACGCCGTCGAGGAGTGCGTCAAGCGGTACGGTGTGAGCATCTGCAGCCCAAGAGCTGATGCGGGTACCTCGGAGCTTGCCCTCGAAGTTGAGCGAGAGATTGCTTCTTTTGTTGGCAAGCCTTCTGCCATGGTCTTTTCCATGGGCTACGTCACAAACGCCAGCTCTTTCCCCGCACTTGTCAGCAAGGGCTGCCTCATTATTTCCGATGAACTGAATCATGCATCTATTCGTATCGGTGCTCGTCTCTCCGGTGCCGTCATCCAGTCTTTCCGCCACAACGACACTCACGACCTCGAGCGTGTTCTTAGAGAGGCCATTTCCCAGGGACAGCCCCGCACTCACCGACCCTGGAAGAAGATTTTGGTTGTCGTCGAGGGCCTCTACTCAATGGAGGGCACCATGTGCGATTTGCCTGGCATTCTCGCTCTCAAGCGCAAGTACAAATTTTACCTCTTTATCGACGAGGCTCACTCGATCGGTGCTCTTGGTCCCAAGGGACGTGGTGTCTGCGATTACTTTGGTATTGACCCCGCCGAGGTGGATATTTTGATGGGAACTCTTACCAAGTCGTTTGGGGCCAACGGTGGTTACATTGCTGCCGAAAAGAACATTATTGAAAAGCTCCGTGCCACCAATGCCTCTACGCAGCTGGGCGAGTCTCCCGCTCCTTGCGTCCTGCAGCAGATTCTGGTCTCTCTCAAGCTCATCACTGGAGAGGTCTGCCCTGGCCAGGGCGAGGAGCGTCTCCGCCGTATTGCATTTAATTCTCGATACCTTCGCCTTGGACTCAAGCGCCTGGGTTATATTGTGTATGGTCACGATGATTCGCCCATTATTCCTGTTCTGCTGTATCATCCTGGCAAGATGCCTGCTTTCAGTCACGAAATGTTGAAGCGCAAGGTTTCGGTTGTCGTTGTTGGATATCCTGCCACTCCATTGATCAGCTCGCGCGCACGATTCTGTGTTTCTTCGGCTCACAACAAGGAGGACATGGACCGCCTGCTGATTGCGTGTGAAGAGGTGGCCGAGCTGCTGCAGCTCAAGATTTCGACCGGCGTTGCGGGGGGCCTTCCTCATCTGCCCAAGAACCTACCCGTCATGACGCACAAGCAAGAGTGCGAGTGGCGTGCTGCCAATGGCGCCCCTGTGCACCCGCCCCGATGGCAGGTAGAAGATGTCATTCGTCACGGTGTTGAGGATACCAAGCTCCCTCTCCGATAAACATAGAGCATTACATAGGCGCTGGAACTTCTTTTTCTTCATCATCTTGCCCATTCCCTCATTCTTAGCTGGAAAGGACGACAGTCATATGGAGCACGACTGGTTGAGTCGTCGGCTTGTTGGTTTTGAATAGAGCCGTCTTGTCGAAGACGGTCTTGCCATGCAGCCTCTACACTTTCTTTATACCTTCTCAGCGTGGCTGCGAGGGCGTAATTACAGCCCCGGTGGGTGGCATTTTATCAATCATATTTAATCATTTCGAGGCTGGTCTGTCTGTGGCGTTTGGGCATGACTTGGGTGTACAAGCGCGAAAGGGAACCGAGATGACGGCACGTGGCAAGGCTGTAAGCACATGGACGGGATGGGTAATGAGGTTGTACATGGTAGGGGAATATTTTATAATATAATACAATTATACTACCAAGGCTGCGGCTGGAGCTCACGCGGTTTCGATGGATGTTGAATGCAGACGATGTGATTTGCGCTGGGTGCATGTGAAACACGACGTGGAGGCAATGGTGGACTCGCAAAGGGCGGCATCTTGGCGGCACAGAATCGGGCAAATGGTTGGCGGAATAGCTGAGAGGGATTTGCTTGCTGGAGTGCGATCGCTAGAAAATGGTTGCGTCTTCCTGCAACTTATTCTGCCTTGGTCACAGACAGAACTGACAGTGGTGATATAAGCATTTGTCGAGAGTCCGAGTTTGGTCGGCAGGCTGGAGGAGAGATTAGGCATCTGTCGCGCGTCAGCTGGATTGGGCAGCTGGTGGCATGACATTTCGACGATTGTGCAGCCGCCACAGCGTGGTGATTGAACATGTTCACGTTTTGACAAGCTGGCAGGCTCGCAAACTTGGTACCTGGTCCAAAGATGCTTGAATGCGTAGGGGGGTGGTGGTGGTGGATCTTGTGATGCAGCGTGCCTGGGCGCGGATGCATAATCAATGTGCCTACCTACTTACCTACTCAGATATGTATGTAACCTAACTATGCATGGGATGGTCTCTCTAGCGCCTGCCGTTGTTTACAAAGGACTCGCCTCTTTTGTTCTATTTCTGGTTGATCACGGAGAATTTAAATAAGGGGAAGCAAGATGGCGATTCATCTTGCGTGACAAGCTCTGATTCATGTAGACAGTTGTAAGTAGATGTAGGAATGGGAGAGAGGAGAGAAGACGATGACAATATCTAATTAGCACCAAGGACTTCGGGGAATCGGAAAAGAAAACCCGAAACGCCAGCGGAATGGTGGAAAGGTGGAATCCTGGGTGGTTTGGTTGTTTATTAGTGCAGTTATACTTTCGGTGGCTTTGCATTGCCGCTGAATAAGTCAGTTATACTTGTTTGCATTACCTAGGTAGTCAATGCATGGGTTACCTAGGTAGGTAGTGCATAGAGTGGTATCTCGGGCATTGCCGAAAAGTACCGCCAGTAGGGCCCATGGCGCGCTGTCAGTGGTTTTAACTACCTTTGCTGGGAGAGCAAAGGGATGCCGCGCTGGGTCAGAGAAGGGAGGAACACAATATATTCATGGATGAAGATTTCGAGGTTTGACTTTTTGGAATGAGAAAAGAGGGGCCTTGTTTTTCCTTTTTCTATTCGTCTTCTTCTTTGCCCGCAAACTGTGGGAATTCAACGGCGCGTATCCGCATGCTTGGCTGGGAAGAGGGACGAGAGAAATTTCAGTTGCACGTTGGGGGCGTGGGTGGAAAAGGTAAAGTGGGTGTGGCGAGATGGCAGGGATGCTGCTTGGCAGTCTGGGGGGTTGAAGAAGTGTGTGTAAGTACGGATAGAGCACAAGAGACGGGCTGGAGACGGTCTGCTACCTTGATTCTGATTAAATTTTCGGCTATATACTGTGATGGAGGGACATGATGTATGTGACAGAGGTCTGTGATAGTGTCGAGCGTGTGGTGCTGTTGCGTCACTCTTGGTGGTGACGTTTTAGAAATTACAGTAGCTTAGGTACACAGCCCTTGTGCAGGTGGTGACGGCGCTGATGGCCTTTTAGACCTTTGCTTAGGTATTATTAGAGTCGCTATAATAAAGCCGCTCAAAAGCCGCTGCAAGTGGGTTCGCCTCAGGACATGTCAATGCAAGGTTGCGCAGCAATATTCACTAGGTACGAAGATAGGTAGAAACGGGCCAACCAGGTATCTATATATCGCTCTGCCACGCGTGCCATGACCTTGGCATTTAGGTAGATACTTATCATGTAGCCTTGATCCCAGCAAGTCTTTGTTCTTTGAATTCTTGACTCTCCCTCTATAAGCGCCCGCAATATTTTTCTTCTGCAGCTTATAATTTGGCTGCATCTGCCAGAGGTTGGTTCCTTGTAAAACTTGCCAACTTTCCTACAAGGTAGTATTTACCTAGTGGGTGTCTTTTGCTATTTATATTTAGGTGCAGCCTTTGCTGCTGGGGAAGCCATTGGTAAGGTACTTTATTCCAAGCGCCATTTCCCGCACTCTTACATGTACCCCCAGTCAAATCAAACCCACTGTACCTGTTTCTCTGCCGCCGGCCCACGCAATGCAACGACCTGACACCACTTGGCTGGCCTTGTTTCCCTTGCGCCCATTTTGCTCCCGCCCCCTCGCTCCTCACCCGTCGCCTCCTTGACCTTGTCCCTTGTGCCTGGAACACGCCTCTTCCATCTAATCATCCCTCACCTCCCGCCACCTCCCGCCCGCAAACATCCCCCCCCCGTTCTTCCTACCTTTTCTCTTATTCTTCAACCGCCGCCTTTGCCCAGTGTCTCCAGCGTTTCCGTCCTTTGCGCCCGACGTTCCCCATACCTTCATCGCTGGACCTTTTCGTCACACCACGCCCACGCCTTATTATACTCGTAACGGGGCCCCAATCTCCTACCTCCCGACCAGATACCCCTTCAAAAGTCTACCAGTCTCTCGACCGGCTGCTCGGACTTTGACTATACACCAGCGAAAGCCGGTTTCGAACCTCACTACACCTATCTCGTATTCAGCCCGCAGCAAGGCGCTCAACGTGCACGGCCTCTGCTTCTCCCTCGCTTTCCCCATTAGGCCAAACAAACGAGCTTGCGCGTCCGTCCGCACTTCTTCCACCATCACGATTGATTACCGATAACTGCTGCGCCTGAGAGACAAAAGCAGCCAGCCTTTACAGCCCCTCACCAGCATCACGACGACTTTCGCAGCCGCTGGCAGGCGACATCACCCGCCTCGCCCGCGTTGCAGAAACCGCCCTCCTTCTTTGGGGCCTAGCTGAACTGCCAGCTTCGCGACGGGCGGCCCCAACCACGACACAAACCAATTTCCACCGCGACAACGCCCCGGCCGGACACCACTTACCATGGCTTTTGAGAGCGGCACCGCCTACGCAGAATCGGATGCCGACGACGAGTATGAGCGCAGCATGGGCGGTCACTCTCCCGTAGGCGACTCGGAAGCCTCTCCCATCGATTCTGAGCTCTCGACGTCTGCTGAACACACGCCCACAACATATGGCCGCCACAGCACCACCGACCGCCTGCCCGAGACAATCATCTCAGAATGGACCGCCGACGAATGTGCTGATTTTATCAGCACCATCGGCCTCTCCCAGTATGCCGATCATTTCATCGGTACGTACAGCTAGGAGCTCCCGCCTTCAGACCACTGCGGGGTTTTGAACAACAGCTAACTCTCTCTCAAAAGAAAACGAAATTGTCGGAGAGGCCCTGGTCGCCCTGCTTCATGACGATCTCAAGAGCATGGGCATCGCCAGTGTCGGCCACAGATTAACCATCCTGAAGAGCGTTTACGATGTGAAAAAAGCACAAGACATACCCTTGGAATCGGATCACTATTTACCAATGTGTATGTACGATCATATCGTCTGCTCTTCGTCTGCTAACTAGTCGCAGCTGCTGATGCCGAAGCACAATACGCCACAGCGACACTGAACGATATCAAGCACCTAGTCGAACAGCTCAGACTGCGCGATGAGCGCATGAATCTACTTGAAGGGGACCTGCGACGTATGACGGACGACTTTCGACGGTTACGCGAAGATGTTTTGCCTGCTCTGAGAATCGCCAAGGATGCGCAGCAACCGCTACCCAACGTCACTCCCAGCAGCCAAGGATACACATTCGAGGCTGGCAACATTTCGAGCCCTGGTCCGACGCCTCCAGGCGGCAGCACCGGTATTGGCGGTGTAAAGCGCCAATATTCGCAACGCAAAATCCTGATAGGAGCCACGCCCAAGAGTTCATCGCCCACACAGGCCGGCCACGAAAGAAGCATTGCCGAGCAAACTCTGGATCCCACCAGCGCCGCGGAACGCGCTGTTCTCTCGTCGACCCATCTTGCCGCCATGAACGGCTCTGGCCACAACGCTTCATCTCCCGGTTACTCGCCCAACATGCCCTCTCCCACGTCACCTCAAAATTACCTAAGCGGCACCACGCTCGCATCGCGCTCCTATCGCAGCGACTCGGCCGCACCCTCGATACGAAATTACAGCGACGCCGGTGCGCAGCGACGGCGCGAGACGCCCGTCCCCGATACCCCGAACCATCCGCCCGGCTCGGTAGAAATCTTCAAGTCGTTCCGTGTCTCTATGGAAGACCCGTGCTACAAAGTTCTACCGGCGGCGCTGCGCAAGTACCAAATTAAAGCCCCTTGGGACCAGTACGCGTTGTATATCGTCTACGGCGACCAGGAGCGTTGTCTGGCCATGGACGAGAAGCCTTTGATTCTCTTCAAGCAGCTGGACAAGGAGGGAAAGAAGCCCATGTTTATGCTGCGCAAGACGACAAGCGCCGCGGTGGACGGCGACCCAGGGAGCGCGGGAGGCGGTGCGAGAGGCACATCTTCGGGTTATGACCCGCCCGGTGGTATCATCTAAGTATGATAATCCGGTCTTTTGCTTTTTTGGCTTCTCTTCACATATATACACTTTTTTTTTCGACAACATTTGGTATGGGCGTAACAAGCATGGGCAAGCACGAAACAGCAAGTGCGCGCCGTTGAATTTAAGGAAACATGTTGGGTTGTATTCAGATGTATAACTTTACTCTAGCGCATGAATCGATGCAGCCACGGCTACGGCTCGGGGTGCTGTTTTTCTCACACTTTGTATGGTCCACAAAGTTGTTTGTGCTTGCGTCTCTTTTCTCCTCACGCGTCCACGTAGGCTGTATTAGACAGCATGGCCCATTTTTCCAAGTCTCATGCTTTATGTTGTCGTGTTGTCGTGTCGTAATGTAGCCTCGCCTCGAAGCAGCGTCCCAAATCTACCACTGCTGCATGCTAAACGGAATGCTCGAGACGGGATGCTTCGGATTCAGTGTGTCCTTGGCCGTTTTTTCTCGCGCCTCTGCGTCTTTTTGGCTACTGTCTGTGCTCTTTCCGGATCCGGTCAAAGAAGAGTGGCAAGACGACGAGTTGGTCAGCAGAGGGCTGTGGGAGTCGACGGACGACCGGGTGTTGCTGGCTTTTGCGTCCATGATGAATGGGTCTGTATGTTTTGACGAGCGGTTGATAGAGTGTACTGCCCAAAAGGGAAAATAGGTGTGCTGGTATGGTATTGATTTGTTTGGCCGTGGTGAGTGGTCTAGGGAGGAGGCCAGACAATGATAGATGTGTATATATACCATTTAGCTTCCGGGATGACTGGTGACGACCAGCCTCGGCCGTTAGACTACGAGCCTACGTACATTGACCCATTTCACCCACTATTTTCTCTTTCTTGATTATGACTGGTTCCATTCCAGAATAAATGGCGGTGCGAGTCTTAGGCAAAGGTGAATTCGTCACGCCAGCTCTTGGGAGACTTACGGACGCCCGATTCGGCACGCCGACGGCAGTCACGCCAACTGCCGCGCCTTGTATTGATGAACCTGCTTTCGCACAGAACGCCCTTTCAGCCCTCTCAACGGGGAAAGTGGGGGGAAGTACGGTGTGATGGCGTCAATAGGCTGCGAAGGCTACGACATGGGATGACGAAAGTGCATGTTGAGTGAGTGTTGGTCTGGATAGTGGGGGGTGGGCTTTGGCCGCGTAGGGTATGACTATGACAATGACGTTGAAACGTCTTTTTCTCTTGTCCCCTTTTCAAGTAGTGCAGCTACGGCTGTCAGATTGGTCACCCGGGCAGGGTTTAATTCTCATGAAGCGGGATTGAGGAGAAGGCTTGCGAATTATCAAGACATGCACGTAATTGGTGCGGAGCTGGATGAGCTAGTAACGACGTGTAGGTATGTAGACCGATGCGTACTAGATTAAATAGTTTGATGAATAGACATATGCAGAGAATGGAGAATAGAAGAAGAAGAGAAACGAGGTGAGGAGAGGTGAGGAATCAGTTGCGTACTCGCCATCCCCACTGGCTTGCGCGTTAGGCTTGTAAGCTGAATTGACGAGGCGGACTAGTGGGAACTTTGTGGACTTGAGCCCTGCTCGGTGAGTCAAATATTGAAGAAAAACAAGAGAAAAAAGAGAAAAAAGACAGGGACGCTAAAGAAAGGTCAACTTTAATTTGTTGCTTATTTTTGAGACTCCTCTTATTATTACGCAGCCTTGTGCGTCACGATTTCGTGGTGGGCTGCCATGGAGTTGAACCCTGCAAATTCATTATGGTTTCTCTCGAAGCAACTGGATCAGTAGAAGCATGCGGTTTTGGGGGCAGAAAGAAGGAAGGGAAAAAAAAAACAATAAAGAGGATCGAATTTGAGAACAAGGAAATATGGACTCGGTCAACTAGAAAAATGCCTTGATTGGCAATGCCGTTGCGTTACACCAATCATCCCGTGGTACAAGTGTGACTGTATCGCGACGATCGTGGCGCATTGTGTGAACGCATAGGGCCTAATTCAAATCAATGAAGGTGTGGATCCGCATTTTTACTACGACACATTGTGTGTGAATCTATGATTAGTTCCGACACTAACGGTTCACGCCTTGGAGGGATGAGATGCACACCATATGTATGGAGAGGGATAATAAAGAACGAAGCTACGATGAATCACTAGGTAAAAGGTATTCTGCATTGGATAGATGACTGGCGAGTCGAGCTGAGATAGGGTGCGTAGCCAGGCTGAGTAATAGCCAGCTTGTACCATACCACCAATAATAAAAGACGCCGCCAACCAAGAGCAAATGGTCTTGTCGCAAACAGCACGAGACAACGGCAAAACAATTACCTTTTGATTCGGCCAAGAGGCGACTCGACTCTGTCTTGCTTGACACCCTCTTTCGATACGTTTCATCTTTCATTCTTCCGCTTTTATCTTTAGCAATTGCATCAATGATACGATTGGTTGCCTTTTGAGGCGGCGCCATGATCGCTCGCGATAAGCTGCGACCGTCGTGAATGACGAGCATTGGCATCGAAGCATATCCATCCTCTGCATTGGCTACGGAAGATACCTATCCTGTGCGCTCCGAGATGATCAACGCAAACGACAGCGACTTCCACCGCACGGCACCACGGGCCTAAGCCCCCTGAAACCCCCTAAAAAGAGAACACACGCTCGAGAAATTGTCCAAAGTTACCCGTGTCCCCAGTCGCATTTCAACAACAATCGAAGCAATGTATGCGGCACAGGTAACGAAACACTTTATGAAAACGGGTCGAACTCGGCTTTTCCTTTCCAGCACCCAATTTTTCTTCAGCAGAAGCTGTCCTGTTCGACCCGGCGCACGTACTCTACGAAAATTGACCACCGGCGTCCAAACAATACCTACCGCAGGCTTTGATATCCTTCCTTTGCACGTACCGATTGAGGAGGAGACTACTCCGAGCTATGCTGCAGAAAAGTTCTATCCCGTGAAACTTGGCGAGATTTTCCATGCTAGATACCAAGTGCTTGCGAAGCTAGGGTTTGGCACGACTTCGACTGTTTGGCTTTGCCGGGATCTCCAGTATGTGTCGCGCGCTCCCGTGCCCGTTTGCTGTTAATGTCGTAATTTTCGATAGGAAAGATTGTTATTCTACAATGAAGATCTGCATTACTGGACAAGGCATCGACAATGAAGTGAAGATATCGGAACAAATCAGCAGTGTCATCGCTGAGCATCCTGGGAGGGAGCGTCTGCGAATGGTTCTAGATAACTTCAAAGTCGCCGGGCCCCATGGGTCACATGAATGCCTCATTTTCGCGCCATTAGGATTGACGTACACTGACTTCAGAATGCTTTTCCCTGAAAGGGGTCTCAGCAAGGAGATTTTACAGCAAACTCTGGCTATGCTTATCCTAGCTTTGGATTTTCTCCACCAGATTGGAGTGGTACACACAGGTAAGATACCGAACTTTGTTGCTTTTAATGGCCGATTGGAAAACCGGCTGGCTAACATATCTGAGATATCTCACCGAACAACGTTCTACTAGGAGTGAATGACCCCAACGCGATCGCAAAAGTCGAGCAAGGGGAACTGAAAAGTCCGTGCCCCCGCAAGGTACTCGCCGATCGTACGATATATCGTTCCTGGACCATGCCCATCACCAGCGGGGCACCGGTTCTTTGCGATTTCGGAGCAGCTCGTCTGGGAGAGCCAGGACAGAAACACTCTGGAGATGTTATGCCGGGCGTTTATAGGGCACCTGAAATAATACTGGATATGGAGTGGGACTCGCAGATAGACATATGGTCTATTGGTCTCATGGTATGTAACTGAGCTTATATTAGCTCTATATGGACTAACTTACTTAGGTTTGGGATCTATTCGAAGGTGGCCGTCTCTTCCGTGCTGTGAAGGATGGTCATCTCGATGATGAGCAGCATCTTGCTGAGATGGTATCTCTTTTGGGGCCGCCACCGAAGGCTTTCCTCCAGAGAAGTAGCAAGTGCCGGCAGTACTGGGATTCCGACGGTAAGCATGCCAAGAATCGCTCTTGAGAGTAAGCCATGTACTTAACTAACACCGCATAAAGGGAATTGGATCGCTGCGACGCCAATACCTGCCCAATCTCTGGAAAGCCGTGAGAAACGATTGAATGGCGAAGACAAGGCATTGATGCTTCAATTTGTTCGTAAAATACTGCGATGGCTCCCTGAAGATCGGTCATCGGCGCAAGATCTCTTCGAGGACAAATTTCTCACCCAGAACATGTAACGATTGACAGACAAGGCATTCATGAAATCTTCGTCATTGAGGACGTGCGAATCCGTTATTTCGCAACATTGCTCATATCATTTTACAATCCCTCCTTGCTGCCACAGGACTCGCTCCGTTAGAAAGGGGCGATTCAGTGAAAGGCCAGCCAAAGCCTCCGGACGATACTTTGAGCCACCTTCGAACTCGTGCCGTTTGCGACAGGGCCTACTGTTTCAAGCTTACATTGATGAATCCACCTGAACTTCACAACGTCCATCAACACAAGGGCTTGATTAGACTGCGCTATTAAGACAAAGACAAACAGAAAAAAAAATTTCAAACGTCAAGCTGCATTGCGCTAAGAGCAGCAATGAAGTCGACAACGTCGCGAATGAAAAGGGAGAAATCCAGCAACCTAGCAAGTCACACCATGTGTCTTGCAGCTCATCTACAAAGAACCCATCTTTCAGTGCAATCTCTCCATGATGCACCCCATAATGGCGACCGACATCTCGCCGTGCTCACCAAACAGCTCCCGAAACTCGGCGTCGGCCCAGAGCTGCTTGACGTGGCAGGCGGCGTATTCGCTCACCATGGCCCGGAGCAGCGGCCGATCATCCTCGCGATAGCAGTACCGCAGCAGGCCGACCACGTCGCCCATGCGCTCGTCGTGCAGCGTAAAAGTGCACAGCGCCCGGTGGAGCTTGAAGAGGGCGAGCTGCGCGAGCGGCTGCATGTCGTAGTAGTAGGCCATCATGTGGACGCGGGCGTGCTCGAGAAAAACTTGCTCGTACACTATTCGGCGGTTTTTGGGATTGGGGGGCACCGAGTAGTTGGCGTTGTCACCGCCGGCTTCATATTGCTTCTCTTCAAAGCTTTTCCATGCATCGTCCCTCGTCAGTGGCGGAGCGACCGTCTTGAACTCGTCCAGCTCGGAGGAAAAGTCCATTGAAATGTCTTGATCTAGGAGGATCTTGGACTTTTTCTTCTTTTTCTTCTCGGCAGATCTCGGAGGAGCACTCCAAAAGCCAGCGTCTGCCGGTTCTGGCTTAGGTTCACACGGTGCTTCGGCCGGCGAATCTTCTTTGGCGACCTCGGGCTCCTCTGCAGGACGGTCTGTCCCTGGAGGTTCCTCAGCCGGTCCGCTTGCGTCCATCGGCTCCGGCGCGGCGTTTTCCGCTTCTAGCACCGGCGCAGGTTCCTCTGCGACCAGCTCTGGCGCAGGTTGCTCCGCGTCTAGCTCCGGCGCGGGTTCCTCCACGGCCGGTGGCTCAAACGGAACACTGCCCTCGTAGTTGCCGGTATACACGTATTGACCGAAGCGGACAAAGGTGTCTTCATCGACCCCTTCCCACACCGTGCAGCCCTCCGTGGCTTCCTGCATGGACCCATTCACCAACGCATCAAGCACCGCAGACTGGCCGGCCGCCAGAGACGCATGAACAAAGAACTCTCGCTTCTGCGGCCCGACCAGGAAGAGGTAGGGTTTGGACCCAAGGATGCTATTTGGTCGAGGTTAGCCGCCGGCTCTTGATCACTGCCAACCTTGCCGCCGCTCCCCCGGGACTTGCCTGCCATATGCCATTTCCACCATGGTTCCGGTGGCAACTCTGTGCTGAATGATGGAATCCTATAATTTGAAGCCAGCAAGGAAGGAGGAGAAGAGCAGGGTGTGAAGGGGGATTGGGCAAATTTCAGGTCTTTTTAACCCCAGGCAGCAGCAGTGACTGTCAAGCCTCAGGTCATGATCGGGCTGCAGATGCCTGACGTGGCTGGCTGGGCAGTATTCAGGAAAACTCTTTTGATTTGTTAGATACTCGTATTCTTCTTTCGCATGTACATCGAATGAGAATAAGACGGGCCAGAATATTCAGGGTCAGGGACATATGCTGACACCCACAAGTTCCACTGAGCGTCGCTTCGGTTGCATTGCATGTGAAATATCATGAACTTGTTCTATCAGCTTCGAGTGTAGTTGGCAGATAATATCGAGAAACGCAGCTGATGGCGCGGGCGCGGACGCCGGCGGGTACCTGAGTGGCGTTTATAGTCAGCGCCCTATAGCAGAGCTGGCGGTGCCTGATGTTGACATTGATAAAGAGATAGTACGTCTATTTAGGTACTATGTGAAATGATGGCAGACTTGCGCGCTTATGTTTATTTTTGGAGTCTTCAGCCGCGACACCGTCCTCGCCATCTCCCCTTATTAGGCCCCGCTTCACTGGACAAACACGCGACCAGGATCAGGCTCGAAATTTCACTTGTCAAGCAAGGAGAAAGAAGAACGCTCACCGTGCGCCATTCGAGTTCTGTATCAAAACTGTCATTCACTCGATCCCGGGCAAGATTGGCCCCCCCCCCCCCCCCTGCGCAGTCATGGGCCTCTCGCAACCCCCCCCCCCCGAGCTGCTGGCAATGATTGCCAGCTATATAATGCCAGACGATTTTGAGAGCCTGTCACTTACGTGCAAGCAAGCATACGATTGGGCTAAGCCACTCATTCCGCGACACAATGAGTACCGCAGGAGGTACCGTAACTTCTCCTTCGATTTTAGCGGCCTGACGACGATTTCCGATCTGCTGGCAGTAATTGCCGATGACCCCATTATTGCTACCTACATGGTCCACGTCGAACTGGATGGCCGATATTACTGTGAAGAAACAGACATGAGAGACGCTGACTACGTCGAGAGAATGACCAAGAGGCTTTCCCCGTTGGTGCTCGGGTCTCCCCATCTCTCCATGCTTCGTGACGACTTTGATGAGCCAGCTGAGCTTTGGTTGGAAGAAATTGTGCGAGATTTGGAGTACTATAACAGAGAAATACCCTTTGCCGAATTCGGCGTTCCCTTTCTGGCAACGCTCCTCGTCAACGTTGAGACGTTGATTCTGCCCGAAGAGTGGTGCAACCACCGCATCATCACCAATCGAGATAGCAGCAGGCATATAGTTACCAGACTACTGCGTCTTCTTGTCACGAGAGCAAACGACAAAGCCTTGAAAGATCAACCCTTGCAGAAGCTGCGCGCTATCCTTCCGGCCCGCAACGTTGACCTGCGGGTCGGAACGGTAATGGAACAGCTATTTCCTTTCCTAGCGCTTGACTCGTTGAAAGAGCTGCATCACACGTTCGGAAAATGCGCCTTTGCCCGTGGAAGAACAGCCTTCCGCACATTGGGCCGCAATTTGGAGGTTATGAAGTTGAATCACTATGACATTTGCGGGCACAGCGCCAAAGTTCTCTTCAAGAATATGCACAAGCTGCGTGTCCTGGAAATGGAGTACTCTACCAGAGACGAGGTTATGGGAAAAGGATTCCAGGCCGATCTGTTCATGCGATCCGTGATTACGGGGACTTTTGCGAGCCTGGAAAAGCTAGTCTTCACTGGGCGTGAGCTCTGGCCAGACACTGATGTTGTAGAATGCTCGTTCCGGGAGTTCACACGCTTGAAATATCTGGAATTGAGCACCATATTCTTTGTGAATGGAGCTGGATCGATGAGCCCCGAGGATGCAGTATCCTTTCTTAGGAAAGACACAAGCGAGGAGAGCAGTGATGAGGAGAATATTGCAGACGAGCATGTTACTGAAGACAGCGAAGACAGTGAGGATCAGGAGGAAACCAGCGAGGAAGAGGATGACAAATATATGAATGCACAAAGTGCCAAGGGCGCGATACCTGAGGGGACAATGCGGACCCCTCGTGGCTTTCGTCTTGTGAAGCCTCTACTCGGGGATCAGTTCCACCCCGACGATAAGCGCAAGATGTACAAGAGCGGGAAAAGGGTCTGGCGTCTTGTCAGCGCGTTGCCCGAGTCGCTTGAGACGCTCATCATTCACACGCCCGCCGCGCCTCGGAACAGCGCCTGCGTCGAGCGTATGTTCTGGCGTTTCGAGGAACTACGCGCCCAGCGGCTGCCGAATCTCAAGCAGATTGAAGTGCACGTGCAGAAGAAGCACCCCGTGGGCGAGAGGATTCGTGGCTACTTGAGGCAGACTCGGCGGCTGGAGAACTTCTTTGCCGACAAGAAAATTCTCACAAAATTCGAAAAATTCTGAGCGAAGGTTTCAGATTTGGGACTGCCTGGACTTATGCAAGGGCAAACGAAATATCAAAACGGGAGAACCACCTCAGCAAGGGAGGAGTTATGCCATCCAGTTACTTGACTGTGATTTGATGCTCCGGACCGGGCATTTTGCTCGTCTGACGTGTAATGTTGGTATAGGGGCGAGCGAGCACCATGAAATATGGTCACCTTTTCGTGAAAGACGACGCGCACTGCAGTGCCCCCGGCAGATGAAAAAAAAAAACTTCAAATTCCGCCCGAAGAACTGTATAGTTAAGTAGTGGTCAAGTGTCTGTGAGAGGAGAAGGCCATTGCGGCCAAGTTACTGCGATCTTGCTCTGGGGGGGGGGGGGGGGGGCCTTCGAAGGAAAGTGGGTCAATCAGCTGCCGCGTTGACTGAGGCACGCTGCTTCGCTTCGACAGGAGCATTGCTCCGTTCGGGAATTCTCATTGACAGAATCAACCCAAACAACAATACGCAAAGCTTGTATACTCGGGGACAAAAGGCACAATGTTTGACATTGATGGGATCAAATGAAGAAAATATCGGGGTACGTCTACTACACCACCATCTTCGCAGCTTTACCTTGACGTAAGCCATGCAATTAACTTATGCTGCAGGAGTTCAATACGGCCTCCCCCCCTGGTCTCATGGGTCGGTCGCTGATGGGCCTTCAAATGCCGACTTAAGTCGAATCTGGAGTTCAATACAGCCTCCCCCCCTCTGGTCTCATGCGTCGGTCGCTGATGGGCCTTTGAATGCCGACTAACGTCGAACCTGTCACTTGAAGCTGGTCTCGCTAAATGGGAGCATATTACGACGAGCTCATTGCAGCTTACTCTTGCACTCCTCATAATTCAAGGGACGAATCACAATGACAAAACCTCCAAGAGCACCCTACCACCTCTGCTCGCACGGGTTGGTTGCTGATGAGTGGATCACAATGCCAACAACTCCAAGAGCACCATAGATACCACCTCCGGTCTGATTGGTGATGTCGGAACGTGGTAGCTTGCCTCAGGCACTACGGATAGAACATCATCGACAGCAATTATTGAGAATCAGATTCTGTGTCAATTGACGCCCAATAACCCCCTGAAGCGGCACTGATCAGCAATTGCCCACAGGGACCAAGCATGGTTAAGAAGAATGCAGAAGATGTAGCAGTAGGTCTATCCTAAGCTGCTAGCCTGAGAGATGCCCCTTTTTGACCAATCGGCTCCCTGCGATCAGGAGGAGGGACCTCGATAACCTCTGATCGTCTATCACGAGAAAGCGGTGTATCACGAAGTACCTCCTGGCGACTTAGCTCTCCGCGAACCGAGAGGAGGAAGCTCGTACAGAAGACTAAGACCTAAGCTGTACCTTTAGCTAGGCTACACGGCATCATAGAAGAGATTGACCAGGAAGCCCCTATCGCCGACGATAGGCAGGAACCTAACGATCTCGCTATTGTCCACTACGAGCAAACAGTCTATCACGAAGCCTCTACCGCTGAATTGACGCTCGTGAAGCCGAATCGGCAGGAAAAGGCCCTTGTTCAGAAAACCCAGGAAGCCCACACCGAGAGCACCCTACCCCCTCTGGTCTCAGAGATGTGTCACTGATGGCAACTCCGAAGGCACCCTACCACCTCTTTTCTTCAAGGTTGGTTGCTGATGGCAACAACTTCGAGAGCAGACAACCGCTTTCGCCTCCAGCCGCTGTTGATGATCCCGAGCCGCCGCTGACGCCGCCTTCGACCGATCAGAGCCCCGAATTTGCTCTCGCGCGCCAAAAGCCGACGATCCAAGACTTTAACGATGCCGGCTGGCCCAGGAGACAATTTGACCCCGGCCACAACCAAGCAGCTGATCAGAAGGTCACATCGCAATTTGATGCTCGAGGCGCCCCGGAGTTACAAAGCTGCTCAATTTCACGCTTTTTGGCGAGTCTACGAAGCCATGCAGACGGAAACACGGAGAATCCTATCCATGGGCGTGACATGATTAGGAGACGATCGCTCCCAGACCTACAATGGCCGGGGCGTCGGTCTCTGATGAGTCGCATGATACCGAATGTACCTCCTTGAAAGTCAATCTCGTGGTGCACCTTGCTGATCACACAGCCTCGTTCGTATGCTGTCAAAGCTGGGTGGTATGCCACGCTCGTTGTCCTGCCTTGTCAGCTCCTCCAACCGGGCCAGTCTGGTGAAGGAGTTGTCTTCCGGGTGATCCTTTGCCATGACCGGCCGATCAGCCGAGTATAGATGGTTCGTGTGTCCGACATAGGGAAAGGTCTCCCCACGCAGTGGAATTACAGTATTACCGTGTGGAGAGCACTCGATGCTTCCGGCCTTGCCTTTTGCGTCGGCGATGACGATATTGCAGGTGCTTGCGAGCCCGTACTCCTCCATAATGGCAAAGGCTTCGTCAAAGGAGGATGCGAACTGCAGGACACGCCGCAGCAGAATGTGAATCGGAAACTTGTCCCTGTCTTGCGCGCTGGCGAGGATGCCATTCAGCAGCGTCCCCACGCCGGCGGAATTGAGCCCGATTTTGCCCACGAGGCCGGCTTCTGACATGAATTGCATCTGCAAAGGCGATTTGCTTGGGGTAATGTGCAGAACAACGAGATTGACTTCCAGCCAGTCCCAGTTCTGCGCGAGAAAGATGTGTCCTTCCGGCCCTTGCTGGCCGAGACAGGTGCATCCGTCTGCGACGTTGGTGAGTCCGAGCTCGCTTCTTGCATTCAGAGTAAGAATGTCTTCCATTGTGAGACCTTTGCCAGCTCCGTCTGCTACTCCTCTCATTTCTTCAAGGATATCCGGATACTTGGCTGACAAGAGCGGGATGTAAGCCGATGCCCGTCGGCGGGCTTCTTCCCAGTTTATCTTGGCCCTGTCTTGGAAGAACCCGTCGTAAATAACAATGTTGTCATGAATCTCAGCCGACGCACCGGATCCATGGGCAAAGCCAATCTCATACGGTGTTCCGGCGCATTTGATGATTTTGGCTTCCGCTTGCATAGTGCCGGTTCAGACGCTTGGATTCACTGATGATGTAGTCGTTTTGGTATGCTATCGGTGGTCTGCGCTTCCAATGACTTATGCTCAATGCATAATGACGGGGTCTAATGCATTATACGAGTAGCTCATATATCTTGCACCACGTTTCGTGTACCCGAGTGACGTCGATGATACCCTAAGCCAGAAATGTACAGTGGCGTATTCGGCGCTGTTGGACGGCCGCCCGGAGAACAAGGCTGCGGGCGTCAACCTGCAAGTCGCTAAAATGTATTACCGGTGCGGATTTCGTGGCGTGATTCCTCGATCCTTTTCGAACAGCTGATGTCGAAAACGTGACCATTGCTGTGTTGCATGACTGACCAATCTCTTGCATAGCCACGAGATCTCGTGCATGACCACCATAATGGTATGGCAACCCAGACGCAGGTGTAAGGCTGCATGATTACCTGCAGAGCCAATCTTCAGCCGGAGCCGACCCTTTTTGGTATTACTAGAGTTTTATGCTGGATCCAACGTTGGATGGCGAGCCGCGATTGTCTGTAGAGCTAGATGGACCGTGATTTCTAGAAATGGAGGAGGGATCGGAATCGCCACGGTTGCCAGACAGCCGCGATTGTCTGCAGAGCTAGATGAGCCACGATTATATAATTGGAGAAGCTGGAACCGGAGCTGCCACGGTTGCCAGACGAGACATACGAGCCAGATTGTCAGGGGATAATGATGATGTATTCGGTAGGTTCTAACCAAACACAGATGAAGATGAACCGTATGAACCACCACAATCGCGTCTAGCTATCTAGCTAGGAAAAAAAGTCCAGTATATTTGATACCACAATATCTGGCGCAGCCTCTGGAATAAAGTGGTTGGTATCAACACTGCGGCCATCAACGACGGCGCCGTCGTCTGTCACAGCTCGCCACTCTTCAATAGGATCAAAGTACTTGCCAATGACACCTTGCCCGGCCCATAGGACCCTCAACGGACACTGAATCAGCCTCCCCCGGCCGAGATCATCTCTCGCCTCGTCCAGGTCGAGCGTTGCGCTGGCTCGATAATCCTGACACATGGAGTGGACGGCGTCTGGACGCTCCAGGGCGCTGAGATAGTGCTCGAGGCAGGTCTCGTCAAAGGACGCCCGGTCCTTTTCGTCTTCGATTCCCAGGCAAAACTCGCCAAAGACGCGGGCGCACCCGCTAATCATCTTCTCTGGCAAGGGCTCGGGCTGGATCAGGAAGAACCAGTGAAAGTACAAAGTCGCGAGCTGCTGGTCCGACGACGTGTACATGGCCAGTGTCGGGCAAATGTCCAGCAGCAGGGCGCGTTGAACGCGCGCGGGAAAGTCGACGCAGAGCTTGTGCGCGACCCTGGCGCCGCGATCGTGGCCGCACACAAAGAATCGGTCAGTGAAGCCGAGCGAGTCCATGACCGTGACGCAGTCCCTTGCCATGGCGCTCTTGGCATAGTGGTGGACCTTGTCGGGCTTGGACGAGCTTCCGTAGCCGCGGAGGTCGATGAGCACAATGGAGTAGCAGCAGCAGCTCTGGCCTAGCTGTCTCGTGACCTCGTGCCAGATGTGGTGGCTCTGCGGGAAGCCGTGGAGTAAGAGGAGAGGTGGAAGAGGAGAGTCTGGAATTCTTTTGATGCGGCCGAATATATTGATGACGACGGGGTCCGTCTCAGTCGTGATTGAGAAGGATTCAAAGCCTCCAAACATGATGAAGCGATGCCAAGGGAAAGAAGAGGAAAAGTTTTTGCGTGTAGATGAGTTTGAAAGCAGTAACAGTTGTTACTCGCAAAAGGTATGGCGGGTTTGAAAGTGAATTTGTGGAAAACCGTTGGTGAATGGGCATGTAACAGCCTCGCGGTGTGTGAGATATTGACGGCCGCACGCGGCAAGGTTAGCTGCCAATCATGATATGCTCAAGCCGGTTCCCGACAGCCAATAAACTACAATGCCAGGGTATCAGGCCTCAACAAGTTGAATCAACTTGGCTCTCCGCGGCCTCCGTGCGAGACAACGCCACATCCTACTTGTCCATTGGTGCGGCCCGCCCCTAGAACAGCCAGCTACAATGCCGAGTGTGCCGTGCTTTTGATGCCATGGGTACAGTTTACAAGCACGTTGGCTTCCTTTAACGTCAATCATGTGCGTTGACTACTCGAGGTGTTGCTTTCAGCAGAAAGAGTGCCCTTGAGCAACTACATCTCTTCGACTAGGTACAGCTGGGCCAGCGGCAGCAGCTAGGTCCGAGGCCATGTCGACCCCGCGTATTGATGTGATGAGTCTTACCCCCATGACATTTGTTACGTCACGATTAATGTCGCAATCACAATGGTACTCACACCCAGCACTGAAAGGGGACACTTTGTCGCAGATTTCCCATTTGTCTAGTGACGCCACGATTTCGGCAACCATGAATGAGTGCGCGAGTTTGTTTGAAGAACTGATGGGGGAGATTCTTCGAGAAAAGATTCCGTTTACTAATATGTTTGTAGCAAAATACCAAACATTCTGGGCAATTTTGTCAATTATGGGTTTTGTATACTATTTGTGTATACTCCTCATTGCCCGCTCGCTTTCAATATCTCCCGCTCAACCTCGTCTCCAAAACTCAGCGTCGTGCCACGGCCGCCCATGTCCGGTGTCATGATGTCCGGATCTGAGCGAGCCAAAACATTCTCAATGGCCTGCAAGAGCGCCTTTGCCGCCGCCTCGTGGCCGAAATGCTGGAGCATCATTTGGCCTGCCCAAATCATCCCGACGGGGTTGGCAATGCCCTTTCCGGCAATATCCGGCGCGCTGCCATGAACAGGTTCAAACAGGCTCGGAAACTTGCCGTCTGGGTTAATGTTTGCGGACGGCGCAATTCCGATTGTCCCTGTACAGGCAGGCCCCAGGTCCGAGAGGATGTCGCCAAACAGGTTGCTGGCGACAATGACATCGAACATGTCTGGACGCTGGACAAAGTGTGCAGTGAGAATGTCAATGTGATATTTGTCGACGTGAACATTGGGAAAGCTCTTTGCCATCTCGACAACTCGCGAGTCCCAATAAGGCATGGTGGTGTTGATGCCGTTGCTCTTGGTCGCGCTGGTAAGCTTCTTCCGCGGACGACTCTGGGCGAGTTCAAACGCGTAACGTAGAACCCGGTCTACTCCAACTCTCGTCATGACTGTTTCCTGAATGACAATCTCCCGCTCGGTTCCCTCAAACATTTTACCGCCGATGCTGCTGTACTCGCCCTCGGTGTTCTCCCTGACTACCCAAAAGTCAATGTCCCCCGGTTTGCGGTCCGCGAGCGGGCTCCGGATCCCCGGCATCAGGCGGCACGGGCGGAGATTGATGTACTGATCGAATTCCCGGCGAAACTTGAGGAGGCTCCCCCACAGAGAGACGTCGTCGGCGACAACATCGGGCAGGCCGACGGCACCAAAGTAGATGGCGTCGAAACGCATCAACTTTTCCTTCCAGTCTGGAGGGAGCATATCCCCGTGATCTAGGTAATGGCGACAGCTGGCAAAATCGAACCACTCAAATTCAAAGGTGATTTCGTATGCCTTGCAAATTGCCTCGAGGCACCGGACGCCCTGCGGCATGACCTCGGTGCCAATGCCATCGCCTGGAACGACGGCAACTTTGAGAGTCTTGGCCGCCATGCTTGCGAGATCTCCGGATAGATGTACCGATTCGAGAGAAAGAAAAGCAGGCGCGAATAATATCAATCATCTACCCGTGGAAGAATTGAGACTTATTATATGCACACACATCAGCAGAGTGGGGGTACACGGCAGAACGATGAGCCGATGGCCAAAATAAGGTCTTGACCGACCGTCGTTGCAGCGCCAGAACTCCATAACGCTCACCGATGTCGTATTCGACATACTGAAACATGCGGGAAGAAACATTGTACTAGCTTTCGCGATGCAGTCGGTCAAATGTAGCACTGCGTTTTGGACGAAAGGGCAGATTTGGGTAAACACAGTACAGATCAGTCAGTCACATTGCTCGGATTTCGAGCTACCAGTTCTCCATTACTCTTCGCAGAGAAACTCGACAATTTCAGCTGCTATAGTTTCCGGAATCTGCTCTGGGATATAATGGCCAGAGTCCACGCTGCGTCCCTCAACCACGACACCCTCGGCGGTGACGGCTTGCCATTCCTGCACCGCGTTGAAACATTTTTCAATGACCCCATGCTCGCCCCAAAACACCTTTAAAGGGCATCTGATGAGCTTTTTATTTGCAAGATCATCCCGCGCCTCATCCAAATCCAACGAGGCGCTTGCCCTGTAATCCTGACACATTGCGTGTATCGTGGCCGGATCACCGAGAGCCTGTACATACGAGTCAAAGGACAAGCTGTCAAAAATGTTCAACCCTTGCACCTGGCGGCTGCCCATGAACTTTTGCGCAAACTCTTGCGGTCTGGCCGCAATCAGCATTTCCGGAAACGGCTCTGGCTGAATCAAGAAGAACCAGTGGAAATAGGCCGTGGCAAACTCCATGTTGGTTTTGCTGTACATGGCCAGCGTGGGACAGACGTCGAGCAGTATAAGTTTTTTCACGCGCTCTGGGTAGTCGACGCAAAGCTTGTGCGCGACGCGGGCGCCTCGGTCATGGGCGCATACGAAGAAACCACCAGTGTTGTTGTAGCCGAGAGCGTCCATGACGGCCACGCAATCGCGAGCCATGGCGCTCTTTGCATAAGCCGCGACGGACTCGGGCTTGGAGGACGCCCCGTAGCCGCGGAGATCCATGACAACCATGTTGTACTTGCCAGTGAGCAGGCGTGCTACCCGAGACCAGATTCGGTGGTTTTGCGGAAAGCCATGCAGGAGGAGGAGCGTCGGCAAGGCAGCAATGGAGTTGTCGCTTTTGAGGCCAGATATGGATACAGTGTCGGGTTGGGACTCTGTTTGCACAGTAAAGGGTGTGAATCCTTCAAACATGGTGAAAGATGTTGGCCAAGAGTTTTTGGTATCAATAACGGCAAGTCGGTGCCAAAGAGATAGACCTGGGCTGGGCCCCTCATTATGTACCTCGTTACGGATTACATGGTGTATGATCGATTTGTCGTACGCGATTTTGCGGGGTAGTTCAATAAAGCGCCTTGCACTAGTACGAACCAGTAGATTTAATCAGTCTGAATTCTTTCTACAAAAGATATTGGTTGATATCGCCCGCGGCCCGCCGAAGCCTAGTTGCCCAGTTCTTCTCATGGTTCGAGCAAAGCAAGCCACCAAAAGAGGTGGCAGTGGGACCCCAGCCCAACTTATAAATAAGCTGAGCATTTCGTTTAAAAGATTAACCGAAAACTTGCGGCCTATGCACTTCACTTCTGCGCCATCATTTCTCCCCAACCTCTTATTGCATTGCCTAATCTTCCGCATACAGTTTCCAGTGGGTTTTTAGCGGCATGCAATATTTGGCTGCGCTCATTTGCGCAAAAGCTTTTGCCGTATTGAGCAAAGCCGACGATGATTTTTTTTTTCTTCGTAAATAAAAGCGGTGTCGACAATGCCAGCCAAAGTTCGTGGTCGGGCCGCGTGCAACCAATGTCGCTCACGGAAGCAAAAGGTAAGACCAGGCTGTGCGTAATAATGGAAACTCACCCTGCAATTGGGTTGCTGATGTGTATTTCAATAGTGCGATGAAAAGAGGTGAGAGCATGTGTTTTTTTCTTTTTCTTTTTTCTTCTTTTTTTTCTTTCTTCTCAGTTGCGTAGTTCTAGGCACCACAGACTGACATTTTCGGCAGACCGGTTTGCTCGCGTTGTCGAGACTTGAACAAGCCTTGTCAATGGCCAGGTCTGCGGAAACGGTAAGCCCTGATTTTCCTTATTACATGTTTTTTCCCCTTTTTTACATCTATGCAAGGCTTCTTTGCTCAACTATCAAATCCGCAGGGGACCCGCAAAAGGGTACACTGAAGCTTTGGAGCACAGGCTGAGAGAGACGGAGACGGCTCTCTTGCGCATTGTCTCGGTCGTTGATGGCGCGACTCTGGAAGCGGCTTTTCAGGACAGCGGCGCCAGAAGCCACATCCCGGATGCCGTCTCGGAAGCCAAAACGGACAAGGCCGAAATGGCTGCGCGCTGGGAGACGTTTCCGTTGTCTACGCCCGGGGACATAATGACTTGGGCCAATGAGCAGCGAGCTCCCTCGCAAGATTCCCAAGCGGGGGATGACGCTGCAATGCGTCTTTCGGAGGGATCGGCTGCGCGCCTCGGACAGCAATTATCCAATCACGACTCGCTCATGGAGTTTGAAATATCACTCACGCAAAACATGGCAGAATACCCCCAGTTGTCGACAAATGTTGCTAGTACGCCTCGGTTCTTACAGGGGGGCTCACTGGACTCGAGCCCTCAGGAGCATGTATTCGACATGCCGGAGCAGTTTAAAGAGCAGTATCTTTGGTAGTACACTGAAAATAATGTAGGATAGACCTGTTTTTTTTTTTTTTTAGATTATGCAGCCCAGGCTTTCAGCTATTTCCTGTCAAATATGTCGCATTCTCACGTACCTCTATTCCATGTGCCTCTGCTGATGTTCATGGTACCAGTATCACGCAGATTGAGAGCACGTAGTTCAGCCTTGGTCGAAAGGAGGCAAAAAGCACAAAGGCGGTGTGTATGCATGTCCTCTACATATACTACTGAATATCAGAGTATATAAGGAATATGCCCAGAATACACAGGGAATATGCCTTGATAATACTAGAGTCAACAGCGCCAGAGTTAACAGCGCGCCAGTTAACAGCGCCAAAGTTAATAGCCTAATACATCTATACATCCCCGATATATAGTAGGCATATGCTAGGTGTGTACCAAGTCATTAAATTAAAGCAGCTGTGACATATCCGCAATTGAGCATCAATTTTCTGCCGTTTTTTTTTGCCTCATTTCGTCCAAGGTTGAACTCGTCCCCCGAACAACGTCGGTTCTTCCACATGTTCTAACTTAGGCAATCTCCAAAGGTCTTGACGTACGAGTCCCAACCCGCATTCTCAAATAAAAGCCCTGATAGTCCAGGGTTCAGTCCCTGCGCCAGAAACTCTTGCCAAGCATCCTGGCGACAGAATTGGTTCGCATCAAATCCAAAGTCTGGTCCGGTATACTCCAACACTGGCTGCCACATGTATGATGTGGGTAGCCCTGAGCTCGACGTACATTCTGCATTGGACCAGAGTGGCGACTGTGCTGCGACATGGTGGTTGCTCTTCCGGCGTTTGTTTCGGGCCTCTTCCGCTGCGTCGACAGTTACATCGGAACTGGAAATCTCGTTTGCGTCGGATGTCGCTTGTGGAATGTAGAATGCATTGTTCGGTAAGCTGAGCGGCTTCGACGTCAATTGGTCAAGCATCAACTTTAGAGTATCGCGGCAGTGACTCGCGCTGGTCCACGTACTACCCATTCCGTCGAGTACGCATATACTATGATTTATATCCCTTGCAGCAATGCGTCAGAGTGAATGCGTAAGAGTGACTGTGTGCTTTGGATGCAATTATTTTCTTCACTTACGAGATGCCCTTTTCCAGTGGGTATATCTTCAATAGGCTTGCATAAGCCACAACAAGCCCGGCCATCCATATTGCCGAGAGAGCTCCAGGCCAAGCCAAGGTTAACGAGCCTTTCTGGCTCGCCCGCAGCTGGCGGATAATGGACCGACTTGCATTCAGCGCCGACTGCAAGGAAGACCGAAAGTCTTCCCGGTCTGTTGGTAATGAAAGAAATGGGCGATTAATGAAGAGTAAAAGGTGGTGGTAAAGGACAGCAAAAAATGCCCCAAACGATGGCTCAGAGCCTGCAGTGTCTTCATCTTGAAGTGAAAAGGGCAAGCTGTTCCACCATGAGTGGATTCTTGCTGTGATATCGAGGACCTTGTCCACCACAATCGATCTTCTGTGTATCGACGTGTGGAAAAGCTGGAGGGCCGCGCCAAGCAGTTGCGAGTACGTCACCAGATAGCCAAGTACAAAGATACGCGCTTCTTCAGGGCGGGTCTTGTGATGATGAGACGGGCTCTGCGTGTCTGAGCAGTCGGCGTTTGTCGTGGGGCTGGAGCTTGCCATGCCGCTGTCGCCGCGCTGGAACGATTCATGGTTGATGGGGAGGTGCGCGCGAACCTCGTCACCGGCCGTCGTTGTTGAGGCTTGGCGATAGTGCCGGACGGGACTGTGAAGCTCTGGCATTCCCGGTATACAAACGTCGACCTCTTCGTCGCTCACGGCTAGTGGGTGTCCGAGCGACAGGCTGAGATGGCAATCTAGCACATACGCGCACCACCATATCCTCTGTCTGATGACCAGCATGTCCCTTGGCAGCTGCAGATACCGAAAAGGACACCTGTGAAAGCCGGCTTGATACAAGACACGCGTCAGCGTTCCGTGGACCGTGGACGCTGCTCTTGACGACATTCGAGTTACGAGGTAGAGCTCCATTGCCAGAAGAACCTGGAGGGTATGCATATCCTGGTCGCCGGCGATTATTCCAAGCAACCCTGTCAGAACTGCAGGTGAAGTGATGCGACAGCGAGATTCCAGAAGCAATTCACCCCCATCCGCATTCGTGGCCGCAATGTTGAACACGCATTGAAAGCAGACGGCGCGGCATAACTTATCCCGTAGGCTTTCACCAAAGTCCGCACCTCGGGTGTCCGGTGATTGTGACTGACTAGAGTAGAATTGATTCACCTGTTCGAAAAACGTTGGCCCGTGTAAAAACGGAAAGATGGGATGCCACTTTTGAAAGTAAATCATGAGGAGCTTCTTGGCGGCAGCCGGCGTCGGCGGCGCGCCAAGCTCAGGAATATTCACGCCATACGACTGACCGCGTGAGCCATCCAATCTTATCCCGGTAGACGAGTTTATTAATTTCAACAAAACGTCACCGTCTGCCAATTGCTCCTGACTGGTGTCATCAGCCGCTGTGAGCAAGTTGTGAAACGAGCCCGGGTCTCCTCCCGTCGTCGCACGGTCGGCGCCTGCGCCGCCGCCGGCGGCCAACTCCGCCTCGCGCGGTGAGGCGGCCGCAAACGCCCGAAATACAGTGTTGATGAAGAAGACTCCGCTTGCGCTCCCGATAAACTCGCTCTTGTCTGGGCGGCGCGAGACAAATGAGCCAACCTCGATGGGAGGGAACAGCGCGCCAGCAGCACCGGCCTGCCTCGGCCTCGCAGACATTAACCCTGACCGATGCGATGAATTGTTCGAGCAATGCCCCCCAAAAAGCTGTGTTTTCGATTGCAACGGCGAATCAGGGAATAAGAGTTGATCTGGGGTAGTTTCCCCGGATTATGCATGAAGCAGGTTGGCGGGTCACGTCATTGTCTCTCGTGGAACAAGTGCCAAGACAAAAAGGCGGCTAAACTTTGTGCCGACTAATAGATTAACACACAACGCCTCGCGAATCACCCAGAAGATAAGTTTTTTCGAACGTGAGAATGTAAGAATGTATTTGGCAATAGAAACTGTCTAGATCGATGCCACCGTGCGAAAATCTACAAGACTGATTGGCTTTCCCCCTGTACTATAAACGCAGTATACCATTTGAACTCGCACAATGAACCTAGACTCATAGCGTAGACCTTGGGCTCAATCCATCGACATTGGACTGCTAGCAGGGTAATCTTCTGGTTCGTTTATTCTCGCGCCTAGAGGCAGCGCCTGTTGCCAGCTTTCCCCGGCAGTGTACATGACTGCCTCTGTTGAAAGGCAATCCCCAAAGTATCTCTCCTTTCTGGTTGTGCGACGCTCGCCTCCTTCCAGGGCCGAGTATGCACTGCGAGTGGTCCGCATGCGCTTGCGTCTGCTACCGTCGTCGAGTAGCTCGTTGAGACGCTGCCTATCCTGCATGAGCTGGTCATCGTAGTGTACTATGCCACGAACCCACGGCGCTACCTCTTCTATGATCATGGTCATTGTGCGATCAAAGACGGAGGGATCGAGGCTCATGCTGGCCATAGCCTTGGGAGACACTGCTATGGGATCAAAAGCAACAGCAACGTCATATCGTGTCAGCGTGCGATTTTCCCTCTCGTGCATGTCTTCCAAGATGTCGATTGTCTTTTTTTCGCCATAGGCTTCGTTTTCGTCAATGGATGTCGACGATACGAGCGTAGTAGCAGCCGTTTTGAGATTGCCGAGTGCAAGAGACGATATGGCTGAAGATATTTCGACGCGTGAACACGAATAAGGCTGAAAGATATTGGCTTCGAGTAATGCTTGAGCAATGGTAAAGTCCTCTCTCATAGCCACAGGCATTTCCGGCAGAGTTGGGTCAAGCATCTCGGTGAGCTCGACACCCAGTGCTCCGGCCGCGCAAAGATCGGCACAGCTCAAAGCATCATAATATTGAGTGTACGCTTCGAGAGTTTTCAACCTTTGCTGTCGGCTGGCAATTTTAGTCGAGGTGGCGGCACCCAAGCGAAGCAAGTCCTTGCTGCAGTGCGAATCACTCAAGTCTCGATGCCAGAATTGCCAAGCCTGCGCAGCTGCCTCCCGCTCCATGGCTTGTGTGGTGGGTGCGCTGACAATGCTGTCACGGCTCAACCAACCCATACCAGTCTGATACGTGTCTTCGCTGATTACACGAACAACATGACCCTGTTTGTCAACATCTATTCCTTTGGGCCAGCGCAGATAGAACCAATCATGGCCACCTCTCCGATCTCCCACGCCAATCTGACACCAGAACTGTAGGTCGGTGATGGTCGCGCGCAGATCATGATCTCGGCATCGATAGAGAGAACGCACCGCGTTACGCTTTAATGCGTGCCCTTCGTTGGCGGCAATCAGAAGGCATGTATCAACTGCCGCAGGCTCCGGGGGTGGCAAGAACCGGAATATTCCATGCAGGTTGAGTATGCTCACAGGCACCGCACTTTCGTCGTTGCAGGTGAGAATAAATGGCCGCTTAGACTGGCTCATCAAAGACTGTAGACTTGCCCAGAACTGCTTATCTTCCTCAAACAATATGTCGACCTCCTCCAAGAGAATAAGCGACTGCTTGTGCGACTTGGACGAAGAGCTCTTACTCGCAGCATCCGCCTTGGCACGAGATCTGTCCAAATGGCTTTTCTTATTTTTCTTCTTTTCCGCAGCAGTCTTTGGCTTGAAGAAGGATGTCATTGTGCCTTGTTTTCCGGAGCTGATATCTGATTCAATTGCCCCTGCAGAGTCCGCGGTTTCTGATCGATGATGCTGAACAAGGTGATTGCGCGTCATGTCACCGACCCGTTCGAGAATATCTTTGCCGCTGCGCCGAGTGCTAGAATTAATCTCAAATACCTCAAATCCCAGCTCTTTCGCCACAGCATATACGGCGGCTGATTTGCCAGATCCGTGTGGACCGCTGATGAGTATAGTATTTGCCAGCTTGGATGGATCTTTGCCTGTTAAATCTAACGATCTCGCAACCGAAGGACGTAATCGTTGTTTCGCTTTGGATGGCTGGTCTTCCAAGTCTGATAGCTCATTCATTTCACCACTTTCGTCCTCACTATCGATAACGAAGCCGTCCAACTTGCTCTTGCGCTTCTTCTTTTTAGCTTCGCTTTTCGTTTTGGCATTATCTCCAGCGGTCTCTACACCCTGGACTCGCAGCATTTCGAGCCATTGTTTCAACAGGGAAACTTCTCTGCCTGATTGCAAGACTTCTGCTGCTGATGTTGGCGCGTACTTGGAAACCCAAGACATGCTTTCACATGTCGATCGATCGAAGGCAGATAGTCCTACAGCTAGCGACTGCCAGTGGCGCTTAATAATTGGGTGTGCCGGCTTTGATGGCACTCGAGCAAGGTCATCTTCGTCGAGATCTCGCTCCGACAAGCTCAATGAAGCAATGCTGGTATGAAGTTCTGAACGAATGCGCTTGGCAAGTTTATAGCCACTCTCAAAGTGCCTTGTCGGGAGTCGAAGCTCGGATGGAGGGGGTGGGAATAAACTGTCGTCTTTAGGCAGGCTGCTTTTCACCTGCTGTATATTCAACAGCCGACTCAGTAGCCAGAGAACAGATTCATGCGAATTTATCGACACAGTCTGCCCTTTGGACTTTTTATTGGGCCGGTTGCTGGGGCCAGTGGTACATGAAAGACCCAGCGGTTCAGTTCCTCGGACATGGCTGAAACCATGCGGTGGCCAAAGAGGGTATTTAGAACCGGGGACTTTTGTACCGATGGGCTTGATACCAAAAGATGGCCCTTTACCAGACGTGAAGCTGTTTCGCGGTTTTCTCGGTGAGACTGGGGTTGACGAGAAGATTGTATTACGCTTCTTCTCGCTGATAGGCTTCGGTTCCACGGGTTTCTCTTTCGTAAAGAAAGGGTGTGTTTTCGACGTTTTTTGATGCGTGTCGTCTGTCGGCATCTTCTCCGGCTTCGGTTGGGAGGATTCTGGGGCGAGTTTCTCAACCATGAGCTGACCAGACAATATTCGGGAAATTCTGTCACCGATCCGTTGACGGGCTTCAGCATCCTGACCATATTTCATCGAAACGAGTCGTGAACTACGCCCTTTGGGTTTTGGCTTGGGGGGTGACCCAAGAGTGCCAGTTCTCGTGTTGAATTTCAGCACCTTCTTCGGCGATGCACGTTTCCGAGGTTCTAGTGTAGGCATTTGGTCGATGGGCGGTCTAGATTCAGAAGCTTGACAGGTCGAAGTCTGAGGCGTGGGAGCATCTCCACCGGCGACTGGTAGGTCTGCTTGTGCATGAGACGCGCAAGACGTCGAGCAGGTAGACGTGGTGTAGGGTTCGCTTTTGATCAAAGAAGCTGGTGTTTCGGATACCGAGTTGATCGACCTTATCGTTGGTTGTGGCTGGCGGAGCATCGACTGCTGCAACGGCTGCTGTAGCTGTTGGGTAGATATATCGGCTTCTTGTAATGGCTGCGTATGGTACACTAGCCCAGAAGCTGTATAGTCTGGGTGTTGAAGTGGCGCATATTCATTCGTCTTTACACGCTTCGACTCGTGTCTATCGTTTATCGTAGGCGTGGAGGGACTCGCTTGTTCTGAGCTTGGAAAAGCTGTACCTTTGGCAAAGAAAGGATGAAGTTTCCTCGAAGAAGTATCACCGGGTTCTTTACCAGCCATCGCCATCGTAACGATAGGTCCCATGGAGAAACGGTCGTATATGGCGAATGCCCTGAAGGGCGGCTCGATAAATCCTCCACCGGTGCGCTTCTATAGCAACAGGGAATCGTCCATGGGGTTAATCGTCGCGAATATATACATGTATATCTTGGCCAGTGAGGAAATACGGGCAGAGAGAAGAGGAATTGACAGATTAGATAGGCGAAAAGTCACTCGAGTGGTTCGTTGAGAGTAGGTGATTGCGCATGGGGAAGCTCGACACTAATTGTAGGCCTCGCATTAAGAGGACGAACGCGTCGAGCCAGTGCACAACGTGGGTGACGCGCTCTTTGGCAAAAAAGGTACGTACCGTTTAAATGGCACCCCACCCGAAGCAGATTTGGCAGACTTGCTCAAGCCGGACTGACCGCCCGGCAGCTGTGCCCCACTATACGGGACTTTTTTTGCCAGGCCTCAGGTTTTTTTTATTTCTGCTGGTTGACGGAGGCACAATCTTGAGGTCCCATTGCGATTGCGGCCACCTCTAGCAGTTTCTCCAGCTTTCACGCTTCTTAAACCTCCCATTCATCGCCATGACTGCCGAGTACAAGATTCACAGGCCATTCGTTTTGGCGACGCTGCCACGGCCTTTAGATCATACCAAAGGCAACATCAATGCTAGGGAAGTCTATGGCCAAAAAGATGGCTTTAAGAAGAGAAAGAGGACCGAGCTAGTCGTCGGTATCGATGGGGAGAATGCAAGCATCTATGATGTATGTATGACGAGAGCGCCAAGTAGATTTTGTACTTACTTTCTCAGGTCCCAACCTCGAGGCAAATCACTTCATACCCGATCCCGCCCCAAGAGTCCTTCACCTGCGCGCCATACTCGGTACGAATCCGCACTTCAGAGACCAGCGATGTCTCAAGATACACATATGCCGTCATGAGCGACAAGGCGACGCAGAAAATTACACTATTCAAGGATGTAGTGAGCCTCGACGGCAAAACCGTCTCTACGACAGCCTCGCAAACTCTCAAAACCTCTCCCGTCAAGCACATTACTTGCACCTCGCTCCCTTCCACAGATTCTAAGATCGGCGATGTGATTCTTGTGTGTGAGGGCGGGGAAGTTCTTTCCGTCTCTGGCGAGACTTTGTCTACAAACTGGATGGCCGCTGCCAAGTCTTCTCTTCAAGACGTTATTGCTACTAAGATAGATGGGCTCGAGATTGAATACGTTGCGTCAGGTTGCATGAGCGAATTCGCAGACAATATGCTCAAGAACAAACCCGAAGTGTTTAGCGCGCTTCCCAAATCAACTGACACTGCGGAGCCGGAGCTTGTTGCGCTTGTCGCGAAGAGCACTACCAAGCAGCAGACCAGTAGACACCTTATCGTGCTGGCAGCTATGGGCAGCTCGACAGTCAATACAGACATGCAGAAACTGGTGCCGCTAGATATTTCGCCCATTCCGTCTGCCATCTCCCAAGGCGATGCGGCCGTGTTTCAGATTGACATTCAGTCCGCTGGTCTATTCCAGCTCCAAAACGGCATTCTCACCATCTTCGATCTTTCGAGTGCGATTCCGAAACTCAAGTCCACCTTTCAGACCGACGGTGCTACAACCTTTACTAAGCTGTCGCGGCCATTTGTTCTCTCATCGTCCTTAAAGACCATCACGCTATTCAACTACCATTACAGGTCAATACACGCCAAGATCGCACTCGATCTTTCCGAACTGCCAGCCGAGAGCCAAAATCCGCGTTCATGTCGATTCCTGAGCTACGTTCGTAGCCAAGATATTGCCGTGGCGCTGATTGACAATGTGCTGGTATCTATCCACGTTGAGCCACCTAGCCGCCACGGCAAGCGACGCAAAGAGGGTCTGCTGATTGACTCCATTGGCCGCGGCACCACCCTCGAGGTTGCACCTAAGCGTGCAAAACATTCCACCCCTGCCGAATTCTCTTGCCAAGTCCCCGGCACCATGACCGAGTCTTATCTAGCTGAATTCGGAGCGGAGGTGCGGGCAGCAGACGAACTGCTAGCGAACAGCGAACTGGACAAGTGGGAAGAGCTCTTGCGCGAGAAATTCCACATGAATTATTCCGATGAGCAGAGCGTGGCTTCAGAAGTAAACGAAGGTGGCGAATGGCGTTGGCATCGCGACGGCAGTAAATATGCCGCTGTTGACAGGCGGTGGGTCATTTATGCTCTCAGCCAAGTCTTTTCAGTCGAGGCAGGCAGCTCAGACGACATTGATATGCACCTCAGACTCGTGCTTCCCGACAGCAATGTCATGACATATCTAGCTGTTGCTGGCCACATGACGATTTCCAACCTGCGATCTGCGTTTGTTGAGGAGCTGAACAGGGTCGACGATAGAAAGATTGCGGCAGATTTGATAAGCTGCTTAACTGACGCAGAGCCGTCCATGTCGCTACTGCTCAACTATCTGCAAGCCACAAAGTTGGGTGAAACTGAGCTTATTCTGGCCATTCGCGCGCTTATGCTCAGTATGGACCTGATACCTGATACGAGCAAGTTGAACAGCACAAAGCTTCTCAAAGAAGAGTCTCACGAATCCAACGAGTACGAGATGGATCTAGACGACCTAGAGCGCGAAATTGCTGTTACGGAACATTACTTGGGCGACGATTCTAGCAGCCGCTCGCGCGGCCTGACTCTTGCTTTCACCAAACTGTGGCGTCAACCTGCGATTGCGACAGTCAAGGCTCTCCGTACTACTGTGCGCACGGAAGAGGTGCTGGCCTTTATCTATCTACTTCGTATGGAGCTTGTCCGAGGAGCCTGGACGTCGCTCTACGTCGACACCACGAGCTTTGAGTCGGAAGGCAACGACCCTCCCCCAGATGGCGTTATTACGCTGATTGCGGATTTGCTCGGCCGTTGCATGGATGCCATTGGCTCTGGGGGCTGGCTGTTCAATGATGCCATGTCGTGGGCGGACAAGGCGGAAACTGGTGACTTTTTGACGGCACTGAGACTAGAGGTGACGGCGGCTCTCGAGGGCATTGAGGAGGCTGTTCACTTGAACGGAGTGGTGAGCGAGGCTGTGCGGTATGGGCAAGCGATGCAGAAGAACGGCGCCGGGCGGCAGGTGGTTCGGAACGGCAACAGCAAGCCGATGACGATGCAGCTGGAGAGCCAGGAGTCGCAGGTCCTGCCGTTGGGACTCAAGGTGAAGCAGATGCCGACCAAGGAAAAAATTGTGTCGGGTGGTGAGGTGGTGCAACGCAGCGGGCGAGAGACGGGCCACCTGATCAGTCAAAAAGTAGACGCGTATTCGCTGGAGAAACTTGTGATGTAACCAGCGAGGCTCAGGGAAAGGCGTTTACATGCATGCGCATCTGGCAACATTTTGTGTATTTACTTTCAAGCATGAATCAATACTTGTATATTGCGCGAGGAGCGCGACATTTGTCTATGAGGATTGGTCCAAGCACCAGTGATTACAATACTGAAATACAGTACATTATGAGGATGCGGGAACGACTGTCTGAGTACCGTATTCCTCCAGCCTCTCTTCTTTCGAGTGTGAAGACGGACGCCTAACTATACCTGCGACCGTAGCCCGAGCTCGATTGCATTTGACTCTGAGCATCTTGGCTACCCCGACTGCGACGATCCATGCTTCTCCGTCGGGGCTCTCGCAGATGGTAGTCTGGAGGATACTCGGCCCTCATCGCAAGCCTCCTCCCCTGGCCATGCTCCCGGCTGGGCACGTTGCCCCCCGGGCGATGGGCGCGGCGCTCGACGTCACGGCCCCGCGGCGCCGCCGCCTGGTCCTTTGCCCCGCGGCCGCCGTCACTGCTCCGATCCTTCTTCTCATCCGCGCCGTTGTTCTTGGGCCAGAGCCTGCGGGCGACCAGCGCAGCAATGCCAATACCAGCCAACACGCCGGCGGACCTGGAGAGACCGCTGCTGCTGCTGCTGCTGCCGCCGCCGCTGGTGACTTGCTCCCGATTTCGGTGAGCGTGCGGCGCACGAGGCCGCGATCGGGGGCGGTCAGAGTCTCTGTAAGAGGAGGCAGCAGACGGGGGGCGGGATCTGGAGCGTGTGGGCGAGACGCTTTCGTCTTTGGGCCTGAGTGAGGGGTGGCGGGACACGGAACGCGGTCGATTCATGGCCAGCGATTTCGATTGTCTTGTTATGGTATCTTTCTGTTATCTGGTCCTAGATGCTTAGCTACCAGAGCTCGGGCATTAGAACACCAGAGAGTCCTTCCCTTTTCAATCTTTTCGAATAGTTGCAGTTGCAATCGCATCATCGAGGGTGCCTTGAGGGGGGCAAAGGCAAATGAGGCGTACCGCGTGGCGTTTTCGCATGGGCGGCGGTGTTTTTTTCTTTCAGCTTCCACTTCTGCGTGCGCTGGCAAACCTGCCGTTTTGCATAAACATGGCCTACATGGCTAGGCGCTTCAGAGAATAAGATGTGGCTGCTAAAAGGTGTTTTATTGGTTCTTTGGTCTAGGTTGCAATGCCGCTCTGTCAATGGTGATCCGCCTTGTTTACAAAGAGATGGTGTATAAGATGCCTTTCTCCTCTGACGCATTTGTGTGCCTTTTTCTATCCTTTGGATCATCACATGCACTCTCCATCAAGTGGTCCACTGAAAAGATGCCTTTTGGTAAAATGTGTGCCGGAATGTGTAGTGGTGACGCGGGTGCGCTGCTTCGTAATACTCTTCAGCCATCATCCGCAGCGGGTCTTTGTTGTGCCAGCCCAGGTAGGAAGAAAGTCTTTGATTTGAGGCCAGCGTCCGTTCTGTTCTGTATTCATCCACAACAGAAAAAACGCAAGTCGTCTCGCTCAAGTCAGCAATGCGCTGGGCGCCGTGGTAGATTGGTTGTGCGATTCTGCCTGGCGCGTCTTGTGCTGTCAGCTCAAGCGCATTTCAGCTCGCACCAGAAGGCACTGATAGCCGATGCCGAGAGGTTTTGCAAGTTTTCCATTGCTCTTCTAGCCTCTTGTTGTCAATTTTTCTTTGTGTGTTTCTTTCTCCTCACACGATAATAAAGGCCGATTCTTCCATGTGCGCTGCCAGAGCATCATCATCGTCGAGCTTTACGCCGCCGCCGCCGTTCTCATAGTAGGGCATCACCTCTGGGCTGCTCGCGCTACTGCTCGGTGTGGTCCACGTCTCTTCCGGGCGGCGAGGGGCAAGGTGATAGCCATTGCTCCGTTTCGGCCGACGAGGGGCAGGCGGCGTGGCCCCCGGCGGCGGCGGCGGCGGCGGCGGCGGAGAGAGCTGCGCCGATACGGGCGACGACATGGGCGACGACAGGGCCTGCTGGGAAAGCTTGGCGACTTTGTAGGACGCGGCGAATATCTGCTCGTTGGCAAAGCTCGGCGGCTGCTCGCAGGGCTGGGAAAAGAGGGCCAGCTCCGGGCCGAGGAAGTCGTGGTAGAGAAAGGGGACGGGCATGTTGGACGAGTCCGAGTAGGGCAGGCTAATGTTGAAATGCTGCAGCTCGCGCTGGCTGGCCTCGATCAGCCACGAGTCGTCTGTTGCGGTGAGGAAGCCCGTGACAAAGTAACCCTGGCGAGCCATGCATTGCTCTAGTAGGGTTCTTACGTCTCGAGAGTAGTCGTCGCATTTCATCAGCGTATGAAACGTGGTGTCAGGATCGGGTAGGATATAGCGTTTTACCAAGCGACACTCCAAAAGGATGGCTTGCTCTTCCATGTGCATTCCTTGATAGTCCAAGAGGCGAGATACGTGGGATGCCACGCCTTGGTTTCTGGCTATTGACATGAAATCCGTAAGCTTGATTGGCGCTGAGCATTTGGGTATCGCCATGGCAATTGTGCTATTCGCGTCTTTATTGTTGTGAAATGGAGCGGCAGCCATCAGGGGAGCCGTCTTGGAAGCCACAACTCGACATATCAAGTTTGAAGCCTCTGTCGCCGGAATGGGCTCGTGTAGAAGAACAAACTTGGCATGACTCATGGCGATGTCCTAGGACTGGCATAGACCGTAGAAAACCAATTCATCTGCCCGTCTGTCGAGCAGCAGCTGTGAGTATATTGTACTCGATGCGGATTGTCGGAGGGCGGGAACATGAGTGTGTTAAAAGAGGAGACGAAGCAAGGAAATCTGTCGTCTAAGTGAGCACAGGTCGCTTCTGTAACGCGCAAAACCAATGTTTCTCCATGTCAAGCCCAGAGCCACGAACCAGCGCACCCACTCCTATTAATATGAATTTTAGAAAAACTAAGAGAAACGCGCACAAGCACGCCACGGAGTCAACCGAGATCACAGAAACGGGGTTTGATGACGACTAAGTTACGAGCGGGAGGCCAGCCTCAGTGGAGCGGGAGTGCGTGTAAGAGCCCTTCACCCCCTCCCCATTTGCTGCCATGCCATTATCTAAAGCACTATCCGTATGCTTATTAGTGTACCCATGTCACAAGCAGAGAGAATCAGACCTTGCCCGATCTATTGCATGTAAAAAGAGCCGGCGTCGGTGGCGGCGGACCGCGTTGGCGTGAGGCAGCACCTTCGATGACCGAAAGTGGGAGCAACATGGCTTTTTACACGAGCTTCCGACCTTGCGCGGTGAGGATCCCCAACGCCGCAACGTGGTTGGCTGGGGTCTCGGGGGTATCTTGGCTCGAGTGGATGGAGGCATTGGAGAGGATCAAGTCTGCGTCAAGCGACCCTGAATTTTTTTTGGGGTTACTCGTGAGGGCGGCTGGATTCCGCACCACACCTGGGGCAACCAGGGGTGAGGATGCTCTTATTATTCCTCACAGGTAGGTTTGAGTCGTTGACGACAAGAGACTAAACAGAGAGAGGATTGTGGGAACCACCATCGCCCTATGTATGTGTTAACCTGCTGGGTGGCATGTCACGGGCTTCAGGGTGGCGGGCTGAACGATTTCAACTTTCTGGTTTGGGGAGGAATTATGAAATGTGCAATAATATCCAGCACGATAATTTGCTACGGAGCCCTAATTACGCTTTGTTAATGGCTGCTGTATACACACAAGAGGACAAAAGAGAGGGCATTTGGCTCCTCGCTTGATCCCATTAATTGGCTCCTACAGAGACTTTTTCATGAGTTATTAGCAGCAGCATCTGCAAGGAGAAGCTCTGCAAAGAGAAGCTTCCATTATGGTTTTGCAGCTTGTGGTGGGCGTAACAAAAAAAAAGCCGTTACCAGTTTCCCCCACAATCGGCCATGGCTGTAGGAGTTTAGGAGTTATGCAGCTGCCAAAAAAAAAAAAAAAAAAAAAAAAGGAACTCACCTCACATAAGCCTCTATCGTGAATCATGGAGGAAAATCACACTTAACTCGGGCGAGAATTGAGGAACACCCTATATTAGCTGGGTTGCATTCGACAAGCATGCAAGGCCCGGGTCGCTGCCCCCCGGGGTTCCATCCAGAGTCCATATTAGTTTATTATTAGGGACACAAATATCCGTTATTGGCTCAAGATTACAGCGCTATGCTTAGCGACTAAGCTTGTCAGCCTCAGTTGGCTCACCCACTGGAAACTTGCTTTCTTTTTATTACAATATTACCCGGGGGCATGCACACTGGTGATGAGGTCGCATTTGGCGTTCGCAGCCACTAAATAGCCTCGTCGGTTGTAGCCAGCTGAGAAGCGCCACCGAGGGCCGTTGGGCATTTAGTACGGCCAAGGAAGCATAAATTTAAGCGGAGAGCCCCCGCGGAGGGCGCGCAATGTACAGAGTTATGTCTGCTCTGGTGAGCCAAAGCCAATCCCGGTATCGCTTGCGTGCGGGCTTATTGATTGACTCAAGTCCGCTTCGCAGGACAGCGCGGGGCATCATCACCAGACAAGAAAGAGGTGCAGGACAAATGTAACACAACATATGTATCTGTCTCAATGTTTCCAGCAACAAACTAGTTCTTTTTTCCAGGCACACAACTTTCTCTGCAGAACGCACACCAGAATGCATCCCCCCTGGCTTGCGAATCCCGCAGCCTAAAGTTTTTGTTCGATTCGTGTGAGTTGCCTGGGTTCGTTCGCTCGTTCGCTTCTTCTGCCATGGCCCATGGACTCTTCAGCCCTTGTTGTTGTGTACACTGCCGGCCGCGCGAGTTCCATCATCCCCTGCCTGGTTCGTTCTAGGCTTCTAGCCCACGCGGAATCCCTGAGCCAGCCCGCAGTGCTCGATTCGGTAATTTTTGGCGGATTTTCCAAATTCAACAAGCTCTGGGGCCCACGCCACGCCAACAGGGGGGACAAAAAACGCTCCAGTCAAGGATCGGAAGCAAATTGAAATCTGTCCCGGTTAAAAAGCGTTGTGTAAATTTCCGATTCTCCGGTCATGCAGCCTAAAAGATTCGTCCAGGATATATCACACAACACCAAAAGCTGTGCACTCGTCGGTACGACTGAGCCAGGACCAAAAAAACATCTGAGAACCGTTATATAAATAGACTTGTCTCCCCTATAATAAACAGCGGTTTATATTAAAGTCTAATTCCGCACCTGCACCGTGACTGGGCTTGTTGACCTGCTTATTGCCATGTGTCATTGAACGCCCACCTAGAACCTTTTCAGCCGCAAACATCTGGTCATTCACGATTCGCAGTTCCCAAGCAGCAAGCCACATTGTCTCAAATTCCTTGAGGAGAAGGCTGCATTGAATACCGTCGGAGACACCAAGTGACTCCGCTAGTTATATTCGTACAAGCTCATCTCAGCCTGGTTGACACGATTTCCCGTTCCATCTCACGGGGTGATGCGGAAAACCACATGGGTTTGATGGGCAACAGTGGAGGGGGAGGGAGGGGAGGGGAGGGCCATGATCGGGACCGTTCGTTCCGAACCCCAGCGAAAGCCCGACCGAGAAAGGCCATCATAAACTGATCAATTTGCTTATAAGCCACGCCGGCATGTGAGATGTAAAAAAGCCGCTCAGCTGAGGCCCTCGCCACCCCTACGAGGCGGAATTTCTTGGCGACACTCAAAAGCATGCCCCCTTTTTTTAGTTTTCTCGTCTCCTTGGACAGCTGGCGGACAATTTCTTCTTCTTCTTTTCCCCCCGGGCCTTGCCTGCATGATGCGCCGGCGGCGTATGCACCTTACCGGGGTGACAGGCCGCGCCATGTGCCCATCCACCACCCCATCCATCAATCCCCATGCTTGCTTGAAGGCGGAAAAAAAGAACAAGTCTAGAAAAGAAAAGGTTGCCCAATGCTTCCAACTCCATTACGCCCTACGGCGGACTCGTTAACCGTTCATGGCCAAGTCCAGTTGTGGCTTACTTCTGGCTGATTAGGCCCTACCTACGGAGAACTATGGCGAGCATTACTAACCAGTTCAGCATGTTTCCTCTGTAGATAGATAGATATAGCTAAACGACTTTTTGGCAAGTGAGGTCGCCTCTGGTCAGATGCCTCACCCTACCTAGCTTCTGCTTTGAAGAAACTGGTCGTATATGCTCTCACCGCAAGCCTGCTCCCTGCTGCCATCCATGAGCCCATGGTCGGCTAGTTTTTTTTTTTTTTTTTTTTTTTTGGTTCTTTTTCAGGTCTAGGCTTGTGTCATACGGCGATCTCGAATCACGATTTCACCACGGCGCTTGATGTAGCGTGCCGTTTATAAGCAGCCACATCACGCAACAGGGACAGAACATCCCAAGTGTGTACTCCAGGAGAACTGTATTGATCCCAACTAGCACCTATTCTTCGAAACCTTTGCGACGAGCCGCCCTGATCACTGTAATCCCACACCCACCGACTTTACCTGAATATTTCAACAAGGCGCCACCTTGCACTGGTGTGGCAGATTTGCTCACGCACGTACGTACCCATTCTTCATCTGTCCTAGGCGTCGGCACAGTTTACAGAAGCTGTGCGGTTTTGCTCCCATGACTGGCTTAACTTTGTATCCTGCTTTCAAAAAAAGAAAAAAAAAAGGCCTGGCCATTTTGCAGCATGAAGATCAAGGTTAGGAGTGCTCCTCTCAATCACGGAGCGTCGACATGCCAACTCCGTCAAACAGGGGCATCAAAAAGGTGTCTAGCCTCTCGCTTTTGATCGCCATGTCGTTGAATTCCCGGAGCGCTTCAAGCGACTGGCGATCACGAGAGTCGGCCCAAGGATTCTCATTGCTGTCGTTGGCTACAAGGCCGCGCCGCAGGACATTGTCCGCAAGTATGACACCGCCCTTGCGCAAGAGCCGCGAGGGCGCCCCGGGCTGCGACTTTTCGAGAATCGTGCGCAGATAAGATGGGTAGCCCGTCTTTTGGGCGTCAATGAAGACGAGGTCATAGGGCTCGTCGGGACTGAGCTTGGCCAAGCTAGCGAGAAGAAGCGTCAGTAAATGTCGGTTTTCGTTGGTCACTCACTCTTTGCACACCCAACGTCTGTAATCTCTATTGCTCTGCTTTCCATGGCACAAAACTTACGTCTCGAGGGCATCGCCTTGAACCACCTCTACATTTGCGATGCCGTGCTCTTTGAAGGCATCTCTGGCCGCGTCGGCGTACTCGGCCACGAACTCGAGCGTTGTGACCTTGCCGTCTTTGCCCACGGCGTTTGCCCACACCATGGCAGAGTACCCAACAAAGGCACCAATCTCGAGCACGCGCTTAGACCCGATGGTGCGCGTGAAGAATGTCTGAAACTGTGCTTGGAGGTTGGATATCATGTACTCCATGTCCGGATGGTTCGCGACAATGTTGGCATGGTAGTCGGTGATGTGCTTTGGCAACGCCTCTGAGTGGGCGGCCGCGTATTCTATGACACTATTGGTGACATTTTCATTTGGGTACAGTGCATTGGTGTTGGCGGATTTCATGATTTTGATGTTTGCCTATTATGTTGATGATTGTTGAACATTCAAGGCCAACTGGTAAAGGTGAGGAGCTTGTTTTTATGTACAAGCTTGTCGGCGCTAAAGCACATCGCCGAGCCGGCCCGTATTGTCATGTTTCGCAGTGACGCGTCCAACCGCTGATGAGGCAATGCACAAAACGACTAAACAAATGGGCAATAAAGTCGCAGATGGATCATTGGACTCACTACTATCATTACATCCTGAGTTAATCAATTTATCCTTTTCCCTTAGGTTGCCTTCTTTCTTCTACGCTGGAGGGCTAATCCGTTACCTGAATAGACGCGGGGTATCTACTACATAAAGTAGAGACATGGCCAAAGGCCTACTGGCTGACCGACCTTGTAGTATCAAATTCCCTTTGCTAGTTGGCCTTGGTGTACGGCCTTATGCCCAAAGTGATTATCGCCGGCGTGATCCAACCAGACACGCCGCATATCAACAGATTACTCCAGCCGCACCCGGATGTCTGCGGGGTACTCTTGCTCGTTGGCGTGGGATGCAAACTCCGCCAAACACTGGGAGATGTGCTCATTGTGTTTACCAGTAGAATGCTTCACCGACTTTACATTTCCGTGGAAATAATAGACTAACAGATGATGCAACCACTCATTGCTCCCTTTGCCTCCGTGCCACGTAACATGCTGCACCTGTGGCGTCTCGTTCTCCGTAGCTAAGCGCCGAGATGCTCTTACGTATTGCGAAGCTCAACGGCAGGCATACTTTCACATCACCTCACGCTACTTTTGCACGCAAGTCTCTGCAGTCTACACTACTGAGGGAGAGTGACATTGGCCCTGCTGTTCTGTACCGGGAGGGGGTGAATTCGGTGTTGCTGCCGGCTGAGCAGTCAGGCACAGACAAGCTCAACCTTGACCGCGGAACATGGCCTCGAATAAAAAGGCGGAAATCCTCAAAAAACCCTGCATATACACTGCTTGCGCGGGCGCGATTCGCGGCCCGTGAAGATTGCAATCTGTTGGTACGGCCGGACCAAGCTCATAGGTCGTGGCGCAAACTGTTGTTTGTTCGCGACAAACTTGTCATTTGTACTGAGGTCTCGCCGAGATCTAAATATACCTATACCATACAATGGCAAGTCAAAGCATACTATTCAGGATTGCTACTCTAGCTACTTGCATGACGCTCTAAAATGGACATCAATGCACTCAAGCGAATGTCTGTTTTACAGACAGGTAATTCTCAAATCAAGCTAAATCCCACCACATGTGTTCACAACGTTGACTCTTATAAAATTTGGTCACTCATTCTCTTGCATTAATTACGTGGACCAGAATAGGGCAGCATTGCGATTCATTGAAGTAGAGTGTCAGGCGCTGCCCCTTGGCTTGCTCTGAGAAGGTCAATCAAGCAAAGCTATACAATAAGCCATCTACCTCGTCTTGCCTTCACCCATCTATTCTACCTCACTCTACTAGAGGTATTTCAAGGTGAAAGCTCCCACGCGAAAGCTACTGATGGCGTCAGAGTTTGGCGGTTTGGACCAAGTTGCCCAAAACACCGGCGAATAAAGCGGGATCCAGAACTTAATATGCTTCAATGTCAGAGACTACGTCAGTCTCATCGTTAAGGAGTCGAACAAGTAGCCAAGTCCAGCCCAGTCCTGTGGGGTCATAGATCGATCAATATATCTCGAGCTCGTACATTGGTATCGCATAGCTATGCCCAGTAGCGGGATGGACGTTCGGGACTGGGTTGCCCACGGGCCGATCCTAACATTGCTAAAGTTGGCCAGATGCCAGAGACTCCGCTGTATCTCTTTTACACGTTGCATGACTCATGATACGCAATGCCTACATGTGCCACGCTCGAAAGTTCCTTCAGCTCAAGCAAGGTCGTTGAAGCGCTTATCAGCGGCCAATAGCCGCGCCTTGATCCCGTTTACTAGAAGCTGTAATTTGCCGAGCTAGTTACAGCCAAAGTCTCCAAATGCTCTTACTTTGTCCTGCACTTGCAAGTATATACGTCAACTCCGTCTTATCTTCTTGCCACCACCGAGCCTTGCCTTGGTTGTATATCCCGAGCAGCGAGACAGCTGCCCTGGCCGCGCCTGAAGCAGTCCCATTTGAACTTGTCGCGACGGCACGTGCTCTATCAATGGCTGGCGGCGCGCTCGCGCTGTCGATTCCACAATGTGTCTCCAAGTGGGAAACTAGGCTGGCCGCCCTTGATTCTCTAGCCTCTTCATCTCCACGACAAACGTGCGGAGCCTTCGAGACTGCTGAGCAGCAGAAGATGACCAAGGGGACTTGTCCATGAAGCTGCCAGTGACCATGACACTTTATGGTGGCAAGGTCCCCCTCCGCGGTCTTGCCCAGGGCGAAATGTACGACATTGAGGTCATGTTGTTGCATGTACAGGAGCTGGCGTGATCACTCCCTCTTCGTAGCCGCGAAATGGTTTAGAGACCTCATTGCCGTCGAGGGTTGCATTCAAGTGCCTTCGGAGGGAACACCCCTTCCCTTATATATTTGTTCAAATTACACAGATGAATCGGTTTTAGCACATGTCTCTAGTAGTGACGGTCAGTATTGACTACAAAAGGATCACTATTCGGTGCTGCGCGGTATGATACAAGGTGCGATTGGTCTCAGTCTGTCATTTAGACCAATGTTAGGAATAGTCACCAGACTGTGTACGTTGGCATATTGCTGTAGCATTCTGCAGCCCGTATGTCGTATTTCTGGCCTTGGCTTAATATTTTCCCTATTGCATTGACTCGTTATAACTAGGTGAAAAATCATCAAGGGAGCTTTGAGCATGATGACTCGCGTGTCACGCTCGAATTCGCCTTGAAAGAACCCTGTCCGATGCCCACGTTTATCAGGGAACAGGCTACAGTAACAATAGCGGTAAGCCGTTATCGATCATGGGTAGTGGCCAGAGGCTGGGCACACAGTTGGCTGCAAGATTGCTGATGGCCATCACATTCGACAGGGGGTAAGGGGCGCGGCCAGCCTACGAATCATGATATTTGCGAAGTGTACGTTGCCTGGATGGAAGAAATGAGCAGCTGATGAGGGTGGCAAGTTGACAGACCACGGTGAGGGAGGAAGGGGTTTCGTATTATTATTAGCGGCGTGGGTGCAGCTGGGGCGGATCCGTGCTCGTTCTCACTGGTCAACTGGGTGACGAAACAGACGCCTCCGCTCTCTCTCATTTTTATACTTGTTAGCTATACATTGAACTTGAAACTCATAAGTATTTCCCCCAACTATAGTATATCTGCTCTCTCGTATCTTAGTCGCTTTTCTTATGGGCTTTTATTTGTCTTTTTCTCTCTACTGCAGTATTCACAAGCCTATCATCCCCCCTTGTCAGTATCGTTATTAGCCTTGTTCAAGAGGGGCGGCGGTACCTCAGATTGCAGGATTCGGGGCAGGGGCCTGGTGATGAGGGTGTGGAGGTGTATCAAAGGTGTAGAGTTGCGTGTGCACACAATCTTTTTTTATTTTTTATTTTTTTTTTGGCATCAACTTGTATCATCATCCGGTTGTAGGAAACCCCTGAACTAGCTGCACTGGAATTGCCCAGCGATAAGTTGGCACAGGAAAATCAAGGACTCCTCTTCGGAAACACAGCAAGTGACTGCTAAAGCTCTGTGCTGAAGCACGGAGTACAAGGCTGAGCTTCCTCGTAGTGGTACAGACAGACCTTGTGTCGTCGGACCCATATTCCACACAGGCGCACACACGACACGGGCTGGAGGCTTTCGAGGCAGAAGCTACTCCGTATCAGTAGTTAATACTGGGTATAATTACCTGTCCATTCTGGGCACCAACAGCGCCGGGGGTGCAAGTTGTGGTGTCCAACAGGCTGCATCATGGTGCATTCCAGGCGCTGACGATCAGCGAGCATGGGGGGGGGACATCGCGACACACATAGGGAGTTGTGGCTGGCACGCACTCTGTCGCTGCTGACCGCAAAACGCATGCTGGGTTTGTTTTGAGCAGCCTTTTCATTCTTTCCAAGTCGAAATATCGGGAAGCACCCCCCTTCCTCCCCGGGCTGTGCAAATGAACAAAAAAAAAGGGCACCAGTACTTGAAACAGGAACAGGAGGGCGCACGACACACGACGCCTAGTATTTAAGGAGTTTTGGCAGTTCAAGCAGTATCCGTACGGCAGCAAGACAACCGTGCCCAAGTTCGTGTAAAGTGGTTTTGAGCGGCAAGACTTGTTGGTGGTGAATCTAGTGGTGACACGCCCTTTTCATTTTCCATTTTCCATCTTCCATTTTCTTTTCTCCTCCGGCCAGTAAGCGTCAGGCGAATGAATACAAGAATTGGCAGGTGGCAAGGCAAGGCAGATGGCCAGAAAACCAAAGTAATAGCGAAATTAGAGTTGAGGCGGCGTAAATCAAAAGGCAAACGCATCACCTAAACCCGGTCGTTCAAGGCAAAGAGAAGGTTAATAAGAAAAGCAAAAAAAGAAAAAAAAACAAACAACAAAAAAAAAGAAAATAATAATAGCCAGGAAGTCCAATCAATCAACATGCAGGGTGGACTTTCTTTCTGCATCCCTTTTGCCGTAGCCGTCTTGGCCAGCCCACAGCAAACTTTGGCGCTACTTCAAGTTTTGAAGTCTAACAAATTTGCAGCAATACTGGATGCTTTTGGATCGAATGCACATGATGCTTGGAGTTTATGGTGTTTTTTTCGCAACCCCCCCCCCCCCCTTCCTCCCCCACCCACTGGAAGGCCCTGACTCGGGTAGTTGAATGGTGGCATTTTCCCTTTTTTTGCTTTTTCTTTATTAAACTAGTTATCACAACAACAGCATACATAGGTATTTACCTCTTTGCTCTTGTCCCTACCTGCGCCTGCAAACTTCCACCTCCAGTGTGTCACTCTGGGGCTTGCTCCAACGAATGGCCGATCCTGTGGATGCTGGTTGCTGACGCCTCTTTTTTTACTAGCGCCCCTCTTCTCTCTCTCTCTTTTTTTTTTTTTTAAAGAAAAAAACATCCCCCTCCCAGCCTGGCTCATTATCCGCCGTCAGCCCCCCCGGCTCCAGCGGTGTCTCCGTATATATGTACTTTGTTGTTTCTGTACATGCACATTTGTTGAATAATAAAGAGAGCAAGAAAGCAGCTTCTGCGTTGGCAACTACACTGTTTAGCTAGCCCAACAACTTCCATATCCTTGCCAAAGCGAACCAAAAATGTACATTCATTAGCTGACGTTAGGCTCTTGGCTCGTTCCAGGCCTATTTCCAGTTTGTGCAGGTGGTGAGCTCTGGGCAAGGCAACAGGATGGACCGCATTGATAAGCCAGGCCCATGTGCACAAGAACGGCTGCGACAACCGCGGCCCTCTTCGACCCCCCCCCCCCCTCCTCTCCCCGGTTCCCATGGCCATACCAACTCACAGTGCAACTCACCCGTAGCCTCGAAAATGTTGCGGCGTCTCGCATGCTGCAAGCGAGCAGCCTTGCTCATTTCTTTCAGAGAAGATCCCTTTCTTTTTTTCTTTTTTCTTTTGATGATTGAGAAAGGGCAGGGAATTCTTCTTCCCTGAATAAAGGAACTGCTCAAGATCAGGGCAAGGCCGCAATCTCGCGTCCCGGGTGGCAAAGAAAAAGGACGGAACTATCCATTGCCCTGGGCTGAGTAACACGGCAATATGAGACCTTTCTCTCTCCGCCATCCCGAGTTCCTCATCTCGAGTTCATGGAGGGGAAAAGCCGTCGTGCCAGCCTGCCAGGCCACCCGCGGTGGGGACCGTCATCCTCATGCTCACTCATTTGTTGCACTGGTCACTGGTGTCCCCCTTTTTTTTTTTTCTCTTCCCAGCCGTGCAATTTTTCCCCAGTTCTTTTTGCTAGCGTTGGTGAGAGTCTCTCATGCCATTTCGTGCTTGTAACCTGAGCGAGCTATAAGTATTGATCCACTACAAACGGATAAGCAGTGATGAGTTATCGTGCAACACTGCTAGTTATTACTTATTTACGCCAAAAACAGCCACCAAAGAAAGGCCAACAGGGGGGAAAGAAGATACGGATACGTAGTCACGGGAGAGACGTGAATAAAAACTGGGTTCAAATACTCGAGCCAGCCATCCATCGGCTCATGAACAAATGGCACACCCCGCCGTCACAAGTTGATACAACCAAATCCAGCCATGTTAGTTAGCGCAGAGACCTACAGAGGTTGTGCAAGCCCAATATCGCCCACCCGCCCAAGATGCCCTTTGTCCATCTTTCATTGGAATGACTTGATATTCTTTTGATGGACAGGCAGTATTGCCCAATCAAGCATGAGGTGTTTTTGCTTGCAGTCGCTTTTTCTCGTTCCCGGTGTACGGAGCACCAATCGTCACTGCCGACTATCAGTATCCAAGCAAGTAGATGCACTTACCTCAGACAGGGGTCATGCATAGTAGTGGCGTCCCGCCTTCTCTTTTCCGCCTGGCCCTGACCAAGGGTTGCATGCATCCTGAATAAGTACTGCTGGTGTCGCCTCGAGACTTCCTCAACCTCGGGCTCTCTCACTGGTTGTTTGCTGGGCTGATATAATTATCAAATACGGAGTAACTTGGAGCTTGAGGATCTCACGAGTCTGGCCCTAGACGATTCCAACCCGCTCGCCAGTTTGAAAAGTGTTATGCCACCCACTCTGCATGCTGGCTGGAGCGATCACGGCTGCGGCTTGTTGAGAGGCTTTGACTCGTTGTCAGCAGTACTATGAAGCCGCGCGGCGACACCTTGTGCTACACAAATGCTCTCTTGTTTTCCTCTTGTTGATGACGCTTTGTTCCCTGTCAAACTGTATCAATTCTCATGGCTGGGAGCAAACCCATGACGCGACAGTATGACCCGGGCACAAGGCCACAATGTATTCTGGCTCTGCTGCAGTCAGACAGTTGCATCTTGTCCATCCTTAGCCAGCGCCTCGATGATATTATAGTAATTAATAACGATGACGACTTACAGCCGTGCCTCGGATAAGCCAGCTCACTTGGCTTTGCCAAGTTCTTATTACTGGTCAGGCTGCTACTCAATGAAGCGACCGCCTGCTGCGCCATTGGGATGCCGCGCCCGCTTGCCCCTCAGAAACAGGCGCTAACTAATCCGTAGGTACCTAAGAAATAGCACCAGCCCACCAACCCACGCAACCATGTACCCATCCCGCCACAGGGCACAGAAGCCGTGTCAGCTGGGCACGTCGGCTCGTCACAAAACGTTCTTCCTGCACACTACCTTGTCCTGAGGGCGAAAAAACATGCGCAAAGGCACGAGGCGCGGCCTGAAGGTCGCTGGGCTCTCGGTGCAGGACTCACTCCTCAGCAAGAGCCAAGCCAGGAATAGGCATGAGCCTAGAGTGGCCTACGCGTCCCATACCGCCGCACCACACCCGTCCCTTTGTTCAGAGAGACTGCAGGATTCCCGGGGCACTTGCTGCGTGTCCGCGTGTGAGTCTGAAAGGGCCTGACAACGGTATCGATACGGGACTGGCTCCACAGCATCAATAGGCAGCCAGCCTTCCAAAGTACTATTGGTGATTATCGGCCGTGTATGGATCGGAGTATGGCAGAGGCAAAAGGCTACATATACTCTTCAACATGGCTTTGTTGAAGAACTAGGAGGCTAGAACATTCTTCGTCAAGGATTTTTCGTAATCACCCAACACGTCACGTAATACGAAGCGTCTACTCATGGGGCGCATTCTCGCACAATAAATGGTGATGGCTGTGGTTTCGGCCTTGTCGAAAAGCTCTGGACTGGGGCGTCGTTGGCGCGAAGCATGCTTGTAGCTATTTACTGGAAAGTTCCAGTCTAATAATTAAAAGGCGGATCCGGCTACCTTTGGCGAGGTATCTCAGGGCGGGGATAATGCTGGACAAGGTACTTCGAGATTGCCGTCGCTCTGTAGTAGGCTGCGCAGTGTATTGGAGCCGCTCAAGGCGTACTTGGAGACTGTGTCGCGCCGGCAGTGTCTGATGAGGAGGCAAGGAGGATGCAGTTTGCGACAAAGCACAAGCACCAGTTTGGTGAGGCAATGTGCATTTTGTCAAAGGTGTGGTACTGTACTGTCAGAGCTGGATGAACGTCTGTGTGCTCCCTACTCCGTACGGATAGTGTTGATGAGGCATGTACCGTTGGGTAGTTTGTGGTGATTGTGGTGAGGACGGACGGGCCAGAACGGTGGAGCTTGCGTGCTCTTCTGCTTGCATATCCATCTGTATTCAGTTTTGAGCTCAAAGTAATAATGATAGGTGACAATTGGCCGACTTGGCTTGCGCCATGCCGGAAGAAACGGTAAGTTGGGTCAATGTACTGGTACGGGTACCCTGACGGAAGGGTGGCTAGCGCAGGCAGACTGGCATCTATGTATTCGTAGAGAGCCACAGCTGGGTACTTGTGTACATATTTTGTACATGGCATGGATCAGAGGCTCGGGGCTATGGCACGAATCAATCATGATTCTTATTTATGTGGTAGTGGTCGGGTGGCTCCCTTTTTTGCCGTGTTATGAGGGTGTGTCACCAGTCGGCTAGTGAGCGGCGGTCAAGCTTGATACTTGTAACAGGACGTGCAAGTTGAAAAAAAAAAAATGGAATAATGTGCCAAAGAGGGAACAAACAGCAATGGATAACTAAGATTGTAAAGAAAAGAAAAAGTAATCCAACAAGGGGGGGCCCCAAGAATGGGAAGCATGGGGTGGTTCGAGGCGACGACTGACCAGTGACAAGGCGGCGTGGCAAAGGCAGGCTCGTAAACGGGGCCGCTCCCTTTCCTGTGTCTTGTCGCAGCGCACTGGAGCCAGGCGCAGGTGCAGGCGCTAATCGTGATTGGAAAAGTCGCAGCTGCAAAGGGCATGGTGTTTTGGGGTTTTGGGGCGTCGGTCCAAGGCGTGGGAAGAGTAAAGGGGATAAATGTCTGGAGGGCCGAAGATATGAAGACGAGCGAGATGGCGAAACAAATAGAGGTCGATAGCAACGATGGTGATGGCGCTGGCCATGGCCATGGCCATGGCGATGACGTGAGCTTTTGATGATGTCGGTCGTGGATAATTCTGCACTGGTTTTGCTTGTGCATCTTGTCATGACTACCAGCACTCGTCCAAGGGAAGGGAGATACAGGGCTCACCTATTTGACTTTGAATTTATCATATTAATTGCTTCGAGCGAGCTGAACCGCTTCTGCTACCGCACCCTTGTCATTCAGCGCCCGCAGCACGGTCATAGACTCATGGGTGGTCCTTTGTTAGCGGCAAAGTACTAACGTTTTAGTGGACTGGGTGGTGGCACAGGGGCGCCGAGACCACTGCAACTGGCACCCACTGGTCTTTGCATGGCGCTGCTCAATAAACAGAGAGGGCATGTTGGAGAGCCTAAAAGAAAATCAAATATTAAAACATACGGATGGTTATCCAACTTCTTTGTGCATCCATGTGATCGGTGTGCATTTGACTCGATCCATTGAATGCAAATATATACAGAGATAAAGAAATACAGAAAGCGTGTCTGGCTGCATCTGTGCAGAGAAACAGCAAGAGCCAGCCAGCCATTCAGTCGGTACCTGCCATGGTGGCTTTGCAGGCACTTCACCCACCGTAATTAGTCGCGCACCCCCCAAAACTACCCAAAACCATCTGATTGATCCAACGAATTATTCATAATCACTTGTAGTACCAGCAAAATCACACCCCCAAATACTCCAAATACACTCCCCCCACCCGCCCTCCAACTTGGCCAACCACATCGCCTCCTCAACCTTGCCCATCTTCCATGGCTCCTCCGAGACCCTCCTCAAACTCTCTGCCAATGCTCCAATCCTCACCAGCCAGCTTCGCGACCGAAGCCTCTTGGAGCAGCCCACCCCGGGCCAGTCCTTTCGCGGCACTGTCGTCCTTCCTTGGGTCCGTCATCATTCACCACCTTGACAAAAAAACCACACTTGAACCCTGCTCTGTTCTTATTACCACTTTGTGCCATTCTGCTCCATTTTCGACCGCTCCCATGCTCCCACTCGTCATGGCCTTGCCCACTTGCACTTGACTTGTCGTCGCTCCCCTCCAAGCAACCATCTGTCTGCCCTTGTCTTCTTCCCTTCTTTTCTTTCTCTTCGTATCCCGTTCCCCCACCATCAGCCCTCTCCCGCAGACACTGGCAACACACTCTTCGCTCGAGCCCGCCTTAATAAACAGATTGCCCACCTCGATGCCTTGCCGCATGCTGATTTCACGACCGCCTTTCCTCAGTCCGCCTCTCCTGCTCCCTCCAACATCCGCCTCTCTCCCGACAAACGCTTGACTTCGTCTTCACTTACACTCGACGTTTGCAACGCACCCGTTCCCTGGCAGCTGCTCATCATCGACTTCCTTGCCGCCTGCCATTGGCTTCACTCCTCCCAGCCGAAAGAAGCAAACGGGCACGATTCTGACCAACTCGCAAAACGCTCGCCAGTCGCCCGCGATTTCGCCCACGGCGACCTCACCACGGCTCTCGCCTCTTTCCTGGCCTGTCCCTCCATGCCTGCTCAACTATTGACCACTTCTTCACATCATCCTTTTCCCACTCTCACCTCTGCTCACGAGCTCGGCCCCTGCTCATATGCTCACTCAACCGCCTCCTTCGACTTGAATACAGCATCCTCTGGCCACGGCCCTCTGGCATCTCGTGTCCGCTCTCGACCTCTAGCGGCCAACATGAGTGCCACATACCAATCCTCCTACGCCGCCTATGACCATGCTGCACACAATTATCCTGCTGCCGTTGCCCAACCAAGCAGACCCAAGGCCATGGCAGCAGACCCCCGAAGTCTCCAATATCTACGCTACCCGTCTCAGCCCGGCCAGCAGCCAGTGCACCAACAGTCTTTGTCACAGCCTCAGCACGCCCTCCGACACGACGTTCCCACCAGATCTCAGCAGCCGCCTAGGGATTCTCGCTACTTGGCGCGTCCGCCTACACCTTCTTCCGATACCACGATGCCAACCCAAGAAAGTCGCTCCAGACGAAACTCGGATACACTCATCTTTCACAGCCTCCAAATACCAAAATGTATTAGCCCAGCTGGAGGAAATCTGGCAGACTTTGCCGCTCAGGTAAATTTCTCTAGCCTGCTATTGCTTGTTGTACTTGCTAACACTGTTCAGATGACGTGTTTATTTTGGTTCCAGTCAATGGATGACCTGAAGAAAGCCGAATCTATCCGATCGATTCCCGCCGCTGCCACACTGCCTCGACTGCCCTCCTTGGCCAAACCGTACGACCAGTTTCGAAAATGGACTCTGAATGTACTCTCCACAACGCAGGTGACACAGAATGTCATCTTGCTCGCGCTCCTCTTCATCTATCGTTTGAAGATGTCAACCCCGCAGATTAAAGGCCGGGCCGGTAGCGAATATCGACTGCTGACTGTCGCTCTCATGCTGGGTAACAAGTGTAAGTACCCCAGCGCACACTGGCCACTAGTGATAAAAGCTGACTTGCCTTTAGTCCTTGATGATAATACCTATACCAACAAGACTTGGGCTGAGGTATCCTGCTTTGCCGTCCAGGAGATTCACGTCATGGAAGTTGAATTTCTCAGTAACATGCGATACAACTTGCTGGCTTCCAAGGAGGAATGGGATACGTGGCTGACCAAGCTTGGCTGCTTTCACGAGTACTATGACCGCGCCCTTCGTCAACCTGCCTCGCCTCTGCACATGGCTGCCAATGTAGGCATGTTACAGTCCCCGACATTGTCACCCAAGGCCAGCATGCTACCCATGCTGCCTGATTTACCACCCTACACTCCCACCCACACCAAGACGTTCTCTCCTACTTCAAGTCACTCGCAGGATTGGCACACTTACCAGGCAAACGCCGTCTCGCCGCTCGCATCGAAGCCTGTTCGCCTTGCTACTTCGCGCAAGAGAAGCCTCGAATATGATGCTGCCGACCACCCCGCCAAGAGGCAGATGCCCCCGCAGATGGCCCCTGGCATCGTTCCCGGTAACGGTGTCCGTCCTACTGGTTCTGTAGAGGGACGACCTCCCATTCCGCAGCTCAGCGTCGTGACGAGCCAAGCCCAGCCAGTCGCAACATCGTACCAGCCAGCCGGTCAGATTTATACTCCAAACTCCAACATGCCTCTTCCACCGCTCCAGCTTGGTGTCCGTGCCATGTCATCGGTATATCAGCAACCGCCCAGTGGTGCCTTGGCCCAACAGCAATCTCAGCCTCAGCATCAGCAGCAGATGATGCCGGCATCGACGATGTCAGCTGTCTATCCTGCTTCAGCGACGGCTGTCCATCCTCCTGTCAACCTAGGGACACCCAGCAAGCGTCGCAGTCCTGGCCACCTGGTGCAATACACATCATCGCCCATGGCGGAGGCCTACGGAGCGGGATCAGCCATGCATACACCTCTTGCACTGACGCCTTTGGCCAACTCGCCTAGCATTTACCTGCAGCAGCGCTCGAGCCCTTACAAGCCTATCCGACACGTCAACAGACTCCTGCATCCCGCATCGACATCTCTGGACCAGTACCATCTGTCTGTACCAATCCACCCCAATCAGATTCACTATCAGCCTCTGGGGCGACGCAACGACGTGCGCACCGGTGTGGTGCCCGAATTCGTCATGTACAACAGACAACAGCAGCAACAGCTGCTGCCACAGAGCCGGCATCAGGGCGTGTACCCCTAGATGTGGCCTGCGCTTCCGTTCTCAGCATCGAGATGATGCATACCCGACGTTTTCTTCTTATTTCTCAACATTCATGGTGAGACTGTTTACGAAAAGCAGTCTTTGCATTGTACAAAATATCACATGTTTCCTTTTCTTTTTTTTTTTTTTTTGCTCTTTTCTATCTAGCTTCTCAAGGTTTCGGCGTAAGGATTTATTGCAGCATTGTTTTTAGAAGTTGCATTGCATGGCATGGGATAGCATTAGCTACTGGCGTTGGTAAAGACATGGTAGCAGTACGCACAAAGGCGTGATTATTGACGAAGAGACTGGCTACAGACATGACCAGCAGGCCGTTACATGTGGCATATACTGGTCGCTGGAGAATTTGTTATTGCTTGATTGTACTCTTTTTATACGTGTGGCATAGGGAGTGAATAATTGGACGTAGTAGAAATATCACAGCCGCACGTCTTTGCTTGGCCTGTGATCCAGCCGCAACAGCGATGCAAGGGTTTGGCGATGATGAGGAGCAAGAGGCCAGGTGCTCAACACACAAGAACCAATAGATGTATTGATACCAGCACAAGTTATTCATATCTTATAATCTGAAAATTGTTTCATGTGGACGCGAATAAAGGTGTCAGCGTGGACAGTGGAGTACCTGTGACGTAGCCGTGCGGCCAGGGCGGATACGAGCAGGCAGAGAGGGCTTAATATCAGTAGCTTGGCCTCTTGGCCTCGTATCAAATCACACTGGAGGAGCCGTGCTGAGGATGGTGGATTATGTCGACAACGATTCGGAGCCATGCATGGTACGAACATTGTTTCAAGCCACGCGGTGACTCCAGAAATGTGCCAACAGAAAGAAAAGGTGTATTCTGCTGGTTGGCCAAAGCAGTGGGCCACGATAGAATTAGTACCTACTGTGTGACTGTCTCATGACCTTCTATCTCTACGAGCAACAACATGATTGATTCCCAGGTAAGCATAACCAAGTCTCAAACAATTCCCAGCTCATGGTTAGAGTCTTGCAAGAATATCTGCAGCTGACGGAAAGCAGCGCGGCAGAGAACTTTGACTTTCATCACAGGGACCTGTAGGGTATCGCGGCCACCATGGCAACCGCTCACGCTTAAGAAGACCCATATTTTCCCTTTGCACTTGCTCGTCGCTCATCTAGATTTCGAAACCCGACCCCCTTGAATGGCCTCAAGTTGTGAAGGTGCCCAAAAAAACACCACAACGGAGAATAAACCGCACACGTAAGGGTAAAAGGAGTCTAGCCGCCCCTTTTGACCGCAAGACGATTTCCAATCTCGAAATAGCCGCTCGCTTACTGTACCGATTCTTCTTCTTTCAGCAGCATTTGTTTCCATTTGCCCCGTTCCCCTGTTTCCAGACGATTCGGACCCCGAAGTCTCCGACTACCGTTGTCTGCATTTCGTCGCAAAGCAGAGCAGATAGAAACCAGAAGACTCGAGAGTACTGCTACTCGTCTTGGGCACGACGACTTCGTCTTCCCTGCCAGCCCACCAGTACACTTTGCCGACGACACTTCCTGCCAGACAATTCGAAGCAGACGCTACCAAAGCCAATCGATCACTCTTCCTGATACGCCTCTTTCCGAATTGCCGACGACAGAAACTCGAATTGTCACGGCGCCTCCGACAAACCGCCCACCATGTCGGGCTTTGGCGACTTCACCTGGATCTGCGAGAATGCGCCGCTGCCGCTGTGCGCCTCGGTCGGTCCACGGCTCGCCGGCGTCGGCCACGTCGGAATCGAGCCCTCATGCTACGCGCGCAACATCGAGCTGGCCAACACCATCATCTTCGAGGGCGCCGCCTCAGCCACGCACATCTTTGCGCTTTTCATGACGGTCGTCATGATCTTGCACGTCCGCTCCAAGTTCACCGCCGTCGGACGTCGCGAGATCTTGACCTTTTTTTATCTCTACATGCTGCTGTCGTTCTTCTCGCTCGTTGTTGACGCCGGTGTCGTGCCGCCCGGGTCCGGCCCTTACCCGTACTTTGTCGCCGTGCAGGGCGGCCTGACGAGCGCACTCGTCACGTGTCTGCTCATCAACGGCTTCGTCGGATTCCAGCTGTATGAGGACGGCACGCCGCTCTCGGTGTGGCTGCTACGCATGTGCTCGCTCGTTGCGTTTGCTATTACCTTTCTTGTCGCCATCGGCACCTTCAAAGGCTGGGCCGGCCTCTCGCCCACCAGCACGGTCGGCCTGTTTGTCGTCCTGTACCTGCTCAACGCCATCCAGCTGTTTGTCTACGTCGTCATGCAGGTGCTCCTCGTCACGCGCACCCTGCAGGATCGCTGGCCGCTCGGTGACATTGCCTTTGGTGTCTTCTTCTTTGTCATCGGCCAAGTCATGCTGTACGCCTTTTCCGCAAAACTGTGCCGCGCAATCAGCCACTATCTTGACGGGCTTTTCTTTGCCACTGTCTGCAACCTGCTCGGCGTAATGATGGTCTACAAGGTATGTTTTCCCATGACGACACAGCAAAAGAGAAGCTGCTTAATCGCTAACAAAACATCGCAGTACTGGGACTCCATCACAAAGGAGGACCTCGAATTTTCCGTGGGCACTCGTATGAACAACTGGGAGGTCAAGGAGTTACTTCCTGAGGAGGATCGCCGTGCTACAATGTACATGGACGATCCCTACGCTCAGACAACGGCCTACGACATGCCGTACTCGCCCACAGCACGCTATTCGGCAAAGTACTAGAGGTCGAGTCCGATAACTCTCCAAGCAAGAATTTGTGAATAGAGAAGAAAGAGGTTGGTACTTTAAGCAATGGGTGTTTTTGGTTGTGTTTTTGAGCGGCTCCCCGAGTTGACGGATCTGTATGTTTTTTCCTGTTGGAGAAACGGGAAGCTACTGGCGCATTGGATGCATTCCTTTTTGCATTATTTTCACTTTTTACAAAGCGTTTCATAATTATGGAGGGCATGGCTGGCTGACTGCTGGTTTGGCACGGCGCAGGCATGGCGAAGCAAGAGTTGGATAAAACCGGTTGTGAATTCTCCTTTTCAGATAACAAACATACGTAGGCTGATGACGAAAGCTCACAAATTAAAGTGAGCCGAATACGCCTCTCAATATAAATATTATCCCCTAGTCTGGTCGCTTGTGTAACGGGACAAGGTTGATGTCATCATGGGATCCGTCGCAATACAAGGGCGGTGAAACAAGCTTCCTCGCCTTTCGAATCAAAAATACAATCAGAGTACTCCGTACGGACTGTCGGTACTTCAGCACGGTCAATATAAAAGAAGCCCCCCACGAGAGGAGATTCTTTCGGGCTGGTAGCCTACTGAGACACGAGCACTGGGGAGGAAAGACGACTATGCAGGGTGACATGCGCCACCAACCTTAACAGCGACTTTCTTTCTAGAAGGCAAGGAAAAAGGGGGGAAGAGAGGGAGATCATTACCGCCGTTGTACGGAGTAGATGCGCCATTCTTACGTCTAGTCTATGTCGAGATCATCGTGCTCGGCCTCGAGGCGCCTCCCCAGGCTCGGCGTGCATGCATGCTGTCCGAGCACACTGTCCTGTACCCAGTACGCGTCGCCATGTAGAACGCCATGATAAAGATCGTCGTCGCAATGTCTGGACATTCTTTTCGTCCCATCTCTTCAGATGAAGCCCCGCGGCGGCTTGGCGGTTACGAACGAAGGGGGACATTGCCTGCCCCGAGCGCAGAGACGTGGCGTCTGCGCTTTGAGAGAGAGAGGGGGGCTCATGATCCGCCTCTTATTTGCTGCACGGATAATAAGTACTGTAAAGCGCCCGCTGTCCGACGATTCGTCTATTATTGGCAGGGAAAACGAAAAAGGCACGGGGCCAGGCATCCGCGCCGAAAAGAGGGCCATCGTGTATAGGCGACCAGGCCGCGGATCCCTCCTCCCCGCCCGACTATCATTCTCCATTTCCCGATTAGAAAAGGCGATGGTCCTGTGCTGTTGTGTATAGGGGGCTTTTGCCTCCTATTCATCACATCACATCACATCACGTAAGTGCAACGTGGTGCGCATCTTGGTCTACTTTGTGCCTTGCCCTTGTGTTGACTTGTGGTGCTGTCCCCAGGCAGACAATCGGAGAAGGTTCACAGGCTCACACACAGACCAAGAATTGTGTAAAGTCTCTGATGACGCGTTACTTCCTGATCAACCGTTTTGCACGGAAGGGAACATCAACTTGTGGCAGAGTAGATGAAGACCGTGTCAGGCCATTACCAGCCTTTTAGGACTTGCCGACATGACGTTCGCGGTTTACTGGTGTAACCTCATAGTACTTGCTACTCTAATAAAGAAAAAACTCGTCACGCGGAACGTGGCAGCATCACAGTCGCTGTTTCTTGGCTATGCGGACATCAGGCTCCTCATCCTCCTCTGCAATAAGTTGTCACTTGTATTGGTGGCACTTGGAAAGACCAAATCCTCCCATGTCAAAAGTGGAAACAGCAGGCAGGTCAAGCTCCAGACCCGGCCGATCTTGCTCTTTCGCTACCCCTCATCATGAAGATTGTCGTCGGCCACGGCGCCCAACAAGACCAACGTGGCGTAGGGCCAACTGCCCGGGGAGTACGTGGCGCAGAGGTTATGCGCTCTTATGACTAACTTCTGTGTACCATATCTGTATGTTGTAAAACATGATGTATGTTTTTTTGAAGTAGAATGAGGCAGCCCTCTGTAGCACCACATTTCTTTTTTTGACACACGGCATAGTCCAAAAGCAGGCAAGCAGGCATCGGGGACCAGAAGGAGTAGGTCCCCGCGTGCAGATATCATGGGTGTGCAGGCATTGATCCGTGCAGATGAGATGGGCGGGCCATACATTTTGACGCCGTATTCGTCTACCATGTCCTTTGTCTACCATGACCTTTTTACTTTGTGACAAGGGCCACTTCCCCTGCAATAGGGCAACGAAGCAAGACACCTAGGGCATACAGGGCATACCTGGTATGACTTCCTTTTCGTCACTAGTCCGGGAGACTATAAGCCGTGATGGAGAGCAAGAATTGTTCCACACTTTTCCTTTGTGTTGACGCGGCGTTGGTGCGGGCGCTCTGCTTGAGGCGGAAATAGGACCCGTCGGCGATGGGCTGGGTTTGGGGCCAAGCCTCGTCAACCGTCTGTGCTTCTTACGTGTATACATGAGATTTTCTCCACTGGGCAGCCTGGGCCCAACGATGATGTGGCTGCCCGCTTTTTTCGGTTGCCTTTTTGGTTTAACAATAGGCGCAAGTGTTGGTGGCTTGTTATATTCGTATACAAAGAGCGGAAAACGGAAGAGATTGTCCGATTCTCTCTTCTTTGGCTGTGAATCAGTGGCGAAAAGCAAAAGTCCCTACATTGTCCGTAGCATGCCACAAAGATATACAAGATGTCGACCTCTAGATAACGTAATGGCTCGACCAGGCTTGTTGGTAGCTATTGAGGTCTGGGTTGGCTGTCTTGCACACCCCCAGCCTTTCGGGGACGACTCTGCGGAGGCTTGCATAGGGCGCATGCACAAGGTAGGCACCCAACACTATTTTTTTCATCCTGCGGGATTTATGTATACTAATGGCTGCCTCTTATGAACTTGACACATGCTAGCAGTGAATCAGAGATTTACAAGCCAGCGATTCTAGAAAGCATAGTGTGTTTCCATGGCGTCGAAGTCGTAGCGTCTGGGTATTAGCCTCGTTACAAGTAAATAAAATAGGTTGCTATTATCGAGCGCTCAGGCGGGATCGTCCGACTTATAGGGCAGGGGAGGCTGCGGCCGGCTATCGGTGCCTTGTAGCGTCTGGTATAGAGTAGGCTATAATAATATGAGGTTCGGGCTAATGAGAAGGAGGAGCTGCGTCGGGTGCAACAATTTCTAAACCTACACAGCCGCGAGTTCACGCCGCAGCCCATTCATATAGGGGCGACCCTGAGGGTCGAGGGGGACAATAAGTTGCAGAGGATGGCGTGGAGGGTCGGATAGAAGACATTGTCAACGACTCAGTGATGATGAAAAGGGTCGAGAACAAGGAGAGAGTGGGAAGTTTGCTCACGATGGCCCGTGGCTCATTTCGCTGGGCGGCAACTTTTTTTTTTATCTTCTCGTCCCCTTGTCCCAGCCTTTGCTCTGCTGCGGCCGCTCCTTCGTCACAAAAAAAGGTGACACCAACCACATGTATCCGCAATAATCACGGTTTGCTACTGGATACCGAATTACTGGTAACGAATAGCATCGCATGCAAGTTAGGTGCTAATAAGAGTGTATAGGGAGAAATTTTGACCCTCCCACCCAGCGGCCCCCCGCCCTAGTGTGACTTTTTTCTTCTTATGTGTCTTTGTTGGTAGTTCTAGTGTTGGCAGAGGGAGGAAGGTCGTTGCAGAATCCTCCACGACTTGATCGGCCACCAGGCTTTTGATGATATTTTAGTAAAAAGGACAAAACGTATAGTACTGAGTAATCCCGTATTCACGCCGTTTGCCTCGGCGGCTGCGTCTATGGCTCAGCTAAGCCCACTTTGGCCCCCACGGCTGTTGGCTGGGACTGATGCTTATTGCGCGCGCGTGCGTGCGATGGTGCGCTGCCACTAGATACTTAGGAGGTGAGAAAGTGAATAAATGAATAAATATATCAAATGACTTGATCCTTTTTCCGCGGCACTCTATCTTGCCAGCTGGCTTGCATCACAGACCGGCTTCTGGCTTCCGGACGACTCCACTCTTGTTGGTTGAGTCGAGGTCGCCGTTTGTATTGTCCAATTTGTCTGCCCCCCCCGGTTTTGTCTGATACATTTCTACGAATACTCTCTTCCTCTTATGCCCTCTTATCTGTCCTTGCCTGCTGATACCGTGGATTTTTCTTTTTTCTACATCGTCACACCTAGATATCACACCCCTCGCCATCTCAGCCGCGTTGGGCAGGCGTCTATCCCGCACACACAAATACACCCCCCCCATCAGCCTAAGCCCTCACTCTCTGTGTCCCCTATGCCACCGTTCCCCCAGCCCGTGTTTGTCAACATTTGATTATCTACACTATATCCCAATCACAATATTTCGAAGAGTACAAGCCCCCCGTCCGTCACCGCTGGCTAGCTACAGACGGCCCCCGCTGACCTGCATCATACATGGGGCACGTGCTTTAAGCAGGCTGCGCCGCCACTTGTCGGACCTGTATGCTTTTAGCAGGCTATACGCTTGTGACTTCGATAACAATAATAAGGCAAAAGGCAGCCAACCAACATTCGCTTCGCTCTTCGTTTCTTCGACTTTTCATCACCACCCTTCTCACACCCACCTGGCTATACAAAGACCAAGTCAACATTATAGTGACTCTTCTACACGCCTAAATGCTAGTGACCCCTTCATATATTCCTATCACTACCCAGGTAAGTCGTCGTTCCTGCCTTGGAGGTACAGGGGTTGTTTGCTTATCACTGCGGGCGCGGTGTTGACCCGTTATAGTACCTGCTCCTCCGCCCAGGAGCCAACCCGGCTTGGCTGGCTTCAACCATACTCGACTTTCCAAAATACCATGGAAAGTAGAAGAGACAGCAGTATCGCAGCCCCTAAGGAAGTTTCCATGTCACCTCTGCCGCCGTCCCAACGAGCCGAGATGTGGGACATTGCAGAGGACGATTTCTGGCGCAAGAATGCCGTTCAACGCCAGGAACAGTTTGCCCAAGCCTCACAACGCTGGAATCACGATAGATCATCAACAATCACCCACATTCGGCACCTAGAGGCCGAAGCGCGTGAACTGAGAGAGAAAGAGGAAAGACTAAGCCGTGAGCTCATGGCTATCCGAAGTCAGGCGGCACTTGTCAATAATACGTATAATCACGAGGCCCAACGCTTGAACAATGTCGACGCTCAACATGAAATGGAGAAGCAACAACTGGTCCAGAAACAAGAAAAGATTCAAGATAAGATGCACGACTGGTTCAAGCAACGCAGAAATCAGGATGGCGTCCAAGAACGACAGTGGGCTCTGCCAGAACTTAACGACAAGAGACCTCCAGAGAGGCAACAGAAGCTGCCTTCGCTGGCTAATTTACATCTGCCCAGGGAATCGCCTAAGCACGACGATAGAATTGTTGCCATTATCGACTCCGATGGAACGATACTTGATAAGCTCGAATACACTAGACTGTCAAATGAACGCACAACAAACATATCATCCCGAGCTGTTCTCCAGCCAATCAAGATTCGCAACGCCCAACGGTTCTTTGATGACACAAGACCTAGCATCTATAGCTTCGCCGACGGCAAAGGCACTGGCTGGATAGCTTGCATGATACAGGCGACCGGCTCTGCTCAGAAGAAGAAGTGTCAAGGCTGCAGCAATAGCGAAAGCCCGTTTGAGGGTTGTATTGCTGTTGGTGGCCGTCTTTTTCCAAAGTGCGGCAATTGTGAGTGGAATGGCATAAGCTGCCAAGGACTGGAGCCTTTGTCTCCCAACAGCATACTTGACCGCAGATCATCTGCCCTCGCACCTCTACGGATCGTGCCGCATTCGACGGCCAATCTCAGCATGTCTGGGCTTAGTCTCAAGTCAGCATCTACTACCACCACACTGGCTGATATGCAAACACTGGCAGCGGAGGCCTCTGCCAAAGCGTATGCAACACACTGCGGCCCACCGGCGGTATCTGTGTCTGGTTTCAAACCTGTGAATCAGACTACGAAGTATGAACGAGACTCCCCAATACCTAGCACCGTTACCTCTCTAACGGCTTCTAGTACCACCAGCTACCCACACGGCTCGAAAACGTCACCCTCTAGCTGCCCGACCTCGCGACAAATGACTCCCTTGACGTTTCGGTCGGTGGAATTTGCGACACCAGGCTCGTGCGACATCACAAAAGAGACCCTTATCTTACGACACAACGGCAGCTTTTATGTGTATCCCAAGTGTATTGAAGGAGTGCCGGTTGAGAAGATTACACCTAGCCATCCGTACTGGGAACCTAAGTGGCCCGATCTACGAACTTTGGTGGAACCCGTCCTACGCTCGTGGGAAGAAAAATATCAAGCAGCCGAGGAAGCCAACAGACGGGGCGAAGCTGTTGGCAGCGTCAAGTACCAGTACGGCCGCCAAGTCAACCGTGGAAACAAAATACTCAAATTTCTGGAGCAAGGCGCAATCAGCCCGTATCAACTCCTTAGCAAGCGGTTTATGAGTGTAGGAAAGGGCAGTATTACTTCTTATGATACTTTATTTCGTCTCTGCGAGACGATTGAGGCGCTTGCCGACTACAAGACAGATGTTGAGCCCGTTGATTGGCTGCGTCAGCGCTTACACGAGCTGATTGAGGCGCAGGGTACTGGCTTTAACTTTTCAAAGACTATTCACGACTTTTATAATGATTCCAAACTCGCCGCACTACGGCAGAGATCGGGATTCAAGAGTATCGGGCGACCTTCGGGTATCAAGATGCCGCGGAAAAGGACTGGGAGTGTGGATGAAGCCACGCCCTCGGCCCCGCGTGCGCGGAAACGCAGAAAAGCAAGCTCGTACGGCACGCCAAGCCCGGCGGCTGAGTCAATTCACGAGGCTCGTACAACTGATGGCGACGTAGAGGAAGGCCCAGTTGGCAAGAAACAAAAGGCGGCGGCCAAAGTCTTGGATAGCCTGGAGACGGGGGAAGTTTCGGACGCGGACTCTTGGAGTAGGGCTCCGATTGCGCAGTTCGACTTCCGCATCTATCAAATAAAGACGCGGCTGTTTACGAGCTCAGAAAAGGTGACACAGTACTGGGGCTGGGTGGCGGAGCGCAACATGTTTGAGCACCAGGTCCTTGAGGGGACCGACCCGGTGAGGTGGGGTGTGCATCGGGAGCCGATTGACTTTAGCCTGCGTCTGGAGGACGTGGTCAAGATCTCGTGGAATCTCAAGGCGTTGCGTGTCTATCTGGTGATGAGCGACCGGCAGATCTGCTTCGAGGACGACAAGCCGAGGGGAGACGTGATGGTTTCATTTAAGCGGGAGAATACGATGCGGCGATTCATCAAGTTTTGCCGAGGCCAGGAAATCCAGCTCGTGGAAGAGACTTGGTGAGTTGTCGACTTTTAATTTTTGGTCTAACGGCTGGTGCTAACAGCTTGTAGGAAGAAGATGGAGCATCTATGGGGGACGATGCAGTCGGAGCGTCTGCCAGGGGGTGACGAGGAGCCCAGCGCGCGGCTAAAGGAATAGCTTTCCAGGCCAGAGCGACAGCCTCTCGATTAAAGGCATATTGAAAATTTCCAGGATGGTAACTATGCTGTCTGTTGGATTCTACACGGAGCATGAGGATGGGTGGATTTTTGCGTAGCGAGTTGTCATCAGGACGGAATGTGTGGGCTTTTGTAAACTTGGAAGCTCTTTTTCTTTTTCTTTTCTTTTTTTTGTAGGAGTGATTCTGTGGATGGGGCGGGTAGCAAGCAAGTCGACAGTTGTCTGATTCTTCATTTTGTTTTTTTACGGTAGCGAAAACTGACTGGTATGGGAAAGTCTGGCCGAACCAGACAAGATTTCTTTGACAGTGTAGACTTGAACCACAGCGGCGTCCAAGAGGTGCGAAGGCTTTCCTAGCTGATTTGCGTGGCTCGGTGCTCGGCGCTCGGTCTCAACGGGCGGGCAAACGACATTGAATTTTTTCTATATTTACTGGCGTGGCGCCACGACAAGTTGAGACGACTAGGTTATGTTGTAATTGAAGACTTTAGCTATGATTAACGACAGTGCGCATACCGGCTGGACCCGCAAGAGACATCCACTTGGTACGTGTTTGCTGTTCACGAGGGATTGCAAGTGAAGCCATCTTCTGTTGTTTTTACTTGGTTTGCGTTTGCAATTGGGTCTTGCAATTCGTGTCCATGCACGTTTTGCACGCTAGCAAGCCTTTGCTTCGTAGTTGGTCCGCAGGTTGACAAGGGGCTGAAAAAAAAAAAAAAAAAGAAAAAGGTCCCGAGATCGAGCCTGGATCAGATCATTCCTTGGCTTGCTGTTCCCGCGGTGGCTTGACTATTATTTACCAAATAGACAGGGACAGCAAGGTTTTCTTTTCTTGCAGCCCGTCGGTTGAGTGGGTGGCGTTGACGTTGTATTCTTAGCTAATGCAATGCGGGTAGTCCTGAAAAGAGTTGTGGCGACGGGCCGGAGGAGGGAATAATATGGAAGATGCGAGAGGGAACGATGAGTTGATCATGATGGACGGACTCGGAAGCAAGTGGCTGGCTGGGACGAATCGGCAAAATCGGCAGAATCGTAGCAATCTGCAGCTGACACCGCCTCTCTTAAACACGAACTTGGCCCCAGAAGCACAGCAACGAAAGCTGTAAATTGGTCAGCGTGGCCCAACAAAATCACCACATTGTTGCATTGGCGAGGCCCTCGAGTTTTCGTCTCGACCACCGAGTTTTTACATAATAAAGTGGAATGGCAACACCAACTTGTTGTGTAGTGTGTTTGTGTGTCAATTAATTATAGCTGTCACCAGACGAGCTGGCACCACCACCCGTGCAGCTGCATGTTGGTGGGGCCGGGCTCCGAATCAAAGCGGCCCATCGGCCGAGTGGACTAAAAAAAAAGTTTTTTTTTGCTTGTCCCACTAACTAATGCGTAATTAGGTTACTAGGCCAGGCACGTTTTCCTTGTTGTCAGGCACTTGATGCAGGAAGAGGAAAGGAAAAAAAAAAAGAGTGGATTCTTTTTCTGCTTCTTGAACGGTCTGGCGGGATCCACCCATCCCGAGCACCGTAACGTTGTGGGTGTGTACTCGCGGCTTAAGACGGTGATGATCGGATAGTTGGCTGGTTAGCCCAGCGCGTTGATCCAGTGAAGAAGATTTTTTTTCAGATTTTGGGCTCATGTACGAAGTCATGGGCGCCAGAAATCAGAGTTTTCAAAAAAGTTGCCTCTTTTGTTGATGTTTTGTATATATAGCTCCGTTGCTCACCTCCTTCGTTACTTCATTCCGTTCATCACCAGCATCACCACTTACACGCACACAACACATCCACACACCAGACAATCAATATCCCCAACCACAAATCACCACTACACTTTGAACGAAACCCCCGCCCATCTTCTCATTCAAAAAACCACTACAACACAAGAAACGAAGAAAAAAAAAGACAACAACACTCAACATGTACTCTGCCGAGCTCGTCTACATTACTCCCTACCTCATGTCCGCCGAGAAGCGCCGCGAGGTCAGCCGCATCAACAGCGCCGCCTCATCGCGCAAAAACTCTCTCGTCGCCGCCGGCGAGTCCACGGCTACATCGGCCGTCCCATCGCGCGCCGCGTCTCCGGCTCCGAAAAAGGAAAAGAAGAGCAAGAAGCACGATCCCCTGCGCTCGGCCGTCAAGATGAACATCAACTCTCGCCTGCTGTAATAAGGGCATGGGGAGAAAGTAGGCGGGCCTTTTGTTCTCGCACGGCAACATGCTCTTGACGACTAATGATGTTTGGACACGCACACACACACACACACACACATGTGAATTGGGAAAACGGTTCATCAAAAGTTTTATTTAATAATGCTCACTTGGTTGAGGGAAAGTAACGTTTGGAAGCATACTACAGATATACCCTCTTAATAATACTATAATAATTCACTTGTTAAAAAAACCTAACAATAAAAATGTACGCTCTCGTATCAGGGAAATGAAAATATCCTAAAAATGTACGCTGCGCTTCTTGTTCACCTTGTGTTCCTTGTCGTCCTTTCCATGCAGCAGCGATCCCAGCGCATTACCCAACTTGAACGCCCGGCCGTGCTGCTGCTGCTGCGACGGCTGCGTCGGCTGGAAATAGCTGCTTTGCCCCGACGGCCCTGTGCTGCTTGGTCGCGGCGGCAACGCGGGCGTATCCGCCGGCAGACCGTACTGCTTCCGCAGACGGTCCGTCTCCTCGTCGATGGCGGCCTGCTCGCGGCGGCGACGGTCCTCGTCCTCGCGCGCCAGCATGGCCTGGATGCGTCGCTGCTCCTCCTGGTCGCGGCGTTCGCGCTCCCGCGAGGCGCGCTCCTCCTCAGCAACCATGGCCTGCAGCCGCTTCGTCTCGGCGTCAATGGCTGCCTGCTGCTGCGGGTCGCGGCCAGCCGGCGACGACGACGAAGAGCCCGGACGGGGTCGGCTCGGTGGTGGTGGTGGAGAACTATCGCCGAGAGCGCCAGATGCGTATGCTAGCTGCGCAGGCGGACGACCTCTGCCTCCTGATGACGGCGACGGCCCTGATGATGATGACGGTGGCGGCGGTGTGGACGCAGTCCTACTTTCTGCGGAACCGACAGGCACCGGGGCGCCAGACGTGTTAAAGGGGTTCTGCTTGGGCATCAGGTACAAGTCGCGAATGACCTCGGCGCTGAGTAGCAGCACCACCTCGAGCCCCTTGCGGTCCTCGACCTCGACACGCGCCATGTTGGGTTCGTATATCACCACGGTGCTCTCGTGCTTTGATGCGTGGTACATGGCGACGGTAATATCGGGCTCTTTGCTCTTCTTGCCGCCGAGGCAGCGGCCTGTCATATAACACGTCATGTCCTTGCTCAGCCTCGAGTCCCTCTTCCAGCGGAAAAGCACCGTCGGCGTCAGCTCCGCGATGCCCGCCGAGGCGCCGTCCTGGTCAATCTGCGAGGCGCTCGGGCGCTTGAAAGTCTGCTCAGGCAGCTCAAACTCCCACGAGTCCGTCTTGAAGCTGCTCCTCTGCAGCTTGAGGGGTATCGTCTGGTCCGGGTTGTACAGCGAGACGGGGAGCACGTCGGGCGTCAGGGGCACGACCGTAGACACGCCGCCCTGAGCGCGCAGCTCCGCCGCCGACAGCGACGGCTGCGTCCACTGCGGCCGGATCAGCACCTCGCCGTAGATGACCGAGGCATAGTGCACGTCGACCAGGCCCAGCGCGTACTGGTTCTTGGCGTCGCTCGCGGCGGGCCGCTTCAGCAGGTATTCGGCGGAGGGCTCGGAGCCGTTGTGCGTAAAGTAGAGGAGCGTGTGCAGCGGGTTGTTGGACGAGGCTTGGAAGCGAAACGTGGGGAGGCTGTCGTCGAGCATGGCGGATAGATCCCTGCTGCGATGGCTTGCGGTTGATGTTGTGTCTATGAAAAGCAGAAGAATTTCGCGAGAGGGTATAGGAGTGAAAAAAGACTGATGAAAAGGTCGTGAGGTCGTAAAACGCAGAGTCGTTGTGGTCAAGCAAAGATGCGGACGTTGCAATGTGAGATGACGACTGTTGTGGCGCAACAGACCAACTAAGCCGCGGGCAGCTGCTGCGCCACGCTGTCTTGACGAGGGGCAGACGTTGGTGGGCTGTGCTGATACAACCTAAGAATAGCACCCGTCTTGCCAGTGTGCGTCAAGTCCCCATTCTGAATGATTGATCAGATATATTCGGCATCCTCCTTCGGCTCGCTCCCACTGCGAAATATATCGTTGGATCGCGCTCGTGCTAGAGCTTAAGCTTCGAGCGCCGTCTCCCGTCTAGCCCGACGCCGTTGGCGACTGCGACGGAAACACGGGTACCAGCAACAGCAAGCCAGCGCAACGGGGACCCCAATGGCGATGCCGATGAAAAACCCGCGAAGGATTTTGTCTGAGATGCTCCCAGTTTCCGAGAGTCGCCTGAGTTGGAAGAATGGATCGGCCGAAAGGCCAGCGTCGCTGACGCCATTGGTCATGGACCTCGCAGCGACAGCGGACGATGCGGGTAGCGGTGCCATCTCGGAGTATCACATATGCACTCTCGTTTCTTGTATTTCACACTCTCGCGAAAAACGCTTTTGATTTGAGCGAGTTTGGAATGTAGGATTCTTGCAGCAACCTTACAGGATTAATGTGCTGCCCAGCCTAGCGCAGGCAGAGCGTTTTTCAGCCCATCTTGGCGTGGCTTGTTGTTTGCACTGGACAAAGTGCCGACGAGAAGCCAAGCAAGCCACCACGCAGGCGCGTGCTTCCGCTGCTGGTAACAGTAAACTTGCACGACTCCGAATTGAGCCGCGGCGCGCAGCCCAGTCTCGGTGCCATGTCGCACTTTTCGCTGAGTCTTTTGAGAGCTGCCAAGCACCAAAGTGGTGGAAGTGTGGCACACGAATAGACCGGTTAGTCCACAGTGACCTGTCATACTTCACACTGGGTAATACCACATCCAGGGTGTAGGCCACACATTCTCAAAGATTGCTACCTAACAGAGCGGACAAGCAGTGAAGAGAGAGGAAAATTGTTCATTTTGAGAAATCAGGGAAACCAGGAATAATAAACTTTGCATTCATTACCGCGTGGTGTTCTCTATGACCAACACATGGACAGCTAACTCTTTCCAGACTAGCTTACCAGGTTGCCGCCAGGCCCTGCGATCTCAAGATCTAAACAATACATAATTTATCTTGGTAGCGATACTTCATCATCGCATAAAGAGCCGGTCTGTGTCCAAACCACGGGTCATCAAAATGATTGAACTTGAGAGTTGCCCTGATGAACCTGAGGTTATATCTTATCACTACATGCTATTTGAATCAATACTCTGAAAAGGTCTAAATCTATTCCTTCACGAGACGGATAAGGTCTGGCTCAGACAGCTTTGAGAGGCCGAGGACTTCATTATCCACTTTGGTGAATGCCGTTCCAAAATTCCCTCCAAAGACCGCGCGTCTGATGAGCTTGGCAGCGTATTCCTTCCAATCCTCCGAGGACTGATGAAAAGCTTCGAAGCCTTCCCGCTCCAAGTCTTCAGTTTTGACAAAAACTCGCTCAATCTGATCATTCTTCCCAGACCAATTAAGCAACTGGTTCTGCGTCACCCTGGCCTCTTCCGCATAGACATGGCGGTTCTTGGTCTCCTCTGCGTGCTTGAGAGTCCCAACCACCGCACGGCCTACACCCGCGAGAGTGTTGGTACTCACAGGGACGTCACCACCATCGTAAATCGTGGTGGGCCCTTGGAGGTTGACCAGCAATCCATGCCTGATACCCCAATCGAGGAATGGCCCAGTAATAATTGCAGTGTAGGTAAAGTTCCTGTCTTTCTTGGAGAGCTCTTCGAGTCGCTTGACCAAAGTAATCTTGTCACTGAAGGCCGGGAGTCGAGCAGTGTTGGGGTTGGCCGTGTCGCAACCAAATTCAGATGGAATGAACCGCTGAATTCCAGCTGCATGAGCCGCCTCCACGATACGGAGATGGATGTCCAGAGGAATGACGCCAACTCCTAGCACATTGACGAATGCATCATGTCCCTTTAGCGCGTTGACCAGCGAGTCTAGAGAGTTGAAATCCACCACTTGAACCTGGGCACGCACATCTACTTGACTGGAAGCTGAACGACCAAGGACGGTGACTTGAAAGTCAGCATTCAAGAGTTCCCTGACAATTGCCGGGCCGAGATTGCCGGTTCCCTAGGAGAATGGTCAGTAAATTGGTCAGTATGGACGGGATATGCAAGACATACTCCTGCAAGAGCAACCCGAGTGATGGCCATGTTAAAAGGGGCAGTTAGATGGAATAGGTATGGAATGGGATAAGAGTATGATACAGAACATTTTTTCTAGCGAACAATGCCATCTGTTTATATATTTTGTAAACGAAATCATTCACTCACATTGCGTTATAGAACTTGTCTACGCTACCACACTGATTATCAATCAGTAAGGAATCTCGACTACGGAAGTATAAAGTATGGTACCAACGCCACACTAGGTACGAAAATCCTAATAGGAGAGTCTGTGTCAGTGAAAAAAAATAACCTTTGAAGGTGTTGAAATAACTAGGCGCCCTGCCAAGGCGTTGTCAACGATGACAATTACTAAATCATCTTTGTTTTCTAATGTAAACTACACCGTCAGTCATGAATTCAGCTCTGACCGCAAAATTACTCCATAAAGGAATTAAAATACATGACTACATCGAGCAACTTATTCGGCTGCCGAAGCCATACGGCTACTTGCGATGGGATGGCCTTTCGCAGCAATGACCCTGCTAATGTGTTGGTAAAACCTACGGCGAGACAGCTCGGATTTACGAGCCACAACGCGCAGTCTTTCACATGAATTCTCATTACTAAACTAAGAAGTTTCATTGAACCGGAGTTTTCGAATCTTTCAATTTTCTCTTGTCTTTGGGTGCAGTCATGTCCGCGGGTACGCGTCGAAAGTTTTCCACCTGATTGAGTTTAGTAAAGTGTGGCACGCGTGATGGGCATTAAACTTTCGGGGCTCGGTTTTAAGATCTGCTATTTCACACCGGCCAGTGCCCCTGTGGGATTATCAATCTTCTAGCTCTTCTTCGCCGGATTAACAATCCTCATAGCTCTGCCGCGGGATCAGCATATCTTGGTACATAGCTCTTCCGCGGGATCAGCGAATCTCAAAGCCCACCCCTAGGATTAGAAATCATGCGGGCAAAAAAGCGTGCGCAATCTGCTACATAGATCGGTTGTTAGAATGGTTAGCGCAAGCTTCTGAGTCAAGACGATCGGTCTCTTTTGCAGTTTTCACGCCTGGATCAACGAAGTTTCAAGTCACGGCTGCCGGAGTTGAGAAGACCGACCTCATCACCCAGAGTGATGCTGGGAAGAATGGAAAGGTCTCCGTGTCATACGTTGGCAGCTTGGGCCACTGATTTACTGTCGCTTAGATGCGGAGGCTGGGGCAGGGGCGCGCCATGGAACCTTGGGGAGAGAATTTCTTTTTAGAGAATTAGCACAACTAGTTAGGCCAATGAAGGTCCTCAAGGTCAAGTTTATTTCGTTGGCGTAATGTATTAGCAGATTAGATGCTTGAGCTAATTGAAGTATGAAAATGCGAAGTGGTATCTTCGTTTGGCAATGTTTGTGCTGCCATAGTATGTACAAATTTTAATGTCAGTTAGATGCGAGAAATATATCTCGTGCAGAATGTTGAAAACCCCATTCATGTGTCGTTTTGGCCTCCTCGAGAGGCATCTGATCCCGACCATAAAGCTGGAAAGGTTTACTCTCTGAATCGCTAGGGCTCTCAGCTGCCTGTATTAGTGCTGATGAATAGGCAGCCTGGAGCAGCATAAGATTTGTGTTGAATACCTCTTTCGCTGTTTTGGTATTCTGTCTGGCTCGAGCGGAGGGTGCCGGCCGCGGCACGGAAGCGACCCGGCCGTACAGTTTCCCTACTTCAGAAGGTGCTGACTCGAATATGGGTATGAAGGATTCAGGCTCGAAACTGTGAGTTTCCAGCATTCAGCGCCCACAGATAGCGAAGCTGACTACCCGGGAATAACAATTGAACGTGGGTACAGCTTTTGTGCACCGTTCGAATTCCCAGCTGGAAGCTACTCAGAGGAGGCGTGCGGAATCCCGAGGTCCGAGGCGTTGAAATATCCCATCTTCGTTTCAATCACCGTCTCTCACTGCCCTCTCGCGGAATAGAGTCATGTTGTCAAGAGGCTTTGCGTTTTCTGGTGCACTCCCGACATACTCCCCCTGCGGGAACGGTTGCCGGCGCTGAAGAATTCCAATGAGGCGGTTGAGAATGGCGAACTCGGCCTTGAGCTTTAGCCCATATATGCATGGCTTCAAAGCAGCTTGCAAATAGAAGAGATCGGCGCATTGAATACCGAGTAGTATAATATCGAGGACGATGATGACAATGTTGACATATATGAGATGGCGTAGGACCGGAGACTGCTCCTTTGGCGGGGGCTCGTCGTTGCTCGTAGTTGAAGAAAGTGACCAAAAGCGCAGCTGTAGTGGACGGATATCCTTCAAATATTTGTAAGTCTGGAAGATGTACAGCAAACTCAGTGAGATCTCTTGAACAAAGTAGACGACGAGCTGAATCCGATCCCATTTGAGGTTAAATGATTTTAATCCGGGGTTCACATTCGTCGCTTGCTAGAAAAGGTATTTTCGTCAGAATCTATTGTGGCGCGATGTGGGCAGAATGTTCTGTAATGACTTACTGCTAGAGTGCCAATGACCATGGTCGGAAAGGCGAAGACGATGGAGTTGAAGATGAGGACGTATTTGATGATCTGTAAAGTGTTTGTGGCGCGCATGAGCAGATGCAGTCGCGAATAGAGAACCCAGCTCTGAGGGACAACCATCATGAACCAAGTTAAGTAGATCATGACGATGGATGGAATGGCATCTTTCCAGACATTAAAATCCGCAAGCAGCATGAATATGGGTTGTAAGATGACACCCCAAGAAGCAATCAGGCAGGACCAAAAGTACAGCCCTTGTTTTCGTTTGAAAAGGATAAATAGAGACACGTTGATTTCGATGCCAATGTACCATGCGACGGAGGAAAGGCCAGCCATAGCCATGGCCAAGGGGAGGTCGTTCTGAATGTCCTGCATTGCGTCGTTGTGATGTCTCGGAAAAGGCGTGTGGCGTATGTTGTGCTTGTATCCCGACGGTGGCGGCGGCAGGCTGGATGAGCATTGACCAAGTTGTGCAACGCGGGGGAAGGAGATGTGCCCGACTCGATTAGATGTCGTGAGATGGCGAGACGGAGCGAAACGGCCACACTTTGATATTCCACTGCATGCCTCAGATGCGCTCAGAACAGACAGAATGCACCCTGTGCAGAGGTGACATGGTGCCGACTTGTAATTGCAAAATACAATGATGAAGGACGACAAGTTGACAAGACTGATTTTTGAATGTGGGTTGGCCCAGTTAACAGGTAACTATAAAATAAGGGGCTTGGCTATACCATGTCCGGCGACCGATAGCCAACCTAACCGAGTAAATATCACGCAAACACGTAACTGTACCTGCTGATTCTTAAACACGCTAACGAGAGGCCCCTGGCTGTCAGGCCAAAGTCTGTTGCTTCGCCCTTGGCAGAGTCAAGGCAATTGCCGATTCAGAACTGTCAAACGAGACCCTGCCGAGTTCCATGGGCGGCACGGAAAATAGATTTCTGATGTCAGAACGAAACAGAGGTTTCGTTACAGCGAGACTCGTTTAATTTTTGCCTGTCCTCTTCCATCGTCATTTGCTCCCAGACAACCTATACACTTTCGAGACGGCGCTGGCAGGGGAGTTGCCCCCCATGTCTCAACAGGGTTGGAAATGCGACGCGTAGCGGTTTTGTGACCTGTTGTAGTAATTACTATTCTTTACAACTCCCGACATGAAGCCTTGAACATTTGCTGAGAGAATTCGTCCAAGTTCTCACTAGGTTTGCGGGCAGTCGCTTAATTGTCGGGTAATTTTGTGTTCAACTGGTATTTAACAAGTATATAAAGAACAGAGGAAAGAAGAATACACAGTACAAATGGCGAGAAAAATAGTTGCCTCCTTGTAAAGTTCAAAGCGATTAATTAATACTTCATTTGTATGTGGACTAGTTGGATGCTTTTTTGGCAGCATTCATCTTTGCAGTCTGGGCGCCAAGTGCATCGTGGATAAGGACCTGGATCCAGGTAGGCCAGCCGCGTAGGGCCGAGGCGCCCGCCGACGACTTGGGAATAACGACTTGGCCGCCCTTGCGAGCAAAGATGCGTTCGGTGGTCTCGTCGGCCACCTGCTCAGGCGTGAGCATGCGGACGCCGCCGTCCTTGAGGTGGTTCTCGAAATCAGTGAGCAGGGGCGTGGCGACGAAATTGGGGTGCACCACCGTGGCGAGCACATTGGGGGCCTTGTAGGCGTGGCGCAGCTCGGTGCGCAGGGCCTCGTGAAAGGCGAGAGCGGACGCCTTTGTCGCGCCATAATCGGCATGGCCCGGCAGACTGACAAAGGAGGCGACCGATGCCACAGTCACAACGTGGCCCTTGTCGGCCTTGATCATGGATGGCAGAAACTGCTGGCAGGTAATCCAGTGGCACATGGTGTTGATGGAAAAGATCTTTTGCAGGGCCTTTTCAGAAATGTCGAGAATGTTGGTCGGCACAGCGATGCCGGCGTTGTTGATGAGGATGGTCGGGTCGCCGAAATCGCGGCGAATCTCGGCGGCAACGTCAGCCACAGAGGCCGACGAGGTGACGTCGCACTTGTAATACTTGATGCCGGCCGAGTCGCGGCTGAGCTCCTTGGGCAGCGGCTGAATGTCCAGCACGGCGACACGAATCCCCTTGGCGCGCAGCTTTTGCACAATGGCCAGGCCGATGCCGCTGCAGCCGCCCGTTACGACGGCAATCTCCTTGGGCCAGTTCCAGCCCGGTGCCGGGCCCCAGCGCCACGCGTTTGCGGCCATGTCGCTGAGCCGGCGGTTGATGGTCCGGGTGAGCCCCACGCCGAAAAGGAACTTGAGCACCGTCTTGGCCGCGCTCAGGTCGTAGTCGGGCGGCAGCGAGGCGCGCTGCAGCGTCTGCGCCAGCACATGATCGGGGGCGCGGAGGAGAAAGGCCAGCAGGGCGCCCGAGACGATGGGGTTGAGGCTCAGGTTGACGAGGCCGGCCACTGCCTTGGCAATGGGTGAGTGCTCGAGCGAGTACAGGACGCCGGACATTGTGGGAAGATGTGAACGACCGAGGCCAAAGCTGGAATCAACAAGGATCAATTGGAATCAGCAGGGATCAATTGAATAGACAAGAGTCAAAAGAAGAACCAGAATGTGTACGGAGAATAGATGAAATGAGGGGAGATGTGCTGTAGGCGCAGAATTATACACGAGTTGAGTTTCTGTGCTGGCCTTGTTTCGGCATTGGCCAGCCTCCCTTTACCTCGGAGCTTCGGGCGGAGACCAAGCGCGGAGAGGATGCGGGGCAATAAGCGAACCGAGGGGGCCGGTTCTGTCGACGCTGTCCGCTCCGATCTAGAGACTTCTGCATCTGATGATTTTTGAACTTGATGAGCGGATTCCATTATTTATGAGATTTCTGAATCATAATGCATTACACAAAAGTGCTAAACAACATGGTTGGCCAGCTAGCAGCCGAGTTCTTAATTTGTGACCCTCTCAGCGCTGCCTTGTCTACTAGTTAGCTAGTGAGTGAGTTATTTCCAACTCGATGGGAGGTCGGATGGTTGCAGTAGGCATCAAAGAAGTAGCTTAGGCGAGGTTTTCAGCACGACTTGCCAAGGAACAATCTGTCTAAATTTTTCTTTTTGCGCCTTTTCGCGATTATCGTAGAGACAGACAGTTGGTTGTCTCTCTCTGACTGTTACCCCGCTGGGCTGCCCCAACAGCACACCAACAGGGCACCCAGACTATTATTCCCGTGGCAATACCGAAGTCGCAAACACTATAGATTGAGAGATCGGTAGTTCAGCCACCCTCCCTTTCTTTCACGACATCTCATCATTAGTGAAGATGTTTCCCTGGTGGGACTTTCTGGTTTTTTCTGGGGCAGCTTCTTTGCGTTATGAGACGTTTCTAGCTTGCTGCTGAGCAAGTCTGTCCTGATTGTTCAAACAGCCCAAGTAAACCAATGGTGCAGCCAGGCGAAAAGCAAGAAATAAAAAAGCAACTCTTAGAACCAGAAAAAAAAAAGAAGAAAAAAACGGCGTGAGAAAAACAGCATAGCCGAACCAAGTAAAGAAACCAACTCACTTGCAAGCAACGATTTCAGACACACGCATGTCTGATGCTGTGTCACCCGCCTCCACGGCGCTTTCCTGTCACCACATTTAGCACTCGGGACGGAGTAGAATCCATCCCGTCGACGCGGGCCAAGTACTTGATTTGATGATTCAATTAATGAGCTATAAGTAGAACATGATTAAATAGCGAAATCATATCTTCTCAGTTTAGCTAGGCATTACAACTCAGAGGGCAGAAACTCCAACGAATTCAATGTTGTTGGGGAGCATGCTGCTGTTAGTGACTTGGCGCAGCTTTCGTGTATGCACTAACACGTACTACTAGATCGTTCTTCAGGTCCGGAGTTTTCAGTACTCCGCTCACTAGTTACAGCGGGGTTCCAGAATCTGTAGTTGCCAGCTCTAACTCTTCCAAATATGGAATGCCACGGAGGCAATGTACGAGTTGGGCAGAATCGCCGTGATGAGCCCCGGAAAAAAAGCCTTTGGGCTTGTTGAGCCTGTTTTCCAGGTACCAATCTACGGCCCGTCCTCAACAACCAACAATGACGAAGCAACGGCCAACGGCCAGGACCTAGTCATCAAAGTCCGGTCCCGCCAGGGCTGAGAATACCGTCTCTAATGCTTAGTATTAGTTTGTATAGTATATATGAGCACAATGGTGTCTTGGACCCCGATACCCTTCATGACCGTTGACCCTTGATTGCCCATTTCCGCCAGCTACAGACGTGGTTGCCAGCCGTGTATTTTGCCCACCATGCCCAGAAAACCACCATCGGTGCAAGGCTTTGACAGCCTCTCGGAGCAAGTCTTTGTCCGCGACGGAGACGCAGACGCCGTTGCCAATGCCCATGCCCAAACAGGCCCGGATCTCGTCGTCATCTACGGCTGGGGCGACTGTCTGCCGCAGCATGTCGCCAAATACGCCGACGGCTACCGCGCAATGTTTCCTCGCGCGAAGCAAGTCGTGATATTATCACCAATTGCAAAAGCCTTGTTCACTAGCCGCGAGCAGAAACGCGGACACATGACGCCGGTGGTCAATCATCTCTTCGGCTCGCCGGATGCTGGGCGAGGTGCTGGCGCAGCGCAGAGCAACGACACTATTCTGATTCATGCAATGTCCAACACGGGAGCAATCAACGCTGCCGCCACATTCGACGTCTACTTTGAGAGATTCCAAAGCGCCATGCCCCATAGCCTCTTCGTGATGGACTCAACCCCCGGAGGCGCCGACTTTACGTGGGACAACTTGAAGCGATGGTCACGCGCCATGGCTCTCGGTACGGCAAAATGGTTTCCTTGGCCGTTTGTCGCCACACAATCCATTTTTGCCCTTTTCCTGACGCTGAATGCACTCCAGCTATGGTTGCGACGACGACAGAATGCTGGCGCATGGAGTGGCGGAGCCGCGAAGCAGGAAATGTTTGCGACGAAGCGCGCGCGTAGATTGTTCATGTACAGCAAGGATGACGATCTCATTGGATGGGAGGACATTGTCACCTTTGCGCACGACTCTGAAAGATTGGGTTATGCCGTTGATACGGAAGAGTTTCATGGCAGTGGCCATGTCGGCCACATGCGCATGCACCCGGACCAGTATTGGGCGGCCATTCAGCAATCATGGGCGCGGACCAAGACGACGAGTCTCGGTTTTGAAAAAGAGACGGCTGCATAGACTCGAGTATTTAAATTATTTCAACTGTCGTGTGCAACATGTGGTTCAGTCTTCTCCTCATCTACGTGTTGCACTGCTAGATGCAGCAATCCCCATCAATTTCATGCTTGGCCTGCTCTTGCTCGCGTAACATAATTACCAATAATAAGTGAAGAAAACATGCATGATGGATCAACAAAGGTACATTGGGCAAGGTGGAGCGCCGAGCAGAGTCGTCAAGCATTTAAAGCGAATCGCTGATGAGGCCTTCCCGATCAGGCTGCGAGGACGGAGAGTGTCCCACTATGTACCTGAAAGATAATACGAGACTCACAGAGCTGGCGCACAGCACTGCCGAGGGTTGTCAACCTACAGGTCATGGGCGGACCCTAATATCAGCAGGCAACTTCGTATCTTTTGAGATCTTTCTCTGCCTGCACTAAATTAAGCCAGCCCGCTCACATTTATAGAGTAAAGCTCACACGCCTTGATTTAGACCATTGATATCTCGGCTGTGACTCCATAAGAAAAGGTTGATATCAAGACCGCCTGTCAACGGCAACTAATAATATGTAGGAGCCTTGTCATGACTCATAACGGACTACACATGCCACGCACCCACCTCTCCAAGGAGGGTGCTAACCGCGCAGTCATTGAAGAAGAATTGCGTCAACGCGGTCGCCGCTGGGAAGCGCTGCGAGGTTTTCGATATAAAGCTTACAATGGCATAGCGTTGTCCTCTACGGATCAAAGGACTCTTAGCCGCGAGAGAGTGAATTGTCGCATCGTTCTCGATGGCGCACGCTGGGAGGACGAGAACCCAAACCACCTGACATATTTGGAGACCATCCACGAGGCAGACCAAAGCCAAGCCGACTACGAGATGCCTCCACTCGACGACGACCACGTCTTGCTGACTTCACCAATAGTCAGAGGCTACGCACTAAAGAACAAACGCTGGATGCAGTTCTTCATCGACTCGGTTGAAGAGATAGAGTTCGACGAGGGCGCCTTTGACTCTCTTGTGCTTTCAGAAGAGCGCAAAAAAATAATTCTCACTTTGGCCAAAAGCCAGGTCAAGCACAAGGACTCGTTTGACGATGCCGTCAAAGGCAAAGGCAGGGGCATCATCATGCTACTCTCTGGCGGCCCAGGCATCGGCAAGACACTCACGGCCGAGGTCGTCGCCGAGCAGATGCGCATGCCTCTGTACACCATGAGCGCTGGCGACCTCGGAAGCTCGTCCGACGAGGTTGATAAAAATCTCGGCAAGCTCATGAGCATGGTCAGCAACTGGAACGCCGTGCTGCTGCTTGACGAATGCGACGTCTTTCTCGAGGAGCGGACTACCGCGGATCTGGAGCGCAATCGCGTCGTGTCGATTTTTCTCCGAACACTAGAGTATTATGAAGGCATCTTGTTTCTGACGACGAATCGCATTGCAAGCATGGATACGGCTTTCCAGAGCCGCATCCGTCTCACGCTGGAGTATCCCAACCTCGACGCTCAAGCTCGTCGGGCCATCTGGTCAACCTTTTTGGATCGCGCCGCCAGCGAAGGCATGGCTGGAAAAGGAGATGATTTTGATGAGGCGGCTCTATCTATGCTGAGCTCTATTGACTTGAATGGCCGGCAAATTAAAAATACCATGAAGATGGCGCAACTTCTTGCGATGCAGACTGGTGCCAGACTCACATTGGGACATGTGAAGACGGTGTTGAGGATACAGGGCCAGATGGGTCGGTCAGTAGAAATGGTGAAAGCTTCCCTATATAGAGGATCATATTTCAGCAAATTGACAAAGAAGCAATGTAACTTTGGATAGTTATTATAACTCTCTTCTTTCTTGAGAGTTGTTGAGAATGCGCATGTTTATTAGTTGAGTTTGCGCAAATGTAAGGTGATGCGCCCGTGGATCGCGCGGAGACACTAACCTCTCTCCTCATCTGCCGCCTTCCTAGGTACATACAGTGCCCAAGTGCCTCCAGGTAATTCCGAACAGCATTGCCTGGAGGATCAGTGGTGATTTGCTCTGATTTACTTGATGCCCACTGTAGCACCTAGCACCTAGCATGCTACAGTGGGTCGTTGTAGCCCAGCCCCCTCGCTGTCGAGCCTAACAAAGCTTGATTGATACAATGTCGCCACTAATAGGTACGGAACATGGGCAAGATAAGGTAATCTCGCCGGAGCAGAAAGAAAGATTCCGAGGCACCAGCAAAGACTCAATCACTAAAATATACTTATAAATTCCGACGGAGTCAAGTCAACTAGAGGCTCCCTACTCTGGCTATTTTTCTGGATACGTTAGGCACATGGCTGTGGCATCTTGAATGCGGCTCGGTCGGGTAAAGAAGTTGTTCACCATGGAAAAGTAGTACTTGAGATTTTTTGACATCTAGTTCCTCATTTTCCCGCATTAGAGACAAATTTACACAAGTATGAATTGAAGTAACCTGTCGGACACTGCTAAGCGGTGTCGTCACCTAAATCAATCGAGACCTTGATCACGAACAACGTCATAGCTTAGAAAGTCGTGCTGTCTAGTTGAATCCCCCCGCATCTACGCCCCTCGTCTCATTCGCTCGGCAAGTTCCCGCTGCCGCCTCGTAAATCTCCACCACATCGCGGGAAGGAACCCGGGGAGGATTACATGTTCAAGTCCGGGGTGGTGGACCTCGGATACAACGGTGTATAAAGGCGACAGAAGTTCAACTATTGGGAGTGTTTCTGTACACATTACTCTCTAGCATTTACAGGAAAGTTTTATTCATCACAATGGCAGCAGAAATTTCTATTCCGGAATCATACAAGACCTCCGCCGAGAGCGAGATCCGGGTAACTAATTATCCCGAATCTGCTACGCAGAGCGTGACTCCCATCATCATCGCTACTCTCAACCGCCCCAGCAAGCTCAATGCGATTACAGGTCGCATGATTACTGATCTCATCACCTTATTCGAAACCGTCACTGTTGATGATCGTGTCAAAGCTGTCATTGTCACAGGCGCCGGCAAAGCGTTTAGCGCCGGCATCGATCTCAGCATGGATACTACTAAGCTCAAGGACGAGGCCACAGGGCAGATGAGAGACCCCGGCGGTACTCTTGCGCTGGCCATGTTCAACTGCAGCAAGCCTGTTATTGTCGCTTACAATGGCCTGTCTGTGGGCATTGGCATGACCTCTACCCTAGCGGCCGCTATCCGGTGAGTCGAACACATTAGATGTAATTGCCTTTAATCATTAGAATATTTGCTGACCATATAAATCCCCCCCCTTCTAGCATTGCGCCTCGTACAGGCGCAGAGTTTGGCTTTCCGTTTGCCCGGATCGGCCTTACAATGGAGTCTTGCAGCTCCTTCTTCCTACCTCGCATGGTCGGATATAGCAATGCAACATATCTATTGACAACTGGAAAGAGATATCCAGCCGACTCTAGTGTACTCAACGGGGTCTTTGCAGAGTTGGTGGACACACCCAAGGATGTGTTACCGCGTGCTATCGCGCTGGCTGAGGACATCATCACCAACGTGAGCCCCATGGCCGCGTATCTAAACCGACAGCTTATTTGGCGAAACGCCGGGTCAGCTGAGGGGGCTCATTTGGTGGACAGCCCGCTTCTTTACGACATGTTTGCTGGCAGGTATGTTCTGCCACTCCGCCTAGGCGTGCTACGTTGCCAGCCATAGTAGCTCGCCACATCTCGCATGCGCACACTAACAGCATTTCAGTGACCATCTGGCATTCAAGTCGTCATTCTTTAATAAAAGAAAGCCCGAATTCAATGCAACGCTATCCAAGGACGCACCTAGGACGTACCCGTGGTGGAAAACACTCTCGGTTGGAGTATTGCCCAAGGCTAGGGTAGAGGCAAGGGACAACAGTAAACTCTGATTCGTGTACTAGACGACGCGTCTAAGTTGAGGAAGGAGGTAGAGGAGGGACGCGGGCAGACTATATAGCTGGCGTGCAAAGCGGCGAGGCGCTAGATGGGGTCGGGTGATTGCCACCAAACCCGGAGGGGAAGATTGCGACACTGAGATGATAGTTTATCTCTTAAGATATATCATATTCCCCCCGCCTTTTTCGGTCATATTCTCAATGTTGAGGTAGGTGTTTGTGAGAGATAAGTGTGTGACAGGGCTTGCATGCTGTGCCGTTCCCGACATGGCGGCCCTGGATAGTTGCGATACTATATAATTGCAGGCTCATGCTACATTGTATTGATCAACGGTAATTCACAGAAGTTTTCGAATGGGACGCTTCCTATGAAGGCTCAAGATACAAATACAGCGGCGCAATGCAGAATAAATGTTATAGTGGTTGCCATACCGTAATAACGCCGGCTAACGGCGTACGCGGCATCCTCGCGGGTTCGAGAGTCCGAGTTCCGACGTGAACCGTCTTGTCCAGCATAAGAAATACACTCCATAATCTGATATATAATTGACTCCATTGTTGGACGTCCGTGCTCTAGACCCAGCAGGCTCCATTCGTCACGGGGGACCAACTCAACCTTGGTCGAACAAAGCTCAACCTTGGTCGAAGTTGGGCCAAAAACGGCAGAAAAATGATTCTCAATTGCAGATGCGTGGCAGTTGCTCAAATGACTTAGTATAGTAGCCCTAGAATAAATTTAGCAGCTGGCAGCCGGCTGTATTCGTCACGCAGCTATATTTAACACTCGCAGCCTGTCGCGCCCGGGCGCCCGGGCGCCCAGGATCCCCTGCCTCATCATCCGGCGACAAATGTCGTGCATAGCCGGAGAAAGTTTACTGCCGAAATGTACTCCTCGGGCTTCATGACTCGGCCCGGGGTGGTAAAGGTTCAAAGGAGGCACATTGGTGCTTTACGGCCATGACCCAACCCTGAGGGGCACAGGCTCATATACGGACTCTACAGGAGAGACCAAGTAAACTCATTAAAGTCTGTAAGTCTGTTGCACAATAACTCAACATAATGTTCGACAAAATGCTCAAGACTTTGCATATTTCTTAGACGCTGTACAAAGACACTACAAGTCCCAATACAAGGGTTTTCAGCTGGCTGCCCACTGAAATTAGCGACCTCTGCCGAACTTCTCTAATCCCAACCAGTTGCAAGTATGGGGGAAACTGTAATTGTTATGCCTATTAAGGCACTAAATTCTTATTAGCTAGAAGCTAGGAAGGCCTTACTTTAATTTGTATAATAGCTCTTGTGTGTGGCCTCTACATACACTGACTTGTAGGATAATAGAAAAAAATCAATTAATAACATGAATTTAGGCTAATAACCTAACGATAATTATCGTTGTTTAACCAACAGTAATAAAACTACTGGCTGGTACTTGAATCCGAATTGGGCAGGAGCGGCCTTTTCTGGCGCTTTTACTTAATAGCGCTATTCCTCGGAGAACCAACTACCGTACCGTGAAGGCCGTCGGCGGCAGCTCGAGTCATGATCACTGCCTCGACCAAGCCTACCGGCTACCCTAGGTCAGTTGATGTGGTGTTTCTGAAAGCCCGAACAATCGGCGAACGACGTCGGCGAAGGCATCTTGCAGAGGATGGCGACCATAATACAGATTCCGTTCATGCTCTGAAGTCGTGTTGCGGTGCGGGAATGGATGATACGAGGCATAGAAATCTGCTCATCTTTGTGACCATTCTGGGCTAGATTCCAAGACCAAGAGCAGGACAGGTATAAAAGATTATGACTTCGCTGTCACTCTGATCAAGTTATCATCATCACAAATAACACATCACTTGACTCTCCTACTTTTATTTCCTCACTCATCTCCTACATCTCATCTCCAATACCGCTCCTTCGAATCTATCAACATGTCGTTCAACCAGGAACTTGCCCTCAAGTTGGCCGACAAGGCTCTTGGCGCTGCTCAGACTGGCCTCAGGCTGAAATTGGACAATCCCAACGGAATAGCCCAACTCGTCCTTGCTATCTTCGCCGTTGGCCTGAACGTCGTTCCTGTTATTGGATCAGTCATGGGCTCGCTCGCGGTCGTTCTGGGCATGGCTTTGTTCCCTGTGCAGACCGCTGACCCATGGGAGAAGCTGCATGAGCGCGTTGAGACCTTGATCGGCGCCAAGCTTCAGGCACACCAAGTCAAGCAGCTCCAAAGCAAAATAGATGGTCTGGGACATAACCACAGAGAGTACGCAAGTCTCTGGAGACAGTATCAAGAGGCGGCACCAGAGTCGAAAGAAAAGCTTGCTGAGATGCTTCGATACGTACATGTTTCGTTCCTCTTTGTGCTCCGGGCCGCCGTTCCTGAATTTCAGGTTGATGATTATGCGGCGGCTGCGCTACCTCTCTTTGCGCAGGTAGCTAATCTACACATGTCGCTGTTATCTGACGGTTTCAAACATGGACTAGAATGGGGCTTGGCTAAGGAGTACATCGATGTTACTCTTCGGGATGAGTTCACCAGATTGACCTCGCCTGGCAACTCAGCTAGAGGATTGACCGCTCTCAACGCACGAGCAGACAGCACGGAGCTCGCAATGTTCCACGAGGCGATCGATGCCGGTGAGGCCAACGGCCTGCCCGCAGAGCTGATTGCGACGTGGAAGGAAGCTTATACAACGATGGTTGCGAAAGTCGCCACCAGAGCTGATCGCAGCGAACTAGACTACATCTCACATGTTAACAAATACTACGAGGAGGGCCGCAAGCAGGTCAAGCCAGATGACTGGCACAAATATGGACACTACGAAGGCAAGGGAACCAATGAAGGTCTAGCTCTACAGGCATATTCCGAATACGATTTGCAAATGCTCGAGAACGTCCTTCATTATGCCGAATTCTGGCCTTATATGGGCGGCGATAAGGAGATTACAGAAGAATCCTATTTGAACCTCGACCGTGAGATCTTTCGCGGCCCTTACGTTCGCTACTCAGAAAACGTTGCCTGGAGCAAAAGCAGCCCTGCGCCCGTCACCAAGCGTACTGAAAAGATTACTAGTGTCCGCCTTTGTGTTGCTGAAGACGTGACTAGTCTTCAGGTGAAATATGGTGAAACTTGGGACAATGAGTTTGGGCTTTGCAGAAAGCCAGAATTGGAGGAAAGGATCTTCACACTCGAATCGGACGAATACATTGAGAACGTTGATCTCATTTATGGTCATAAAGTGGGACAGCTGCAGTTTGTCACCAACAAAGGAACAGTCCACGGACCATTCGGACAGGGAAGGCACGCTCATATGAAGACGGCTGTCAACCGTACGGGTTACGCTTTGACTAGCATTTACGGTACTCACTATGAGAGACACGACCCGGAGGGAATTGAGGGCGTTGTCTTTGGTTTCAGACCTCTGCTCACTTCCGGCAATTAGTTCGATCCCGAACTTAACCAGTGAGATACTCGAGCAAGTGTTTGTAGCTGGGGACCAGGGTTGTCATTCGGATAAAATTAGAACCTGGGAGGTTTCAACAACTGACCAAAGGCGATAAACAGAAACGGCCTTTCAACATGACAAGCCGATGCGTATAGAAAAGACTTATAGAACTAGACATACTTATTAATCCATCCCATCTCTGCAAATTTGATAATGTTAATTCGCTTCATCACATTAATCATTAGTGGCCGGATTGATTGGCCCGTGTCGCCGATGCGGGAACAGGCACTAGCAAGGGCACCTGGAAGGATCGGGGCCCTGTAATTGCGTCGATACAAGTTGTCCGATATATCAGCGCTCTATGAGCGTAGTAGTGGGGTTTTTCGTCTAAAAGCTAGCCGATCATTCAAACCTCGTTTCCTCTCTCAGAGACTAGCTCGTGCAATAAGTTAGCAATACTGTGGACATTGAGCCAACACCAACTACAAAATGATGTCGATCTTGGCTCGGGTGTAAGCCAGCAACGAAAAGTTCATGAGCTCATTCGGTCTTCAATACTCGAGGCACCACACGTAATCAATTATCTGATGAATGTCTTGGTGCCTGCGGGACGAAGTCGTCCGCGACAGTCAACTGCACACTTCGTACTGAGAATGGTGGCAAGATGTTATAACTCTGCTTAGGTGTCGAGAAAGACAAAACGTAGAGATGCGATAAAATAGTGATCGTGTTACGGAGAGCAACCAACTCAAATGTATTAGCTCAGAAACTACCGGTCTAAATGCTATGCCGGTGCAATAAGCCAGTGATGGCTTAACTCACAACTTGATCCCTAGGGGGAAATAGGCAGAGAAGATGAGTGTCGGATAAACATGCTTCTTAGTCTGCTATGTATCATGGCGGAAACGTCGTTTTGGCGGAGCCAGGGACTGTAGGCAGTCAAAATAAACGTCGGCATTAAGTTTAAGTGTGGTAGTTAATAAAAGCGGATAATGTGACCATGACTTCATGCCCCTCGATCCGCGTCGGCGCTTTGTCCTCCCGGGCTTACAGCCGCCGGCAGTCGTAGCGGGGTTCCTGGCGTCAGCTCCCTCATGCCGAAGCCCTTGTTCAAAGTGCATCGCATGTGCCATGTAGATCCGAACAGTGGTTCGAGTTCCAACTCGCCCTCCTTAAACCCTTTGTCGCCACTCGCTTGTATAGAACATCCTGGCTCGCTTCCTTGGCACAGGGGCTGCGAACCCACCATGTATTCGCACTGACACGTTACCCAGAATAGTTATGAACAAGGCACGTGGCGTCAGATCTTTGGGGAATCAACAACGCAGTGCGAGTCAACTGGCTGGCGGGGTCAGATTATCATTGTTTTCTCCGTCGCCCGACTCATAATTCTCCATTCAGTTTACGGCAGTCGGACGCCCGGTGGGGGCGGGAAAAGACGGAGGGGGATGAATGCCTGTGAAGATGTGGGTTTATCACGCCTTACTAACGTCTTGAATCTGTTTTTAGCTTCGAGATCGAGTCTACGCGGATGGAGTGATTGAAATTCCTGAGCCAATGAAGAGACAGCGAAATGGTATTCTGTTTCAGCTGAAAAAAGTAGCACAACAAGGTCCCCTTTGACGGATGGCTCGTTACGCTTCTAGAACAGAACGAATATCTCTTTCCGTCGCATTCGGGCTTATGACCGTGCCCGTTGTCACACCCAGTGAGGTTATACGACCATGATGATGAATCACATTCCTCAAGTCTAGTCTTATCCTTATCATCCCAGATTGCGTCGTACTTGCGCTTTTGCCTGCTTTTGCATGGCCATACATATGCGACAGTCGTATATCTTCGGAGCCTTGCATAGCTTGGAACTTACTGAGAGCTTCACCATTCGCTATCTTATCATGCACGCCTCGCGCCTGGGTGCATTCGAGTATCCAAGCACGCCATGCCGTTTCAGTCACCAACGCGGAAGGCTAGTCCGAACCCCCAGCTGATAGCCCGTACCTGTCATCAGGCGAAACTGTTGCACCGCTGATGGAACCCCCTTTCCCGCTCCGATTGCCATTCGTCATTGGAGCTATTCGAGTAGCTGGCGACCCCTCTCAGCTGAGTATTTCCTCATCGGGTGCGGCTGGAGATTTGCCAAGGAACGGCCGGGCGCAGCTGCAAGAAAAAAGGTAAAAAAAAAGGATAGATCAAGTAATCTACGGGTAAAAGGAAAGGAAATGTAGGCGGTTGTCGGGGTGGCTTGCGAAGGCTTGTGCAGAATCCGCATGGCTTGACAGACTACCGAGGGCAGGCAGAGTAGGCTGTTTCGACCCCAAAAGACCCGGCTTGCGCCGCGCCATGAGCACGCCACCAGATAATCGATTTAGTGTCTAACTGAATTAGTTCATGGTCGGCGAATGTGCGGCGTCAAGAAAACGTGGTTATGGGAGCCGTCTTTGTCCTGCCCATGATATGTTCCTTGTGTGTTGCCAACGACGTGGGGCAAACAGAGTTGATCCGCCGCCGCCTACAAACGAGTCCATCTCACCCACGCTAGATCATCAATCTTTTGACGATACAACAATAGACTTATCTTCAAACGCCTCGGGACGTCAAAACCCTTAAAAACCATCATCACTCTGTACACGAGAGGCACAATGGATGTCACTGTGCAGCTCCCCACCGATCCTGTCGAGCGGCGTCGCGTTCAAAACCGCATCGCCCAACGCAAGTTTCGTCGTAAGTCGCGCCGCGAGTATCAAAAGAATTTGCGAGGCTGACCGAGATGTCTTGTAATGTGGCGTTCTAGACAAGCGGCTTCAAAACCAAGCAGCGTCATCCACTGCCAATAGTCGCTCCTCCGCCCACCATTCACGGCGGCCATCATCATCATCATCATCCAAGGCAGTCGCGCAAGTCACATCTACGCCACACACTTCCAGCACATTCTCTTCGCCCGGATTATTCGGAAGCATCGATATGGGGATGCGGCTTGATGGGCTGCCCATGACACCAGCCACAGTATCGGTGGACGATTTCTCCATGGACGCGTACTTTGACGGCAACTTTGACTCTTGCTTTGACATGCCTAATCTGCCTGCCAAACCACCAAGCCGGTCTTTATCATTCGACCACACCTTCTCTGCTCCAGTGCGGACGCCGTACTCTGTTTTGCCAACGCCACGGGCCACCGCATCATCTTCATATGCGTCGTCGTCGTCGTCGTTATCGGGTCGATCGCATGGGACTCCTGTCGGCGAAGGCGGGCCACCGTCATCTGTCAGCAGCGTAAATGGTCCAAGTCCTCGGCGTGAGACTTTCATAGACACGCAAATCTCTGATCTAAAGAATTTTCAGACCGAGACGATGAACAAAGAGAAGGACGATAGCGGCGCAAGTGACAAGGGATGGATAAGTACCATCCACATTGCGGTGCAGAGCGGGAACGAGCGCATCCTCGGCATGTTGCTAAGACAAGACACGGACGGAATCAACTCTCCAGATAGTAATGGGCGAACACCGCTCTTTCACGGAGCAATTCAGGACAACGAACCCGTTGTGCAGATGTTGCTAGCCCACGGTGCCCGCATCGGCTTGCTCGACAAGGAAGGGCGGTCACCACTGCACTGGGCTGTGCTATATCGTCGATTAGAGGTCCTCAGAACGTTACTGGAACATTGGAACAAATATGAGCGAGAAAGCTTCGACATTGATGCCCACGATAATGTTGGCTGGACGCCGCTACATCTCGCGGTCGAGAGACGTTTCGAGGCGGGTGTATTGCTGTTGATGCAGGTCGGTGCCAACATAAAGGCACGAGCCAAAATGTGTCCGCATACCGGAAAACCAATGCCATTTAACGTGGAGCCTCTGGGATCTTGAGATGCTGGGCCTATGCGATGCAAACCTCTCTGTTGGGGTGCGGGACTGCTCCTTTTGCACGTTTCGGGTGCTCCCTATATTCAGCTTCACGTTCTGTGCGTTACGTACAATGCGCTTTGGTGCTCTTTTGATGTGCATAGAATATATCCAAATTTAGCTTTTCAGATCTCCTGCTGCAACTCTGTCACGCCCAGAGGCTTCATCTGCTGAACAAAGGTTCCTCATGCTACGATCGAGAGAGCGGACAGGGCTCCACTGCATGGTAAACAGTAGGGATTTCAAGACACTGTTATGCAGATGCAATCAAAACTCAGACCGCATGAACCAATGCCAGGGACGAGAGATGGCTCTAAGCGCGTAAACTCAGCTCACACGACGCTGTCATCATCCCTCTACGAACTGAAATACAACCCCAGTCGCGATTTCGACATGTCTGATTGTGCTTGGCGCTTACTTTGCAGTTTTGCAGTCCTAGTTCCCCCCCTATGCGATTCGTTTTCCAGTCCTCGATGCGGGCGTTCCTAACTATGGCGTACCTCCACCGCGCCCCTGAAAATCGCAATTTACGGCACTGAATTCGCCATTCAGTAATTCCGTAAAGTTCCCAAAACTCTTGCAAGCACATGTCTTGCCGGTCGGACGTTGGAAGCGAATCGTATTCCTCGCAATAGTTGCAGTGCGGCTGATGGCTTGACCCCGCCGGACCACAATCGCGCCTACTAGTGCGTAAGAATGCTTACCTTGCATGACAGGTCAGCGCTTTATCGTGTAATCTTCGCACTACCAAGATTCTTACCCCGGGCGATTGCGATGTGGAAAGCTTGTTCCTCCTGCCCCCCAGCGAGCTTTGCTGGCCTGTGAAGGTAAGGGGTTGGAAAATTCCCACCTCTTGCAGCAAGGCCCTCGCAGGAAAAGGCACTGCACCAGCTTATCAGCACCGCACCCCATCTATCTACGACACTTGTAAAGTGATGTCCCCGATTTTCCGTCGCTTTGGAGAGAAGGAAAAGAGAGCTACTTTGTTTGGGAAAGAAAAAAAAGGCTCGGTTGAATTGCGACATTGTAGCTAGGCTCCCTGGCCTGACCTACGCATCATGAGCGTCGACACGGTATCATCAGAGCAGCGTGTCGAGGCCGAGAAAACGACACCTGTGAACCTCGAAGAATCTGAAGCTCCGTTAGTGGAAACCAAAGATGAAGATTATCCACGCGGTCTGCAACTAGCATTTGTGGTGCTGGGTATCCTTTTGTGCTTGTTTTTAGTAAGTCGTCAATTGTCTGCTTTGCTTGTAATCATCGTTGGGTAGAGCAATGGAGCTAACCGTCCGTCTGTTGTAGGCAGCCCTTGACATGGTTTGTGGCATCAAATTCTTTTGACTAGCCCAAGTGGACGCTCGATTTGCAATCGTGGTCGAGAATACTAACAAATTGTGCATGCAGACCATAGTTGCCACGGCCATTCCCAAAATTACTGATGAATTTCACGCCATTGACCAGGTTGGATGGTATGGCTCGTCATTCTTCTTGACACTGGCCGCGTTCCAATCCTTTTGGGGAAAGCTATACAGATACTGCCATTTAAAGTGGACATATCTCGCAGCAGGCATTGTATTCGAGGTTGGCAGCCTGGTTTGTGGTGCGTGTAGTCAAAGACGCGGCCCTGAAAACTTGATAGTCTTTGCTAACGCGCGACTGTCCAACAGCCACAGCGACAAACAACACTGCTCTCATTGTGGGCCGAGCCGTGACAGGTGTCGGAGGCGCGGGACTTTACTGCGGAACTTACACAATTATCGCATTCATTGTTCCACCAGCCCAACGAGCCCGATACACTGGTCTAGTTGGCGTATCCTATGCCGTCGCGAGTGTAGCTGGTCCGCTGATTGGAGGTGTCTTTACCGATAACATCAGTTGGAGATGGTGGTAAGAATTGGCACTCTTCCAAACATCCACAAGGGTTCTGATTACTCGTCAAAGTTTCTACATCAACCTCCCCATTGGAGGTCTTAGCCTTGCTCTGATCTTATTCTCCTTTAAACCTCCGTCCGCGGCAAAACCAGTGCCGGCACCGCTCTCCGAAATCCTACTACAACTCGATCTTCTTGGGGTGGCGCTGGCTGTCGTCAGCATGGTTTGCTTCTTCCTGGTCACGCAGTGGGCTGGCGCCAGCCGTGCCTGGGACTCTGCATCTGTAATTGCCTGCCTGGTCGTATCAGTTGTAGCGAGCTTTTTGTTTGCTGCAGTACAAATATGGCAAGGTGAAAGAGCGTCGCTTGTGCCTCGCATTTTGAGCAAAAGAGTGATTTACGGAGTGGCCTGCTTCGCCTTCTTGTCAGTCCTCCCCAGCCGGATGGTTAAACTTTGCTAATTTTCCATGTGGCTAGTCAAAACGGAATGAACTTTTTCTTCACATATTACATTCCAATTTACTTTCAGTCCATCGACAATTACTCGGCGGCGCAGAGTGGCATCTACAACTTGCCACTAATATTCGGAGCTTGTAAGTATGAGCCCCCCGGCACATGCGCCCCATCGCTAATTTCTGACAACAAGGCTTTTTTGCAATCATCTCCGGCTTTCTGATTACCATATATGGATACTATACTGTATACATGGCCTTAGGAAGCGCAGCTTGTACCATTGCAGCTGGCCTGTTGTACACGATGGGCATGCATACGCCGCTAGCTCGCCCACTTGGATACCAGATGCTTCTGGGCGCAGGGCAGGGCCTCGCCATCCAGGTTCCCGTCATTGTGGCTCAAGCAATGTCCGCACCCGAGGACATTTCGGCCAGCACAGCCATCATTCTCTGTAAGCGACCGAGCCTCTTCGCTTCGATAGTCTAGATGCTGACATGCAAGCTGTAGTTTTCCAGATGACGGGAGGTGCAGTGTGCATCTCTGCTGGCCAGTCGGCCTTTATTAATCGTCTGTTGTACTATCTCAAGAGCATTGCGCCTGGTATTGACGCTGCGCATATCGTCACAATTGGCGCATCGGATCTAAGAAGTCAGGTTTCTGCGAGCGATATTGACTTTGTGCTTCAGGCATATCTCGGCGCCCTCAAGGATACCTTTGCGCTTGGTGTGGGGTTTGCTGGGTGTGCGTTTCTGGCGAGTTGGATTGCGCCTATAAAAAACTTGGCGAACGGCTCCAAAGTGAATGTTATGGCGGCCTTGTAATTTAGTGGAATTTGAAGTTGGTGACTCGCAGCTGCAAAGCCTACTATAATTTACCAACCGCATTTGTGATGTTTACTTTGGCTCATCATGGTGTTGCATATGGTATATGTGCCTTAGGGTATGAATGACATTCATTTTCTATCAACAATCATGAGAAATCTTTAAATTCAAAAAAAAAAAAGCAATTTGTCCAAGTCAATAAGACCATATATTCTTACGCCACGAATTCCAAACCATAACTACTAGTTTACCAAACACTGTCCCCAATTACAAACTCAAGTACAGCGGCTTCCCGCTACAGGAGGCTCAGGCCTGCTTTCTATTCACACTACAAAAAACCCCGCTAGTTTCGAACTCTGAGCTGAAGACCAGGACTTCCAGCCGCAGGGAAAGGAATAATCATGTCGCGGACACAATCAATATCCCGCTCGCGGGTAGTGTTGTACAGTTCAAGCGTGGGACCCTCTTGGCCACGGTACAAGTCGTACTTGAGAAGGATTGTCGCCAGGATAATCGATAGTTCCTGCTTGGCAAAGTTCATGCTATTCGAATTTACATTAGCATTGCGAATCTCAAAGAAAGGGAGAAAAAAAAGGAAAAAGAGTTTACCCAATGCAGTTGCGCGTGCCTCTTGCAAAGCCAATAAAGGCGCGATCCAGTCTCGGGTTGTCAATCCATCGCTGCGGGATAAACTTGTCCGCGTCCGCAAAGACGGCCTCGTTTGTGTGCGCAATCTGGGCCGTCATGCTGTAGGTGACACCCGCGGGGACGACGTACGAGCGACCGCGGGCCTTGTCCTCGTAGACGATGGGCTCGGTGGGCGAAACGCGCGGCAGGCGGGCCACGACGCCCGGGTGAAGTCGCAGCGTCTCCTGGATGGCAGCCTGAAAGTAGGGCAGGTTCTCGACTTGCGAGTACGAGGGAATGTCGTCGGTGGCGGCGCCGAGGGCGTCGGAAAGCTCCTTCTTCACCTTGGCCAGCTCGTCCGGGTGGGAGAGCAGCTGGTAGATGGCGGCGCTGAGGGTGTAGGCGGTGGTGCCCTGGCCGGCAAAGACGACGAGCTGGGCCTCGTGCGCGAGACGCGCATTCGTCTTTTCCTCATCGGGGAGCTTGCTGCTGAGGACGCCCTCGAAGATGGTGCTCTTGATGCGTTCGGGGTTGGGCGAGCTGCGAATCTTTTCGACTTCGTCGAGCCACATCTACACATTGCCACATGTTAACCCTGCAACTCGTGAAGAAACAGACACATGTATACACATATGTGTCCAGGTACATACCGTCTTTTTATTCCACATTTCAGTCAGTCCAGGAAACACAGACTTGATTAGCCAGTCGGGCAATGCGCCGAGCAGGTAGCCCACGATGGGGAAATGACACATGGCGTGGTTGAAGAAGTGAAAGACGTCGGTGGCCTCGATGTACGGTGCGGCAAAGTCCTTTTCGCCGAGAAAGTTGAAAGACGTGCCAAAGGCGTACTGGGTGACAATGTCGCAGGCGCACGCCTTGAGGACAAAGTGAAACTTGAGCACCTCGCCCGTCTCGCCGGCCTCGTGCATGCGAGACAGCAGCTTGCGCATGTCTGCCTTCATGATGGGCTCGAGGCGACGGATGCTGGCCGTGGAAAAGAAGCCGGAAATGGTGCTGCGGCGGAGGCGATGGGTGTCATGGTCTGCGGTTCCGGCGAGAGAGTTGGGGGCTGTATAGACGGGGCGTGTAAGTCACTTCTTTCGCGTTGTGTTGTTGTGTTGCGTAGAGTCGAAAAATGGAAAGATGGGGGCAGATACTTACTTCCGGTGCGGCGGCCTGTCATGATGGACTTGTTGGTCTTGCGCTTGGCGCTTGGGTACAGCGGTTCGATGAATTCGGGGTCGTTGAAGTGCACCTCGTCGGGGTTGATTCGTACAATAGGGCCTAAAGACGATGTGTGAGCACTTTGATCAGTAGCATGAATCTTCTTCTTGCACCGATACCGAAGTAAAGGGTCAAAAAAAAAAAGGAATGGCACTGTACCGTATTTTTCGTGCATCTGCTTAACCTTGCGAAAGTACTGGCCACCCTTCCAGACATCGTAGTATATCTCGTACCAATACGTCAAGGCTGTTCCCAGTTAGCTTGCCTGCATTCTTTTCTAGGACTTATCATCTTGCTCTTACCAGCAAACTTGGGGCCGGGAATGCCAGCCAATGGATGAAAGAACACTACATTAGAAAATTTAGCCGTGCCGTATTGCCTCCAATAAAAGTATCAACATACATCGCTGCGCTACCAAGTAGGTGCAATATGTCAAGACTGCCGTGGTGATGAGATACACGGTGGGCCAGGACAGCAGCCCGTCAACACGCCACACATGGACGGCGTCGTCGAGTCCTTGCTGTAGCGTTTGGAGAACAGGTTGAGCCGTGCTCGCGAAATTGCTCGCGGCCATGGTTTTCCACTCTTTTGGCACCGATAGATTTAAAAATTGTGACATTGTGGGTGTGCTGTCGCTGTCGCTGCTCGGTGCATTCGCCTGGTTTCTTCGCACTGGACAAGGGTGCTTCGGCAAGCTATATGGTATAGCTTTCTCGAGCGCACTGCAAATAGTTTAATCAAAAAACTTCAACTACCGACTAGTTGGAGATCGAAAATATGTGACATGTTCTAATACCCACTCGCCCGTATCTGCTTACTCGAAACCTCTGTAATGGGAATTACGTGCTCACAGCTGAAAGCCTCTCGAGAGACAGATTAGGCAAGCCACCAAGATGACATATGGATCTAGAGCACAACACTGAATTAGCTCCGTTCAGATCTCTCAGCCCGTTGGATAAGCTAAACGTGAAAAATTATTGGCTAATGCATCATCAGCAATAACAGGGAGCTCGTAATACGCTGGGGGACTGGAGACGGTTCAGCCGCACTAATAAAACAGTCCACCTCGGACTTGAGGCTTACTGACTTGTTAGTGGCGGCGTCGTCCGACGGCGCTCGACAGCCTTGTCCACTATTCCAACCAACAGTGTGCAGCTGTACCTAGTCAAAACAGTCTGATGTAGTATTAGAATTACTTGAATATGCACAAGAAGCCATGTGTTCGGTTCAATCGATACCACCTTGACTGTGCTCTCGAACGCACGACGTACGCGAGTAGATTACAATGTTTCGCTCTTCTGTGTCTCTTTGCTTGCTTCTAGCGCCATTAGTAGTGTCTCTCCCACATCAGGCATCGAATCACACCGACAACCTTCGATGTCGCTACTTGCCCCAAGACTCCCAGTGGCCGTCCTTTGAATCATGGAACCAGCTCAACGTGTCAGTGCAGGGCCGCCTACTTGCAGGCAAGCCTCTGGCACACGTCTGCCACGGCTCTACCTACGACGCTGCAGCTTGCACTGAACTCGCCAATCACTGGACGGAGCAGGCTCCGTACTTTTCGGATCCGGTCAACATCATGTCGCCGTTCTGGGCAAACAACTCCTGCACTCCTTTTACCAGTCCTTCCGCGCCTTGCTTGCAGGGAAATTACGCCTCGTACGCCATCAATGTCAGCAACGCCGCTGATGTTGTTGCTGGGCTACAGTTTGCAAAGAAGAGCAATATCCGCGTTCAAGTCAAGAATACGGGCCACGACTACCTGGGCCGATCCACTGGACAGGGCTCACTAGCCATCTGGACACACAATCTAAAGACTATCAACTTTCTCAACTACACCAGCACAAGATACAACGGCTCAGCTGTCAAGCTTGGCGCAGGTGTGCAAGCATTCGACGTGTACCCCAAGGCGGCGGCGCAGGGCCTGCGGGTTGTGGGAGGCTATTGTCCTACAGTAGGCATTGCTGGCGGTTATCTCCAAGGTGCAGGGCATGGGCCGCTTCTCGGCACATACGGCCTTGCAGCGGACAATACGCTCGAAGTCGAAGTCGTCACAGTCGGCGGCAAACATCTCGTGGCCAGCCCAACACAAAATGCGGACCTTTTCTGGGCTCTCAACGGCGGAGGAGGCGGCAACTACGGCGTTGTCCTGTCTGTGACAACGCGCGCGCATCGCGACGGACCTGTCTCTGGGGCCTCGCTCACAGTGAGTGCCGCAACGAAAAGCAACATCGAGGCGCACTGGAAAGTCGTCGCTGCCTGGCATCGCCATCTGCTGTACCTCGACACACTACCCGGGTTCACGAGCGTTTACCGCATCACCAACACCACCTTTGGGCTCAGCCAGGTAACTTACGCAGACCACGGAGTAGCCGAGATCCAAACGGCCCTGGATCCCTTTTTGAAACAAGTGACGCAGCTCGGATTCAATTACACCCTCGACAAAAACGTCAAGGGCAACTACTATGAGCACTATCTCAAGTACAACCCCAAGCTACCCTACGGATCGTACTTTAACAACGAGACAATCGGCGGACGCCTGATTAGCCGTGACGCCATCAAGAGCAACCTGCCAGACGTCGTCAAGGCCATTCGCGACATTACCAATTCTCGAGGGAGACCATTTGTCAACGGGGTGGCTGGAAACGCAAACCGTGCGCACAGGGGTAGAGCGCCAAACACGAATGCAGTCTTGCCTGCGTGGCGCGATGCGCTGTACCACTTGATCATCGAAGAGGTGTACAAGGAGGATGCGTCCACGGCGCAGCTCGTGTCTGTTCAGGCCGACATGAATGCGCACCAGGAACTCTTGCGAGCTGCCGCGCCCGGCGGCGGAGCATACATCAACGAGGCGACTCTGGACAATGTGCAGTGGAAAAAGGACTACTTTGGCGCCAATTACAACAAGCTGTTGCGCGTGAAGAAGAGGTACGATCCGCAGTTTTTGCTGTACGGGCCGGCTTCAGTGGGGAGTGACGCCTGGGTTAGGGCCTCTGATGGGAGGTTGTGCAGAAAGTAACGCTGCAACTGCACAAGCCAGCTTTTTATCTTTTACCAGAAAAAACATGCGAATACATAGACATCTTGTTATGGATATAGATTATGTATATACAAATACATTTTTAGATGACATGCAAGATACAAACAGGTGCAGAACTACACGCCAGACGGGCCTCGTTTGTTACAGCCCGCAACGGTGTGACTGTGAGCTAGGCGGCTTTTACCAAGGGCTATACGACGTGGCAGTAAAATGTTCATCTAGTGTTGTAGAGTCATCTAGGTCTAATAATTTTAAAGCTTTCTCTTTAGAATATTTACCAAGGCTCCTCCTCGCCAGTCCACTTCCAAAGCTTGCCGGAATGAGTCTCCTTGGTGGACTCATCAATGACCTTGACCACACCTCGAACACTTTCATCCACGCTGATGCTCGCCTCGGCAAGATCAAAGGCCCGCGCACCGCGGTTCCCCATTTCGGTTTGAACGAAGCTGTACAAGTTGCAATATTTATTAGCAATGCGAGGAAAACAGAGGAAAACAGAGAAAAATAAAGCGCCGTCGCTGGTGCGCAACTTACCCAGGATCGATGGGAAAGACTGTGAGCCACGTCTCGGCAACGGCAATAGTCCTGGCGTACCAATGCTGAAGGATCTTGGTCGGGCCGTAGACAGCGTTGGGGAAGGGGATCACGTTCCTGGCCATGTTAGATTAATCACATACTGTTGTGGCTCTATGAGGCCAAGTCACTTACTATTCGACTGTTAGTACTGGTGTGCGCCTAAAGGTGGTAATGGGAATTACTTGCCGTCAAGAATGCAGCGCTAGATCCAATCACAATGAGTTTGGGGTTCTTGGATGCCTTGAGGAGCGGAAAGACTGCCTGGTAAAGTCGAACAAAGCCAAAGACATTGGTGTCGATGTGGTCTTTAATGTCGGGAATCTTGGCATCCTGCAGCTTCGGCCAGGCCGTGGCTTTGCCAGCATTGGCAATGACAATGTCAATGTGGTCGATGCCGCTGGACTTTAACGTCTCGACGGCTTTGAGCGAGTCATTGTCGTCCGTCGCCTCAATCTTGACCACTTGAACGGTGGTGCCCTCGGCCGTAGGCAACTTGAGCAGTTCCTTGGACGGGCCATCGTCGGGGTTGCGGTTGGCCGCAATGACGGTGTGGTTGGGCTTTGCAGCATACAGCTCCAAGATTCCACGACCAATGCCACGACCGGCACCGGTAATGAGGACAATAGTAGGAGAAGCCATGATTTTCTGCTCTGTTTTGGTCTGAGGCTGATGGATGTGCAGGACTAGTGCTTGCTACGGCGGTTGTTGGTGGTGTCTCAGCGAAAAAGGCCAAGCCAAAAGTTCATGTGTTTAGAGGGCGCTCTTTGCCAGCTAGCACTTCAATTTAGCTACGACAATTTTCGATGAATTACTAATTGTGGCACAATCAATTCGCAATTAGGCTTATCAACACGCAAGAGTCCGAGCTACCAAAGCAATTGCTTATTTTTATTTCGCCATCGCAAGCAAAGCTATCTCCATCGCAGCTTATGAGCCTAATCATGCGGGCCTCGCTGCTGGGACTCGGTTCTTACTCTTGACCAATCAGGAGCCTCCCGAGTAAGACCTGCAGCATAAGCAATTGCCCGATTGGGATGAACCATTACTTTTAGCGCATTATTGCCTTGGATGACCTTGTAATCATATAGATTCAGATACTGCTTGTCGAATCCTCAGATAACAAGAAGAAGAAAGAAAAAAAAAAAAGGCTAGCAAACGCGTAAGAGATTGAAGTGCTAGGTATTGCCGCAAGAGATATGAATTCGAAGGCGAAAATGGGGCAGCCGACAGCGGCATGTGAAAAATGCGACACCAGTAAATGACCAACAGTGAACTTGCGTGACAATATAGTTGCATCTCTCCTCAAAGAGACAAAAAAGTTAGAAGGGGACTATGGATCTTTTAAATAAAGTCTTGAAGCGATTATTTCCGCTACTCTAGTTAATCTATTCTGTATTCGTCCATGTAGCATGTAAATGGCCATGAGCTGGTGTTCACTGTTGGTTGAGGACCGCCTCGAGGTCAAAGCGCAGAGAGTTTTCCGAACCACTTGTGAATGGTTCTCTAATTGCCTTCATCTTCACACAACTCACCAAATTGCCAATTTAGCCTGCCACGTTCTCCCGTATGAATTCCGTCATAGCATCAACCACCTCGACCGAGCCTTCACCACTGAGTACAGTCAAGTGGCCCTTGCCCTTGGCCTCCAGAAACTTCTTTGTCTGCGGAAACAGCTCAAAAGCTGCCTTTTGCTCTTCCGGGGGCGACATGGTATCTAGCTCGGGCGTCACCATCAAGACTGGCGTCTTGTCCACAAGTTTCAAAATCTCCTTTGGCTGCCACCAGGCCAGCTTCTGATATGTCTGCAGCGCAATCTTGTTCCGAAAGTTGGGAGCGCCGCGGTCAATGACGGCACCCATGAATCCGTACGCTTCGATGCCGCCCGGCCCGCCCGAGCCTGCCATTCCAATCGGATTCTCGCCCTTGCTGTTGAACGGCGGCAGCATAAACGGCTCATTGCCGCGCAACTGGGATTGACGATCGCGTATCAATTGCAAAAATGCCTTGTCGCGCTTTTCGGCTTGGTAGAAACTCAAAATTGGACAGACCATGACCAGAGCTTTGACGCGACGGTCTACAGCGGCGGCGCATGCGCTGACGGTGCCACCAAACGACATTCCCCAGAGTGTAATCTTGGACGAGTCAACACTTGGAAGCGAAGAAATGTGCGTGACAATGTCTAAAAAAAAGGTGTCAGATTTTGCTTGAAAAGACCAGTTGCCCAGGGAAAATTTTACCTGCGAGATCTTCTGCTTGTTGAAGGGGATCAATGAGGTTCTTTGGAGAGCCATCACTGTCACCAATACTCCGTGGATCATATATGTAGGTATTGAAACCTTGCGATTGAAAAGTTTCTGCTATGTCAGGTAGCAGCATCTCTTTGACACAGTTGAACTACCATTGCGAAACTGTCAGCTAAATTGGCAGTCAAAAATGTCTGCCCTACGTACCCCGGGAGTCATGATAATTGCCGGCCCTTTACCGTCGACGGCATAGAACCTTCCCCTGATGATGATGCCATCGATGGTTTTGCATTCGACAACCTGGAACGATGAAAGAGGTGCCATGATTGCGCAAGTTGCAACTGCATAGAATGAGCGAGACTGTAGTGGAGCAAAGAGGCAAGTATAAGTGAAGAGGTAGATTAAGATTGAATTAAACTTATCGAGGTTTATTGCCTCTTCCAAGAGAGTCGTATTACTTTTCTCTGATGTACAACCAATAACAAGTTGTTTCATTAGCCTATCTCCATTCATTCGTGGGGCCAATAATTGCCGGCGTAGAATTCGTCCGCTCGGCCGATTCGGTTCCAACTAAATCACGTTGAGTAAGAGTGAGGCTGAACTGATCCACAGATAGATTTACATGCTTACCATGGGTTTCTGACCATGCAGCAGCTGGCATGATTGCCAGCCTAGACGTTGCGCAATGCTACCGAACGCTTGTGGAATTACGACGGAACTGGGTCAGGACATGTCACTTGGTATCGCCAGTCTGTGCGCCACTTCGAGATTGCCATATGTGGTTATCGTGTCAGACCTGCAGGACTTGCGCAAGATGGCTAAGCCGAACGGCTGAACGTTACTGATGGTCTTCAGATGCTCAGCTCGGGGTAATACCTTGTGATCTTCACATGAGTATTCCATGTCATTCGTAACTTGGATAAGCCAAAGAAAACGTGGCTGTTTTAGCTGCCGAATGTGGAAAGTTTCCTTGATACAGCCATCTAATCAGAATCACCTAATGTGAGGACAACTCGCAATGCAGGAGGAATAAAAAGAATCCATCTTCAATCGTAAATGTTGTATTCTGTGTAAACCCAATTCTTCTCATTCTCTTCACTTCATACTAGGCTCCACGTTACGTCTGTATAGACTCTCGTCCACACCATGTCGGGCCAAGAACCTATTGCCATTATTGGCCTCTCCTGCCGCCTTCCTGGCGGCAACTCCAACCCCCGCAAGCTTTGGGACTTTCTTGAACGAGGCGGAATTGCCTCCAACAAGGTCCCTGAGAACCGCTTCAACATCAACGCCCACTGGGATGGATCACACAAGCCTAGGACCATGCGCCCACTGGGCGGTATGTTCTTGGAAGACGTGGATCCGGCGGATTTTGATGCATCTTTCTTTGAGATTTCCAAGACGGATGCAATTGCCATGGACCCAAATCAGAGACAAATGCTTGAAGTAGTATTTGAGGCGCTAGAAAACTCTGGTCTGCCTCTCGAGAAGCTGGATGGAGCTCCGGTGGGATGCTTTGTAGGCTCCTTTGCATCAGGTGTGTACATGCCAAATATCGTTGCAGTAACGAATACGAATACTGATTGAAGTTTTCAGATTATGGCGACATGCAAGCTCGCGATCCTGATGACCGTCCTGCCAACATCACTGTTGGTGTCGGCCGCGCCATCCTGGCCAACCGCCTCAGTCACTTTTTAAATATCAAGGGCCCCAGTTTGACGATAGACACGGCCTGCTCAGGCTCTCTCGCCGGCCTTGATGTGGCATGCCGATACCTGAAAACTGGTGAAATTGATGCCGCTATCATTGCTGCTAGCAATCTTTACTTCAACCCCGAGCACGTCATGGACATTGGCGCCGTCGGAAACGCACACTCCCCTACTGGCCTCTGCCACACCTTTGACATTTCGGCCGACGGATACGTCAAGGCCGAGGCTGTCAGCTCTTTTATTATCAAGCGTCTATCCGACGCTATTCGCGATGGCGACCCCGTGCGAGCAGTTATTCGAGGCTCATCTACAAACAGTGATGGCCGTACACCTGGTATTGCCAGCCCTAGCGCTGAAGCACAGGCGGTTGCCATTCGCGCGGCCTACGCAAATGCTGGCATCACCAACTTTAATGACACGGGATATCTGGAATGTCACGGTACCGGAACTCAGGTGAATTTCTTGTGGTGAACTATTTCATTAATGCTCATCACTAACTTGGAATCAAGGCCGGTGATCCGACTGAAGTTCGAGGCGCAGCATCAGTCTTTGCTGCCTCTCGCCCAGCTGATAAGCCTCTCCTTATTGGTTCAGTATGAATTGCCCACGTACATACATGTTCATATTTTATACGAGCGCTGACAATTTCAGATTAAAAGCAATTTGGGCCATGCGGAGCCCGCAGCAGGTAATTCCGGCTTGATCAAGGCGGTTCTGGCTATTGAGAACGCTCGCATCCCGGGTAACCCAACCTTTGAGAACCCGTCCCCCAAAAGTAAGCATCAACCCTTAACCCTAAGCATTCAAAAAAAAAAGAAAAAAAAAGAAAAAAAAGAAAAAAAAATCGAAATCCTTTTTAAAGTTTGAGAATTACCAAAATATATAATAAACACGAATCTAACTTTTTTACCTGCAGTCGACTTTGCTGGATGGAAAGTCCAAGCTAGTCGCTACACAGTCCCCTGGCCGACGACCAACGCGCTCCGACGCGCCAGTGTCAACTCGTTTGGTTACGGAGGCTCCAACGTGCATGTTGTCATTGAGCAGGCAGCGTTGGACCACAAACCCCGGCACACATCTTCCTATCTGTCTGAAGATGCAGAACTCGATATCGATGACGAACTCGAAGAGGGCCGGTCCCACACTCTGGTTCTGTCCGCCAACGACGAGGCATCGCTGCGTGCAAACATCCGTGCTCTTTCCAACCACCTGATCAACCCTCGAGTCAAGGTCAACCTCGCCGATTTGGCATACACGCTTAGCGAAAGACGCTCTCTCTTCTTTCACAGGGCATACTTGACCACCAAGACTACAGACTTTGAAGACGATGCATTCGTCTTGGGCAAGAAGCAGTCGGAGAAGCCGCGCATTGGCTTCGTCTTTACTGGTCAGGGAGCGCAGTGGCCGCAGATGGGCAAAGAGCTACTAGAACTGTTTCCCTGGACGCGCAGTATTCTTGAAGAGCTCGATGCAGTTTTGCAAAAGCTGCCTAACCCTCCTGCCTGGTCACTGATTGGTAAGGATTTCCTTCTTTAGCCCCCAGCCCTTGAGCGGTATACTAACAAGTATTGGTTAGATGAACTGACTCAGCCTCGCGCTGCCGAGCACCTTCGACAGCCAGAATTCTCTCAGCCTCTGGTGACTGCCCTTCAGCTCTGCATCTTGGCTGTCCTTGAATCGTGGGGCGTTTCCCCGCAGAGCGTCATTGGCCACTCGTCTGGTGAAATCGCCGCCGCTCATGCCGCCGGCTTCCTCAGCCGTGCCGACGCCATTGTTGCCGCATTCTATCGCGGACGTGCTGCGGTCAACCGCAAGAACGATGTGGCTCAGAATGTCGGCATGTTGGCAGTCGGCCTTGGAGGTGACGCAGTGCAGCCGTACCTCGAGGCCCATGCGGGCAACGCCTGGATAGCCTGCTACAACAGCCCCGGCAGCGTCACAGTCTCGGGTAGAGTTGAAGCCCTCGAGGCCCTCGCTCAGAGCCTCAAGGCCGATTCTCATTTTGCCAGACTGCTTCAGGTGGATCTTGCCTACCACTCGGAGCTGATGAGCGTCATTGGTGAAGAATACGAGAACCTTTTGCAGAAGGCCAGCTTCACCTCCTCTGCTGGTCACAGCCACGTCACCATGTTTTCCTCCGTCACTGGAAAGAAGAAGACGGATGTCGCAGATGCTTTGTACTGGAAGAACAACATGGTTTCTCCAGTGCAGTTTAACGATGCTGCTCAGGAAATGCTCACCTCGCCGGACGGCCCGACTGTGCTGGTTGAAATCGGACCATCTGGTGCTTTAGCCGGCCCTGTCTCTCAAATCAAAAAGGCCCTCGATAAGCAAGACAGCGATGTCGCGTACATTGCTGCCTGGTCGCGTGGAGCTAATGCAGGCAAGGCACTGTTTGACGCTGCTGGACGCCTCTTTGTGACTGGATACGCAATCGACCTGGCCAAGGTCAATGAGTACAAGGAGCCATCCACCATCATCGACTTGCCCAACTACTCTTGGAACCACTCCATCAAGTACTGGCACGAGAATGCTGCCAGCAGAGACTGGCGATTCAAAAAGTACACGTCGCATGACTTGCTCGGAAGCAAGGTCCTCGCCACCTCGTGGCAGGCCCCTAGCTGGAGAGCTCATCTCAACCTCGACAACGTTCCCTGGCTCAAGGACCACAAGATGGGGGCAGACGTCCTGGTTCCAGGCTCTGGCTTTATTTCCATGGCGCTCGAAGCCATCTGGCAGAAGTACAAGGCTGTCGAGCCGGCCGCTGCCGACGTCGCCGCAATCAATGATTTGGCTTACCGGTTCCGCAATGTCAAGTTTGAAAAGGCCCTGGTACTCGAGGAGGGCAAAGACACCGAGGTGATACTTTGGTTGACTCAGCAGCCAGGCAGCAAAACATGGCACGAATTTGTCATTTCTACAACAACTGCAGACGGCTTCCGCATTGATCACTGCTCTGGCCTGGTCAGGGTGCAAGATGAGCTGCCCGATTCGATTCCAGAAGGTCAGGACGGAGAGCTCGCCCACCCCACTGCTGGACGTCTATGGTACAAGGCGCAGTCGCAGATCGGCTACGGATTCGGCCCTTCATTCCAAAAGCTCAAGCACGTCGAGTCCCTCAGCGGAAGCCGCAAAGGCCGCGCCGTCGTTGCGCTTGAGCCACCTGCTTCCAAATGGAACCCCCAGACTTACTACCCAATCCACCCAGCGTCTCTGGATGGCTGTTTCCAAACCGTGACGCCGTCGCTGTGGTCGGGCGAGCGAAGCTCCATCAACGCAGTTGTTGTGCCGTCGGTGCTTGACGACCTCGTTATCAACAAGGTGCCCCATGACCTTCAGGATGGCTTGTCTCTGGCCAACTCGGAGTACTCTGGCCGTGGACGTCTCTCCGAAGCCAAGAGCTACATGTCCAACTGTGCCGTGTACGACCCACGGACTGGCAAGCTAATTGCTCGCATGACTGGTCTTCACTTTGCCGAGCTCAACACCGACGCCAAGGTCGACCCGCATACCTTTGACGAGGTTACTTGGAAGCCAGACATTAGCCTGCTTTCGAACCAGCAGATTGCGTCTCAGACCCTCAGCCTGGACGCCGTGGAGGGAATCGGTGCCACCATTGATCTGGTTGCACACAAGAAACCTGCCCTGACCGTCCTTGAGATTGGCCTTGATGCTACTGATGCGTCGTCGCTGTGGTTTGATGAGGAGCAGGAGTCGTATTCTGCACGCTCTGCCTATGCAGAGTATACTGTTGCTACGGTTGGTGGACCGAGCCTAGTCGACCTCCAGACAAGATATGAAGGCAAGAGAAATACTTCCTTCCTGCTCTTGAGTGAGAAGAAAGAAAGCCTTGGCCTGGAAGCAGCTTCCTACGATCTAATCATTGTCAAACTTGGTGAAGCCAACTCTTCCAACTTGCTTCAAGAGCTTGAGTCGCTTCTCTCCCAGAGCGGAGCTTATACTCTTGTCATCCAGGGCAAGGTCTCTGACTCCACGGCGAGAACTTCATCTTCCGAATCTGGTTCACTGCAGTCCGCCGCTACCCGATCGCCAGAGGTCTTGCAGACACCGAGTGCGCCCACATTTGCTGATCCTAGCATCAAGTCTTCCTCCGTGTCTGACACTCCGTTGCCAGGCCAGGACACTAACTCTGGCATCAAGGGTTTGGCTCTCGACGTTGCTCTCCAGGAGAAGTTCTCAGTGGTCAACAGCAAGATTTACCCCGTCTCAGAACTGCCAGGTCTCGGATCTCCTGTCGAGATTGCGTCTACTGAGAGCGTTGTCGCCCAGTTGTACACTCCGAACAACGCTGAAGTTGAAGGCCTCGCTCAGAAGCTGTCAATTGTCAGCTTCTCTGACAAGACCTCTTCCCTTGGTTCCAGCCTGAAAGCTTCCCTGGAGTCCACTGGGTGGTCTGTCTCAACTCATGGGCTTCCTCTGACCAAGCCTGCCGACGGAAGCATCGTGCTCGTTCTCGACGAAATTCAGTCGCCCTTCCTGAGGGACATCTCTCAAGAGCAGTGGACATCATTGCAAGCACTGGTCAGCTATGGCAACCCAGTTCTCTGGGTTACTCAAGGTGCGCAGTTGAATGTGACAAACCCCGACGGTGCTCTTGCCCCCGGACTCTTCCGCGTCATTCGCATGGAGGACCAGAGCGCCCAGCTCACGACCCTGGATGTCGAAGCTGCCACGGGCCCGGCTACCGACGCTGCAATCACGCGGGTGTTGGAGCAGCTGCGCCAGCCGCGCGTCAAGGAATTTGTCGAGTTTGAGTATGCCGAGAGAAACGGCATCATCCACGTGCACCGCATCGTTCCCGATGTTGCCGTCAACAACTTCAAGTCGGTCGAGCAACTTGGCGCCGAACCTGTTGTACAAGACCTTCACGCTACCGAAGCTGAAGTATCGCTCCGAGCCGAGCGCATGGGAACTTTTGATGCCCTGACCTGGGCTGAGACATCTTCTGGCCCTGTACCCGTGGAGGAGGGACGTATCGAGGTCGAGGTTGTCGCCGCGGGTGTCAACTTCAAAGATGTTGCCGTCACCATGGGCATTGTTCCCGAGAACGAATACACGCTGGGCTATGAAGCTGCAGGTGTTGTCAAGCGACTTGGACCTGGTGTGACCAAATTCAAGGTCGGGGATCGGGTTTGCTTCTTGAACAATGGTAGTTATGCCAACCGCCTGCAGGTCCCGTACCAACGGGCGCACGTCTTCCCAGACAACATCAGCTTTGAAGAGGCGGCGACGATCCCGTCGGTATACTTGGCGTCCATCTACTCGCTATATCACCTTGGCAACCTCAGGTCCGGTCAGACTGTCTTGATCCACTCGGCCACTGGTGGTGTTGGCATCTCGGCCATTCAGCTCGCCCAGCACAAGGGTGCCGAGGTATTCGTCACAGCAGGCACAGAGGAGAAGCGCGAATTTCTCGAAAAGAATTATGGAATTGCCAAAGATCACATCTTCTCTTCGCGAAACACAGACTTTGCTGCGGCCATCAAGAAGCAGACTGACGGCCGCGGTGTGGACGTTGTTCTCAACTCGCTCATTGGCGAGCTGCTTGACGAATCCTGGCGCATCACGGCAGATGGCGGCACTTTTGTTGAGATTGGCAAAAAGGACATTGTCGATCGTAACTCGCTCTCCATGGAACCCTTTGATCGCAATTGTTCCTTCCGCGCTATGGACTTTTCCTATACCAAGGATATTTCTCTACCACTGATTGAAAGGTGAGTCTCACTTGTATCCTCATGTTCAGAGAACGTCGAACTAATAAATATATATAGACTACTTGATGAGATTTTCGATCTTGTCAATGCTGGTCACGTCAAGCCCATCCAGCCCATTACCACTTTCGGCTTTGATGACATTCCATCTGCTCTGGCTCATATTCGTAGCGGTCGTCACATCGGAAAGGTTGTCATCTCCAGTGGTGAGCACACCTCCGTCGAGGTCCCTATTCGCCCCGCGGCACGAAAACTTGCTCTTGATTCCGCAGTCTCGTACTTGATTGTTGGTGGTCTCAAGGGTCTCTGCGGCAACCTGGCCATCCACCTGGCCAAGAATGGAGCACGTCGCATCATTGTCTGCTCCAGGAGCGGGTTGGATGATGCTGCCTCGCAAAAGACTGTGGCAAACTGCGCCGCCTATGGCTGCGAGATTGTCGAGGCAAAGGGCGACGTTGCAGACGAAACCTTTGTACGAAAGATTTTCCAGGAAGCTTCCCCGGCCATTTCCGGCGTCATTCAAGGTGCCATGATTCTGAGAGTGAGTTCCTTATCATTGGCAAGTTTCTTTTCTGTGGCTGACATAATGTATTAGGACAAACCGTATGAAATTATGACTTTGGAAGAATACCACGCCGCGATCCATGCCAAGATTCAGGGCACCTGGGCCCTCCACCGGGCTTCGCTTGATCAACCCAAGCCCCTCGAGTTCTTCACACTTCTTTCCAGTATCTCTGGCATTGTCGGCAAAAAGGGTCAGTCCAACTACTCTGCCGCCAACACCTTCCTCGATTCCTTTGCCTACTATCGCCAGTCCCTCGGTCTGCGAGCCAACGCGGTTGATTTGGGTCTGATTGAGGATGTCGGCTACGTCGCCGAGCAAGGCGGCATGGACAGTCACTTTGATAAGCGACAGTGGACGCCGATCCTCGAAGGCACGCTGCGAAGCATCCTCGACTACTCCATCCTGCAGCAGACCCCTAAGCCCCTCAACACAGTCAGCGTGCCGCAGCTCATCACGGGCATTGGCTACCCTCTCCCCGACGACTCGGATCTCAAGAGAGAGGCTCGCTTCGGCTACCTCTTTAGCCAGGCCGGCGGCGCCGACGGGGCCAAGGACGGCGGCAGCAAGGGAGATCAGGCCATTCGCGCCCTCAAGCTCATGCACCAGTCGGGCGCCACCGGTGCGCCGCTCGTCAAGCTTGCGACGGAGCTTGTCGCGGGCCAGATTACCAAGATTCTGCGTCTCGAGACGGAGCTCGAGCCAGCCAAGTCGCTCATGGCGTATGGTGTTGATTCGCTCGCGGCGGTGGAGCTGAGGAACTGGGTGCGATCTGAGCTGGGCGCTGAGCTGTCGACACTGGACATTACCAATGCCAGCTCTCTGATTGCCCTTTGCGAGAAGCTTGTTACCAAGCTGCCCGCGCCTTGATTTTTTTTTTCGGGATAAATCTGAAATAAGTCCTGCAGGACAGGCTTTTTTTGATTTTGGCTATACTAGAATTGTTTGCTATGCTACTCCGTACTTTACTGTTTTATTTATCTTTGACCGTTTATAGACTTTTTTACATTATTTCACAGGTTATGTTCAAATCTCGTGAAGCCCTGAAATGAAATGACTGACGTACTCAGATTCCAAAAAGAGATATATCGTGTTCTACGGGGCTAACAGGAGACTCCTTCGTACACTTTGAAGAATTCGTACAAATTGAAGAAGTTGAAGCTGTCACGCTATCCACGTCGCACAAATGGCAACTTGATATTTCCTAAGTGTAGTACGACAAGCCGATTTTGCCTCGCGCGCGCCCCAGGATAATATAGCGAGTAAATAAAATCCTTCCCCTCTAGGGCTATGAATTCAACGCCCGGCCCTCTGCACCATTTCCGCCTGCGCGCCACAATGGCATCCGTGGGCCGCAACAACACACGTACCCTGCACCAAAAGCTTAGAGCATCGCGGCGTCATTTTTCTCTGGAGTGGAAAGGCGTGAAATGAGGTGGAGATGACGCTACGAGCGGATTGATGCATCACTGAAAGAAAGACGCGCCGGACTCGTGGGAACGTGGAATTGATATAATGACACATTCGCGATAAACTGTCAAGGATACGGGCAGGGCTAGAATCAGAACGCTGAATTCGTATACATCGACTTTAGGCACGATTCGAAGAGCAAAGAGCATTGCATTTCCTATTGCGCTAAATAACAGTTGATAAAAACATCAATTCCCTTATATTTTCATATCCGCTAGCGCGCATCTCTCATCGGGCCGTTGCGGGCGTGGACTCTTTGTCCGAGCTCCTCCCGGTCCATCATTGCCCTGCTCCTCTGTTCCCCATATACATTTCGTCATTCAGCCGGGTATCTTTTCTTTTTTTGTTGTTGTTCAAGTCATTATCTCATGTCCTTGCGGGAAAAAAAAACAAACGAATCATCTTAACCGCCGGCAACCTAAAAATCCGCCATGACCGTCGTGGTCGATCGCTGCGCACGACTACGCGCATGTAGCGCCTGCGCCTCCAAACACTGCGACATAATCTGGTAGACCTGCCAGACGCCCGCATTCTGCATCATGATGCCAAACAGTCGCAGCAGCTTGGGTACGTAGCCGCCGGGCTCGACGAGGTGAAAGTCTGGGTCTATGCCCGCGTTCGCCAGCTTCTCCCTCGCCTTGACGGCCGCAGACTCGACAATGCCGCGTACCTTTTCCAAGAGCCGCACGTCGTCCTCTTCGAGAATCATCACGGCGGGCATCTGCGCAAAGTCAATCTCGTCGTGGCCCACGATGCCGAGATACGGACCGACGCGGTCCTGCAGCGTCGCCAGCCACTCGGCGAGTACCTGCAGGCAATCAAAGGCACAGAGAGCGGCCTGCAGCGAGAGCTCGCCGCCCCAGAGGTCGGCAACGGAGACACCGAGGCGGTCAGCCATGAGGAGGGAGTCGGCGGCAAAGAACGATGCCTTGCGGAGGTGCTTTTCACGGCGCGACGTGACGCGCTCGGCCGAGTTGGGGTCGCCACGCGCGGAGGTGAACCTGGCAAAGTCAATGGATTGCGTCTGCGGGCCGGGCGAGTCGGAGATGGTCGCGTCGCGCATATTGGCGTCGGCGGGCTCTGCTCGGCTGCTCGGCTCCGTGGCCGATTCGTCAGACGACGAATTCTCCACGACCTGGCTGCCGCGAGCAATCTCGTTGGCTACGCCGATCCAATCGCGCTCCCAGAAGCGCTCCTTGGCGCGTGATAGATTGACAAACAGGCGGACGTATGCCAGGTCGAGCAGTGGAATCGAGTCGGCGGGCAGGGGCCCGAGGCCATACGGATTCGGGTGCTGGACGCAGTGACGTGGGTTGCTCGCCCAGGCCATCTGCCAGGCACGCAGGGCGGGCTCAATGTGGCGGTGCATGCGCTCCGTCTCCTCGTTTGTCCAGACCTTGTTGTGGTGCCGCTGGCGGGTCTCCCAGATATAGTTGTGGAGGGCGTAGATGAGAAGAAGAAGCGCAAAGGAGCTGGGGCTGAGCTGGCTGCCACGCACCCTGCTGGGGTTAGAACCCGTCTCAAAGCCGGCCGACATGCTATCGAGGGTCAAGTCATCCTGTTCCTTTTGACTCGAGTGCAGCAACTCGGCCAGGGCCTCGCGAAACGGCGGCGTGTTGTGAGCGGCGCCGCGGACACCGCCCCTGGCGAAAAAGTCGAAGCTGGTCTCGGCAGCCCAAAACTCCTCGTCACACGGCAAATCAATCAGGATTTCGGAATTCGTTAAAGCTGGCGCATGATTGTACGCTGTCACTAGAACGCTTGATAAGAGGTATACGGCGTAGAGGGTTCGCTTGCGTTCCTCCATTCTGCTCCACTCGATCCACTGATGGTCTTGCAGATGCTCCCTTTGGCGCTCAAAGTTCTCGTCGTTGGCTATTTGCACATCTTCGATATTTGGGACGTGGAGCTGCGTCGGCTTCGCCAGCTGAGCCCCTTGAGCGAGACCCACCAAGGATGAAATGTGCATGGAAGCGATATCCGTAGCAATCTTGTCAATCACGTTGTGGCCGTATGAGATGTTCAAGAGCATAGTCTGGACCAGCCAGACGGGCGTGTCAGAGCCATCGTCACTGGGCTGTGAGCCGCTCTGGGACGTGGTGCTTCTTGCCCTGCTCATTTCCTGTTTGCGACGATCTTGCAGGAACATGAACACCATTCGTTTCGACAGCTCAAACAATTCTTTGGATACGTCGAGATCTCGTTCATACAGGGCGCCGATCATGGCGGTGGCCAGGACGAGACATCCCTTGCCGCCGTGGGACCCTAGTTCGTCATCGTGCCCGGGCTTAGACATGTCAAAGTTGAGGGTGGGGACATGCAAAAAGGGAAGATGCGGGTGGAAGTGCGTTAGGTAGGAAGTGACGTATCGCTGGAGGTCCAGGGTTGAGGGCAGCTTGTGCTCGGTGGACTGATTATTGGCAGTCTGCGGCGCAGTCTTGAGAACGGGTTTACGACCAAATGGTTGGGATTTGGAGAGGATATTCACAATGGCGGTCCTGGTGGCATCTGTGATTGTGGTTACGGGAGAGGCTCCGAGGTTCCCGGCAGCGATGGGGTGCGTAGGGTCCGGGCCAGGATGGAAGCTTGGGGAGCTGCTTATGGTTTGCGCGTTGCGTCCCGTTACGACGGATGGGTTCATTGAACTCTGCGAATGAGGCGCGGACAGGTAGGGGTCATTGATCTTTTGAGAAGCTGGCTGAGGTGATACAGGTGCTCCGTTTAGGAGATCGGGAAAAACCGACCCATTGATATCCATCGCAAAAGGGTTCGTCATCTGCGGCGGTCCCATGACGGAGGGCTGCCACATGGTGGTAGACCCTGCTGGGACCGGATGATTTGAACCATCCACCATGACATCGCTTATCCCGCTCTGGCTCGTGGTGCTGATTGCTGAGGGGCTCGAACCGTCAATCGCGTTTTCGTTGTTTTGAAACGTCATCTGATGCTCAAAGCCGGCGACCCAGTCAAGGCCGTCATCAAAGGGCTGACCAGAGGAGAGGTCGTTGAGTGAGGAGCTGAAGGGAGACTGATGGTCGACATTCATGGACTGGGGCGAGTCGTTGTAGTGAAGGGCGTTGGGGTTGATGGTGGAGCCATGGCCAAAGAGAAGGTTTTCAAAATCAAATTCGGTGCCAAAAGGACCAACCGCCGGCGCCGTCCTCAGTGCCGGGCCCATTTCGGTCGTGGTGCCCGTGTCGAGCTTGGAGAGGCTGAGGGCCATGCCGCGCTGGCTAAGAGCGAGGGACATGCTGCCAAGGTCAAAGTTGTGCAGCGGCAGGCCTACTAGAGACGGGTGTCTATTGTGGCCGCCCATGCTTCTAGCGACAGAGGCGTTGGCGGAGGCCAGCATCTGCATGGCTGAACCGTCAACATGACTTATAGTATTCGCTCGGGGCCTCATCTGGGCGTTCCCTTGACCGGCAGCTCCGACACTAGGGCCTGCTATGCTATTTTTACGTCGAGCCTGGGCGGGAGTAACGCCGCTCGCAGATTCTCGGCGGTTGCGCGGGCGGGCCGAGGGAGTGGTCGTTTGGTGCAGCTTTTGCTGGTGCCGCAGAAGCAAATCACGGCGAGCAAAACATCGCTGACACTCGGGACACTCAAAAGGTTTCTCTTTGGTGTGGGAGCGCTCGTGTCGCTTTAAATGCTCGAGACGCGCAAAAGAACGCTGGCAGGTCGCGCAGACGTGGGGTCGTGGCTTATCGATTTTCGGAGCGGGAAAGGTGGGTGGTGCCGGCTTGGAATTGACAGTAAGAGTGGAAGCTAATGGTTCGCAGCTGAGGTTAGCGGTAATTCATCATCAAACAAGATCAGACGCGGTTTCTGGTCATGTGCGACTGGGCCGGCGAGGCAGGCGAATGGAGGGGCGGCGATGCAAAGAGGTAGGCAAGGCGCGACGTAGTGGGCGGGATTTTTTTCTCACCAGAATCGTCAGCGGCGGGCTTTGCGGGCGCAGCAGTGGCGGGTGCGGCGGCGGCGGCGGCGGCGGGAGATGTGGAAGTCATGATGGAAGATGAGCGAGAAGGCCTGGCTCCAGAGTCGTTCATGACCATGGCCTCGCCGGGAGAATTCTAGGCAAAGGGCGGCGGCCGCGTGGTGGGCGTCGTGATGTTTGCGGTGAGTGGCGCTGTTGGTTGAGCAAGCGTCGAGCTGTCGTGGGGCAGAAAGACGTGAGACGGTAAGAAGAGAGAGATGGCGGGGGGTCAGGAGAGCTGATTAGGGAGGGGCGATAAGAGGTGTGAGACGGGCGGCGGTTGGCGGTTGGTGGGAGTCAGAGGAGTAGGTAGGGAGAAGAAACAAGCGCAGAGCGGAAAAGCCCGAGCTTGATGGGATTGAAAATGGTCGGAAAGGGGAGAGCTGTTCCGCCAGTCGAAGCAATTGCTGCTCAACGTGGGACAAAAAAAGAAGAGTCGTAGGAATAGAAGAGAAGAGGTGAGGGAAGAAGGAGAGGGTTATTTAGCGTAGCGACGGGCTGGTTTAGGGGACGGGATGGGTGAACGTGGCGGGGTGCGAACTCGCACTGTAGCCTTTTTACTTGTAGAGGGCCTTTGTATTTAGGGCTTTGCAGGGCTCTGCAGGACCCTTGGTGGCCGGTTTGGTGGACCACGTACGTCAGTGGTTGCCGCCACCACCAGCAAATACCCGAACGATCAAGGCCAACAAGTTTGCCTACCATTGTGGTCAAAGTGAGGACAAGACGAACCTCACAACTCTCGAGTGGGCAGGGTCTTGTCTCATGCAGATTCCTCCCCAGGTCTTTCCAGACAATGTCTCGAGCACCGCGCGCGACGCCGTTGCATTGCAGACCAGCGTCCAGACGGGGCCGGTACAGTGTATACTACCGTCGGGACACGGTGCGCACACAGAGCCGCCTGTTTTCTGATTCCGTCGGGGCCGAAGCAACTGCTGTGTGTGAGCCACAGTGGATAAATTTCGAAACAAATTGAAGACTGATTCTCTGGCTAATAGCAGACGAGCTAGGCTCGCATGCTGGCTCGCATCTGCAGGTTCGCAGGCGTGGAGCTTGAGCTTTTGGGCTAATGCGATGCGGCGCCCGTGATCAGTGCCTGGGTACGGATTACGTTGACCAACGGACGCGTCCAACAGCCGAGCCGCACACAACGCCATTATTTGTCATGGCTGAGCATGATTGTGTGTAATAAGCGACTTATCCATCTTGTTGATGGGTGCTTGCTACAATTTCTACATGTCCATTTTCCCTTCCAAACCGCGAGGAAACGCACGTCTTCCATCGGCGTAGGCTGGGAGGGTCTCGCCTTTGTCCTAGCGTTGCACTCGCTGCAAGCCTCTGCAAGGCCCCTGTCCGGCTCCATGTAACCATGATGCATGCTGCCAATGCTCTAGCGATTTATTGCTGCCAACTTTTGACGGAGTGGTGCCAGTTGGGATGTTGTCGATGCAATCAGGCACACCTCTCTTACTGCCAGCTCGCCAGCCTCGTCGTTAATTCGCCCGTCTCAACTTTTCAATATGCGGCGGGTACATGCCCATGTCTCATTTCGTCTTGCAGATGGCAGAACATGTGCCGCCAGCCATTACAATTTTCGCATCGGCATTGGGGCCTGCCGCAGCCTCGCTCGCCCTCGTTGGCTGCATCTGCATAGGTGGGCGTCGTGCGGCATACACTGTGCAAGACATTCAAGACATTTCACAGAGTCAAGTAATTCCCACTAATGTCGAGAGCGATCCCTAGAAATCGTTGGACATGAGGTGAAGCGTCGCTCGCTACTCTATGCCACCTCGTCAACCATTCGTCCTGTCGGCTGTATATCATCAGCTCACTAGCACTAGGCACGGCAGTCCGACATGACCTTCTGCATCGTCCCAGTATGCACGTCGGCATCCACCTGGCCCTGCAGATTTGATTTTTTTACCAGCACCTTATAATTCAATCGTGTGGACAATGACTGTGTTTCAGACCTCTCCACTCGTCGGCCCAACGTTCGTGGTCAACAACCTGGTCATGTCAGGGCTGCGGAATCGCCAGTACCGCTCAACCGCTGTCCACGCCCACAAGACTTACTGGTAGTAAAATGATAAGTAGTGCCACAATCTGCGCAGAACGCGCAAGCAAACCGGCCCATTCTCCGTGTAATCAGTCCCGCAACGTCTCATCTTTACTTCGGCCGTGGTATCCTATGACCATTTCCGAAGTGAAGCCGACATGGCTGTTTGCTTCGGTTGTCGCCGGCGCATCTGTAGCGTGTGGTAGCTACCTACCTACCTACCTAGCCTGCCAAAACGAAAGCCGACATAACCACCAGCGCCAGCACCGCAAACACACAATGCTACTCCTCAACAAGTTGGCGGAAAAATTCTCTCTCGTAATTACCCGTACGATCCCTCAACCCTATCATTCGTCTCGCCAAGATCCGCCATCTTCCTCAGTTTGGTTATCTTGCCTTTGATGCATAAGTAGCCAGGACATCTTTCCCTCTGATGCCGTGGTGCTGCTGCCCATGAGTGCAGCGCAGCTGCAGGTCGGGCCATGACATGATATTACACAGAGTTCTCCCTATACCACTAATAACTCTCAACACAGTGTCGGCGTGATTATCCGTGCAACCACGACTACCGACACTCCTACCGCAACCGCAATAAATCATGCGAAATCGTACAGCAAGCATCAATTTGCAGCCAAGCACGCGCACACACATCCCAAGCAAAATCATGGCCAATACCCCCCAAATCATTTCGTGTGCAAAATGCGAGCGGACACGGAGCCCTTGCCGAATTCTCCTGATACTTTGTCGATTTTCGCAGAGGAACCAAGTAAGTCATGAACGAGGCCGTTTGGCAGCGAGATGATTATCGTGTCCTATTTACAATCCTGTCCTGTCCCACTGGTGCACAAACAACACTCTGAACCCCTGCCTAGTGTCTGCCTAGTCCTTTGAAACTAGTCGATCGATTTTCGGTCAGCACAGTTGTGTTACAAGTGCGCCGAGATGGACTTTCTTTCTGATTGAGCCGTCGAGAGTGCCTAAATTACCTGGGCGCTTCTGCAAGCTAGTGCTGCAGCTAAACAGATAGACACCCACCCATTCCGTGTCGCACAGTGCGTAAAATCCTCGTCGAGTGCAAGGCCATGACGAGACCGCATGGGCACGATGAATCGCAATGCAATTCTAGAATAGGACAACATCGGGATGGGTTCATCGAGGTCTGACAAGCATCCATGTGGCGCAGGTCATCTATCTCGAACATTTTCAACCCCTTGACATTCAATATATCCAGAGCAGCAAAAGCGCCAAGATCATGAATAATGTCAGATGCAGAAACGGCCATCGTCAAGACTATTGTCGGATCTATAGCTTCGATTCTTACACACGCTGGTAGGATTTCTTTTATAACCATCTCCGTGGCGTTTCATTATGCAGCACATGACAGCGTCGCGACCGCGGCCATGACATACCGGCATGGATGTTACCCCTGCCGATAGCAAGCCCCAACGACACACTCAAGATCAGCTACTTGCAAGACCGAGATGGAAAATAACCACGCTGTGGCACTGAACATCATGGTATCCCACAGCACGATGAACTTGCCTTGGCTACTTGACGTCGTTGCCCTTCCGCTTAGGCTCAGGGGAGCGCCTGACTCATATACTAAATGCTTGCAGGAAAATTGCCATCTATTTATGCAGTTTCCTTGTACATTGTCTAATCGACTACACTTACTGCACGGCCAGACGGAGCCGGCCCAGGTATTTAAGCTACCGTTATGTTTACCCCTGCTCACACGATATTTATTTCCACGGCACGCCTACGGGGCTCGATATCATTGACTTCATCATGATTGCTATCTCTTCTGACTTGGACATACCCTGACGACTGGTGTGCAGCTGTGAGCTCATCTCCCGCAAACTTCTTTCGCAATTGTTGGCCCCTCGAACCTAGCCCGAAAGAATCGCGCTAGCGGTGGGAGAATTCGAAGATGGTGTTTCTACGGTCCTGCCAGCGCAAACTGGACGGTTTCACCGGCGCCCTTTCCTCTTTCATTTCTCAAGCCTGGTGATAGGTTCTTCATAAACTTGGGATGGAGTCAGTTGGTTGGTTGCTGAGCTCACGAGGAGAATCAGATTTTGCCTCAATTTGCCACTGCGCTGGTGTTGGTCAATTTTGAGAGTATTGGCACACGCGCGTCCACTTAATCAAGTCGCGCGAAGAACAAAACGCCCGCTTATTAAAACACCAAGGGTCTTGTCGAACTTCAATATTCAAGGAGGGCCTTAAGGAGGGGCCCCCAGAGATTATCGCTGACTTGAGCGACAAATCTCGAAAGGCCTCTCACGTGAGTATTTCCGAGGCCTGCTGGACTCGATAGTTGCAAGATATGGTAAACCCTATCTAAATGGAGGTTTCCTCGAATCAACTTGCTGACACCAACCGGCGGAATGGAAGAATGGCCTGTTCAAGCCGGAAAGCTAATTGTCCAAGACCGTCATTGATCGACCGCCCAACCCACACGTAGACGCGGCAGACATCTTTCGTCAGACTCGCATCAGAATGAAATTGCGACCACGGGTGAGAAGTGCTATTGTTGCGCGACACAGATCCTAGCCTGGCCCTTGACCGCATCGACCCAGCCAAGACACGGCGAACATCAATGTCCCGCGCCCGTCCTGACCCCAGGCTTTCCCCGGATGATTGAGTGGGACTCACTCGCCCCAGGCTCATCCATGACATTGGATGCAGGGCAGCCGAAGGAGCCCTCGATTACGCCTTCTGCGTTTGGGGAAAAAAAAAATCACCCGTCGTCCACTCCTTGCGCGGTTCAGGGGCTTTCCGGCTCGTGTGGGTCGAAGAAAGATGTCTGATGATGAGAATACTAATCAATACATGGACGTGATTGGAGATCACTGTGGCATGTGATGATGTGCCCAAGCGGTCCGAGGCCAAAGACCAAAGCCAACTCGTGTTGTTGGGGGCCGCAGCCGCAAGAGTATCGGCTTGAGATGACACCAGGCATGCCGTGCATCCGCTGGTGCCGACTGGTCAACATCTGTACCATGATGGAATAGTCGTAGCCAGCTAAATATTGGAGTTGGACAACTGAAAACGCTTTGGTCAGAATCGCATTCGCCAACAAGTTTCCCTCGCAGCGGAACACTCGGAGTTGGCCGGGCCTGGCAATCCGATTACCCCGGATTCTGACTCTCTTGGTCGGTGGCGTCAAGCTGACAGTGGCTGGCTGCAGAGCCAAATCATTTTCCAGCGCACGCCTACACAGCAGACATGGTTACTGCACCAGCACCCATATCTGCCGCCAGGAGTCGTTGCTCCGCCTCGCAATTTTGAATGCTTGCTCGGCTCCTACGTTCATCTGCAAAAGACAGTGTGTTACTCTATCTATACCTGCGTTGGCTGCCAATACTACGACCCTGTCCACACAGCCACGCGACGAGCTAGTACGGGGCAGTTCCCACTGTGGCTGTCAACTTTGTCGATATTAATGACAGGATTAAATAGGCGACGGCTTACGGATACCATTACCAGAACAGCATCTAGGCCCCTAATTTCAGCCATGCAGACTGCGCGAAGGCGTTTTCTATTCTGAATCGACACCCATGTATTTGGTGGCTTGGCAACATCCACCAATACAGTGTGCCACGCCTCCAATCGAGACAAGAGACAAGAGACACAAGAACCATTGTTTCGGCAGATTCGGTAGCATCTGAGCCTTGACTTGTCTTGCCTCCAAGAGTGCGGCAACCAACCCCTCGAAAGGTGTTGACGCGTCTTTGTAGGCTTGCGGTGACTTGTTGCTTGCGAGGGCCTTGTCAGGTGTAGGTAGTCATGCCGCACTGTACGGACAATCCAGACCATCCCAGCGTGTCAATACTCGGCCGCCTTTCTTTCCAAGCCCGAAAGCCGCGAAGGCTGGTTGGTCGGGCGCGCCACGCAGGCCCGCCGTGACGATTTGCAGAAAGTAGCCTGACAAACCACTTTATTTCATCCGGCATGGCGTGGGCGGCACTGTATAACTTGTGAAAGTGGATTATGCAGCGACAAAGCGAGACGCATATCATCCCCCCGTCCACACACGAGCTGGCACGCCTGATGCCCTGGGGCGCCCCATGAAACTAGGGATGCCACGTTGATGTCGCTCCATGGGGCCATATGGGGGATCTTTCTTACCAGAATTGCCATGTTCCACGAGCGTGGGGAGTAGCGATTTGGCGAAACCGATTTGCCATGGGGAGGAAGGGTCCTTGGACAAACGACGTGGATGGATCCTTCGCGGTGGCGTCATGGCCGCTCGTCGGACTACTGCGCGAGGCCGTTGTTGGGCGAGGCAACAACGGTAGATGCTAAATTATATGTTCCATCGATGTATCTTGCTGCAGCGCCAGACAGAGATTAACCTCGCTCATCCTACCATCATAGCGCAGCGGTGTGAATGGAGTGGGCTGGGTGGCTGGCTATTCCCTACCGGGCTGAAGAACAAAAAGACATATCTACTTGGGAAACTTCCAAGATGGACCCTCCTCTGCAGCTCTGCCGGCCAACTGGCCATTTGAGGTCAGCTGCCTGGCCATCCCATGTCGGCAGATCAGCTCGAAGAGCACCGATGTGGCCAGGATTCCCATCCTTGTGCTGGTTATGGCGGCGTTGGACGAGCTGAAGCGCCCCAGGCAAATATCGACTCTGTTTGCAAACCACGATTATAATCATTCAACTCGATTCTTCACTTCCTGGCTTATGCTCTTTGACTTTCTACTTTCCAGATTTGGACGCCATGTTTTGCCGTTAAGCGCCGGGCTGGGCCGTCTCCAGTGTCCACACCATACGACGGCGGTTTCGTCGCCCGGTGCCTTGCCAGCCAGTCGACGCCAACCCTTTCTACTGGCAGCTTGATTCGAACCGCCGAAAAGGACAAAGACAGTTGTTTTAATCTTGGGAACATCTGACGTATGCTGCATTGCTTGACAGCATGGCCAGTCTGAAACAGGTTTTCAGAGGTCGCTTTTTTGGTCTGCAAGCTATGCGCCCGCCCACTGAGACGCACAAGTTGATTGGCGATGATGATGTAGTTGATATGCAGCTTTCGCAGGTCCTTTGACACCAGCGCCATCTTCACGCTTGCCCGATGTCGACCTTTTCTTTCAGTTTCGAAATATTGCTCAGACATATTCTGTTCTTTGTTTTAATCTTTGAATCACACACAGCCGGAATCGAACCAACGATTTGTGCAACGAAAGCAAAGTACATCGCTGGCGCGCGCGCGCGCACCGCTCTTACACTTCATCACCATGACGCTCACCCTCTTTCTGATGCTGCTGCTGCAGCTTCTCTTGCGTTCCGTCGCGGCCTCCGCCGTCACCGTCACTATCACGGCCGCGCCGACCATTCCCTCCAACGAACCATCCTACTCGAAGCGCTACGTCTTCACATCCGCTATGCTCAACAGCACCAACACCTACCGGCGGCAGCACAACGCCTCGTCGCTCGAGTGGAACGCCACGCTCGCCTCCTTTGCTAGATCGTACCTGGCGGACGCCGCCCGCAAGGACTGCGAGTTTGCGCACTCGGGTGGGCCGTACGGCGAAAATATTGCCATCGGCTACGCCAATGCGACGGCCGCGACCGAGGCGTGGGGCGACGAACGGCGCGAATACGACTTTGGCAAGCCCGGGTTCGAGCACAGCACCGGGCACTTTACGCAGCTGGTCTGGAAGGACACAACGACAGTGGGCTGCGAGAGGGTGCTGTGTGGCGCGAGGGGCTGGTTCGTCGCGTGCGAGTACTGGCCGAGAGGCAACGTGCAGGGCCAGTATGGAGATGAGGTGCAGAGGCGAGTCGACAGTGGTGCAAAGAGCTCACGAGGAACTTCGGGGATTGCCGTGGTGATGGCCATAGCTGCGATGTTGTGGCTTTGCTAGGCAGGACAGGCGAGTGTAGGGGAAGAATTGTACATACAGAAACGAGACAATCACATCGAAATGCAATCTCCAGAGCAAATCACGAATCCATCACACATATTAAGGCAGATAGATCTTCCACTGTCTCAAGGCCATACCGCCCATCATCCAGCGTCTTTTCGCCGTCATCTAACCAACAGAGCGCAAAGGCTCAAGCAGCAATCAGCCGTACGCTCTGCATTTCCTCAACGTCAAGTCACTCCGAGCCCACTTGGATAAGCTTGTTCGTCGTGATCTTGCTGTTGGCCAGCAGGGCCGCGATCCCGGCAATGATACACGGAGGTTGTAGGAGCAAGCGGCCGACGCACATGATCGGGCGAGCGGTAACAAGGCACATCGCCATGACGCCGAGCCGACCTGCAGCGCAAGTTTAGGCGGGGTTTAGCACCAGTCACCGGTAGCCAGTGATCCTGCATCGTCCTGATGATTATGAATGCCCATGCCGCGCTCGCCAATGGCGCATGATGGAGGGCATGTTGAGCGAGGTCGCCTGTGCTATGTAGACTTGATATGTTGGTGACGCCTTTGCCGAGGCGGCGGGCGTCGGCTTCACCGACAAGCGCGGCAATTGAAAAACAGCTCTTACCAAAGACGAGAGCATCAAAGAGTCCATTGACGTCATTAGTAATGGATGTCACGTTATTCGAGGTATGGATGCTGCTGTTGTCGACCGGGTGGACGATCCCTTCCGGTCATGCGTGAAGGGATATCTGGAACCGCTCGCTGCCAGTGCTGCACCTAAGTTTGCAAGCAGACGACTCGTCGACTTTAGCCGGGTGGAGTTGGATCAAGATACAGAATCAGAGACCTGCAAAGTGACTTTGGTAGCAATCTCTTCAAAAGTTTGGCACCAGACAATGATAGTTAGGCCATGCTCGATTTTCCGAGAGGAGACAACGCCGTCATAATCTGGGCTTGAAGATGCTCTGAGATACCGGCGTCTCTCCCTTTGGACGGGGATGGCAGTCGGTGAGCGCCAGAGCCCTTACGATCGGATAGCTAATTCTACTCGGAGCTCGTCGGAATCGTAACGGAAAGCGACGCTTGAGGGGGCAGCAAGTGGTGAGGTTAACTGATCGGAAACTTCTGTCTCGTTCATCGAGTACGAATTCATAGCGGCGAGAGCGAACTAACAGCTCTTCTGCACCTGCAATGCAGAACCCTTCATCTTCGGCGTGGTCTTGGTCGTGATAATATCGATGCGAGTCTTCGTTTGGCGGAGCTGCATCGGCAGGGTCAATGGGAACCGCAGATTCCTACCTTGATCGTATGCGCAACTCTACACATACTGTCACAAGTCGTGCTTCCAGTTTATAGAGTCGAATGATCATAAAAGTCGTCGGGTATGATGTCGTGATGGCGTGTCGACTCCATGGCGGCGACTAGCAGTCGATTCTTGCGGCCGTTTGAAGTGATCTGAATGGCGGAGAAGGCACCGTGAGGCTTGACAACGTTGTATCACATCTCTACAGCCACGAGGCCCGCAAGGATAATGGCGATATGCATGTGGAATAGGCAAGCCCTGCCGGATTGCAAATGAGTGTTGAAAATGAGACTCCCGTCATGGTGAGCTATCTGGAGCAGAAATTCTGCCAACCCAGTCAGCTGTGTGGGTTGGCAAATTGCCCCAAGGGGCCCGCTGAAGACTGCTGTAGCGCAGGCCCGCTGTAGAGGCTAGGGGGGCCTCAGGAAAGCATCCTAGTTGCTGCTAATTAGCAAAGTATGAGTTTTAAATGTATGTTTCTAGCAATAACCGCAAAATGGCAAGTTTATACCAGCAGTAACATGAACTTAACCGGCGCGGACTATCAGTAACGTTACTGGAATTAGCTTGTGCTCGCGAGCCATGAATAGATAGGTACATACCTAGTTGCTCATGGCGGACGTCTGGGGCTGGGGCTGAGGCTGAGCAGGGCTTTGCAGAGCAGTCAACTTCGTAGGCACTTTTTATTGCCGTGCATCAGCAGCGATTCTTGCATTGCGCACTGTCGTACGGATGGCCGGTATGCGGATGAGGCTTGGTCCATGTTCTAATTCCGGGCGATAATAACCAGTCGTAATGTCGCCTAGTTATTACTTGGCGGCGCAAATGATGGGGGATGAGCAGCCACAGAGGACCAGGGCCGAAATGTATATAGGTGACATTAATTATGACAATCAAAGATACTAACTTTAGCTAATAACGAGTTAGTTTGACGTGGTTCAAGCCACACACACGCCATGCGACTGGACGGACTGCATACTGCATCTTGTCCTGCTCTTCAAGGCGACATTGCTCATGCGGCCTCGGCGGGTGGGAGAGCTGCTAATTTTATCCGCTGTTATATACTTGGGTTCTTTCTCTGGTTGACCGGCAAACAAGCCGATATCTGTAGCCTAGCGCTAATTTTAACAGCTCAATTCCAATGCATGGTCAGCCTCCCAGCAGGACTCATCGTCGGGAGATCATGGTCCGGAGGGACGGCGGTCTGCGCACGCAACGTGTAATTCGGCTATAGTGAGGTTTTCTCTGGCTGTCTCTCCGTACGTAGAACTATCCACTAAAATTGTTTCCCTATTGAAATCGTCTGCTTTGGAACGCTGACTTTGTGTGCCACAAGACCTGAATTCGCACAAACAACCACTTACAGCAGGCCGCGGCGGGCTAGTGTACTGTAAATATCTGGGCTATCGTCAGCAACATGCCGCGATTTCAGAGTAACGTGTCTCTGAAAAGAGCTCGAGTCGGAAGGAAAGGCTTTGGTATGTTATTTTTTACTTTCATTATCGAAGCCGTTACAATTCTTTCCATCTCTAGATCAACTGGCTCTGGGGGGAGATTGCTTTGCCATACTATGAGATCTATCCGGACTTGAACACCAGTTGTAGTATTTATCCTATCCAGGGCTGGCTTTATCCAGAATCATCTAGAGGAAAAACTATTTCCCATTGAAACAACCTTGAGAGCTTCACAAAGAGGATGCAAAGCAGCAAGTTGGACAGAGCAGTATTCGTCATCGTGTGGAGTGCGTACCTTAGTAAGAGTGATGGTTTCAACGCACATTAATCTCGGTTGATGCTTGTCTTGCAGAGCCGTGATAGCCGAGCGGAGACGTTAATGAAGATCCAGCCCCAAAAATAGCACTTGGGTTCCAACAAGGCAGGCTCAGGCGGCTCCGATTGTGGAAAAGGTGGGCAGCCGGCTTGGAACGGGCAGAGCTACCTCTCAGCCCCCAACAAGAGCAACCTTGCCAGCCAATTGACATGATGTTTCATAAGGCTGCAGAGCAGATCGCGACTCAGTCTCTCGGCCGTTTCTGTTCCGAACTAATGAACGACATGTGGTGGCTGCTATGAATAGGCTGTGTAGCCGAGCAGAGTCTGAGCTGTTGATGTAGTTATAGAGAACTTATAAATATGCAATGTCGCGCGACACTGGCGTATCGACGTGCCCAGCATCTCACATCGGGAATCGCATCAAGTCAAACAAGAGTGTCACGTCCGAAAAATGTTTCTTAATAGATCTTTGACGTCTATCCTAGGGCTTCTCGGATCCGTGTCCGCAGCTGTGATTCCCAATAATGACGGCTTTCCCAAGCCTAATGCGCAGCAACAAATCGCCATCGCCAAAGCCGCAGGGGGCCTTTTGCCAAATGTAAAGCTTCCAACCAAGCTCGGACCCGGCAGCACGACTACATTCCAGCTCATTGCCTTTAACGAATTGTTCGAGGTCGCATTCTTCAACTCCCTTCTTAAGAATATCACGAACCACGTCGAAGGCTACAGAGTTAACACACACGTGGACAAGATCACCGAGATCTTGACAACGGTGCGAGCGGTAGGCCTGTTTCGGACATGTAATCTATTGTGCATTTATTGACTCGCAGGAATAGCAAGAAGAACAGCATGTTATTGCCGCCGACGCTGCCCTCAAGGCAGCCGGCGAATTCTCGCCCCAAGCCTGCCAATATCAGTTTCCCACAACCAACCTTGCCGGCGCCATCAGCCTCGCCGAGACATTCACTGCTATCGTCCTGGGCGCTCTGCAAGGCGCCAATATTGCATTCGCCAAAGAAAACCTCACTGTCCCAATTCAGCTCATTTCGTCCGTCATCGGACAGGAAGGCGAGCAAAATGGCTTCTACCGCCACCTCATCAAGCAGGTCCCCTCGGAGTCTCCCTTCCTGACACCTGTCCCGGCGCCTTTTGCCTTCTCTGCCCTCCAGCTCTTCGTCATTCCTGGTTCATGCCCATTCCCACTTGCCAACATTGATCTGCCTATTTTGCCTACTCTCGCGGTCAATGGTGGCCCCGTCGCCGTCATCGAGCCTAGGGACCAGCGTCTTTCTTTCTCGGCTGACCTAACCGATGCAGAGGATAGCAAGACAAATGTCGGCTCAGACGGCTCAGGGCTTTGGCTAACGTACACCACCGGCCAACAAAAACCCATCTCTGTGCCCGTCACCAACCTAAAGTGGAATGGTAGCGAACTCACCTTTGATGCCGACTTTCCCTTTGAGGAGAATGTCATGATGGGCTTCAGCCACGCCGCCCTCACAACAGCAAAGGATTTCGAAAGTGTTGATGATATTGTCTCCGCGACAATTGCTGCACCTGCGATAATTCAGGTGGAGCATGAGTCCGATTGCAAAAAGCTGGCAAATGACATCTGATCTCGATGGGACTTCAGCACCAGGCACAATCTCCGAGGCATACATATGATCTTGTATTAGCAGTTGGTGGGCAATTGATGGGCTCAAGTCATATTTACATGGTTTTTATGAGACTCGAGAGACAGGTTGTCGTCGAGACAATGTCTTAGCTCGGTAGAAATACTCAACGACCATTTAATACAAGCTTATCTGTTCGGAGCATCTAAACCGTAAGCCGCAGATGATGGCGAGGAAATGAACTGGAGAACACGATTTCCAAACTATGGTAGATCGTCGCCTGGACCAAGATACTTCATGCTAAAACTTCACCAAATTAAACCCTGACGTTGTCCTGATATTATGGGGCATGGGCTTCCAAGATTCGGCATGACCACAACATGCGCGGCAGCGACATTCTTCATTATGCCTTGTTCGACTTTGATGAGTACAATGCCTGGGGCTGTGGCAATCTGGAAGGATTCTTCATGCGTAGTGGAACATCGAGCATAAATTAGAACAGGCCCACCCTAGAGCTTCTGCAACTCAGTTCGATGAATTCGTTCACGTGTGAACTGTGAGCGATGTAACAAATGGCGATTGTGAAGACATTTACCATACAAAATAGTTGGTCTAAATGGAGGCGAGACGGTGTTTCGAGCCGCGCAAGCAACTAAAACAGTACTTTTCTGCATTCCCCAAAGCTGAAATGCAATGCGATGGATGGTCACCGGCCGATTCAAGCCAAGGGCGGCGCGAAAAAGATGATGACACTGATTCAATACCGCATGTGATGATATCATGTTCAATGTATAGCAGTGAGAATATTGGCAGTGATCGCTGGCATTGCTGCTCGGTCTCAGCAGAAGAAAGTGGGCGCGGGGATCGGGCCGCCCGGAATCCAGTAACTGGACTTGTACCCGCCGGCATGACCATATCCGGCATAGCTAGGGACTCCTCGGGCTCGGACCTGGGAGTCGTTTATGAGTTTCGATGTACGATTGAAATCATCACCGAGAGCTTTGCCCGGCATAGACATACCATCGGCGAAGCACCTGGACGCAATGTCAATCGACTCAGGCAGTTTATGCAGCTGAACAAAGACAAATGCCGACGTCCCCGCCAGTAATTGCAATACAGCACTTCCGGGGCCTAGCGGGGCCTCTAAGCCCATTCTGTATCAACTTCGTATTTTCATAACCCGAAAAGGCTCTCGCGATGTGGCTTCCCACGCTAGTTCGCGCTGGGGCCCCCTTCTCCCGTCGGGTCCCTTTGCCGTGGCCCTCGTAGTCTGGTGACAGAGCCATTCGTCATACCGCCGCTAATTGATTGTTGGGACAATGATTTTGGCTGATCCTGCCTAGTGAGTAGCTGCATGAGTTCTGTTGCCGTATACTATAGGTTATCTGTAGACTCGTCACAGATTTCGGTGTGCCCAAGAACCACACTCTGTCTCTGTACTATCTGATCGGAAAAGTAATAATATTACCGACGGACGGCCGACTTGCTAGTAGATACCATACTCCGGCACTTACCATAAGCTCCAACAAAATCAGGGCATCCCCTGCTATATCAGATCAAACTCTAATAGGTGACTTCCATACTTGTGCAGCTATGGAAAAGGACCTGACTATTTCAGAATAGTGCTCAATCAATTCGTGCGCCGATAAATATGTCGTATCTCCCTGCATGATTACCCGTAGTCATTTCTTTAGCGTCGTCTCTTTTTTTCTTTTTTCTTTTTTCTTTTCGAGGATAAAACTGACCATGAAGCTGTCTATACTCTCGTTCACCACTCTTGGCGTGGCTTCGGTCATGGCCGGGTCTGCTTCCGTCTGCCCCAGCAACAACACCCATGCCACGGGAGCAGCCCTGCAAAACATTATCGACTACAAAAAAGGCGATCACCAGCTCATGGCCGGCTACTTCCGATCCTGGCGGGACAAGGCTAGCTCCACGGCCAACAAGGTTTCCATGCTTGATTTGCCAGACTGTCTTGACATTGCCCTTGTTTTCCCCCAGGGCGACGAGCCCGCGGCCTTTTGGACCGCGCTCAAAGATACCTACGTCCCCGCTCTGCACACGCGCGGCACCAAGGTCGTCAGGAGCGTGGGCATTGCCCAGCTCATCAACAGCACCTGGGCAAATACGCCTGCTGGGTGGCAGGGCCTCGCCGCTGACCTGCTGAAAAAGGTCGACGATTACGGGCTGGACGGCTTGGACATTGATGTTGAACAAAGTCTCAGCGCCGCTCAGCTTCAGCAAGCTACGGGCGTTTTCAACGCACTGTCCAAGAAGCTTGGCCCAAAGTCTGGCACCGGAAAACTGCTCATTTTTGACACCAACGGGGATGGCAGCCAGCCACTGTGGCGGAATGTATACTCTACCGTCAGCTATGTCCTGATCCAGTCCTATGGTCGCAGCCCTAGTAGCTTGCAAAACACCTACAACTCGTTCAAAAGTTACATTTCCAGCAAGCAATACCTCATTGGCTTTTCCTTCTACGAGGAGAATGGCGCCAACTGGGGAGACACGACCTCTCCCATAACGTCTAGCCGTGCCTGGCAGTACGCCAAGTGGCAGCCTTCCGGCGCGACCAAAGGCGGCATCTTCTCATACGCCATTGACCGTGATGGAGTTCCCATTGGCGACAATAGGCTTCAGCCGACTGACTTCACTTGGACGCGAAAGCTGATTTCGGCCATGAATCCGTAATTTACATTTCAAGGGCCTGCGGTTGTATCTATTTCGAGTAACCTTATACATTTTGAATACAGCGTGCAAAATGCCACTGTTTCTATATATTATTCTGGGTCGCTGTAAATCTTCCAAAAGTACGGTTGGTAGTAGAGGCAATGACCGACTTTAGGACACCATCAGGAGCGCAGCCCGATTTTCATTACTGTCGTGAGCCGCGAGAAGGTCAATGTCGCACTGGTCATGTTCAAGGGGTATCTGGACAAGGGCCACATCATGTTCTCTCTTGATGATAACAAGACGCGACCACTGCTTCACAAGAATGCTCGCAGGTCGGGCAGGTTCAGTGTGATGCAGTCGACTCGGTGTACTTTCAGAATCTTCCGAGACAGGAGAAGGAGAAGAAGTAGCTTCCACAAAGGTTAGAGTGTGATGAAATTTTCGGCTAGTTGCGTTATAATTATCTTGTTCCCTTTGTATACATCATTCAGTCTGGTCATTGCTCTTTTTAGTTCATGTCTTTGGCCCTAAATGATGGGTTAATTTCGTCTGAGAGTCTAGACCATCGTAGAACACGGGCCCAACATCTTTCGACCAACCGGCTATGAGTTTGGCAAACGCGTCGGATACGTCATGCTACTCAGTGTCTACTACTTATAGTAGTGCAATGTCAAAATACGCTGAGGGTTGTCGGGTGGTTGGGGTCTTGCCGCTTGAGCGTCGATAAACCGTCTCTCAGGGACCCCCATTAATGAATGCAACATCTGCATCTCATATCCGTCAAAAAACGCCGCCAATCTCATACTGGGCCATTCAAGCTCCCAATACGTGCTTTTATTCATACACAACTGTACACGAACAGCGCAAAATGGACGCGTTTATTGTGAATGCGTATACACCAATGGAGACGACTGAGATATGCTCCCGTGTCGGCACCGAAAAGGCCAATATGCGCGTCGACAAGATCTTTATCAGTGCCGTAGTCGCAGGCTGCTATATTGCGTTTTCGTCTTCCGTGTGCCTCGTCATCAACACCTCACCAGGGGTACGTCTATCTGCCAGGATGGCAACCTAATAACTAAACAAGATGACATCATCTAATGAAACCAAAAATACAGATGCAAGAGAGTGCGCCCGGTTATGTTCGAATGATCTCTGCATTGGTCTTTCCATTGTCACTCGTCATGATTGTTCTGACGGGAACAGATCTCTGCACGGGTAGCTTCATGGTAATCACACGCGGCTTCTCCACAGCGAATACATCGTGCTGACAATATTATCCCTCAGTATACGACACTTGCCGCGCTTCATCGTCGAATCAGTACTCAGCAGATGCTCATGCATTGGGCTCTGACGTTTTTCGGCAACTTGGCTGGCTCCCTTTTCATCGTCGGCATCGTCATTGGCTATGGAGGCGTGCTCGACAATGAGCTATACCGCGACCAAGCTATCAAATTTGCCGACGAAAGCGCGTATACGCCAATGTGGCACCAAATCTTTCTTCGAGCCATTTGCGCCAACTGGCTCGTGAGCCTCGCCTGCTGGCTCGCGTTCCAGGCGCGCGATGTTGCGGGTAAAATTGCCGCCATCTGGTGGCCAGTCTTTGCCTTTGTGGCACTTGGCTTGGATCACGTTGTCGCCAACATGTGCTTCATTCCTACAGCAATCTTGCTCGGGAGCCCACGCATTACCGTCAGCTACTACATTTGGAAGTCAATGACCCCAGCTTTGCTCGGCAACATTGTGGGTGGTGGACTCTGTGTCGCCACTCTTCACTGGTATCTGGTACGTAATTTTGCTTTCGAGATTTTGACTTTGAAGAGGAGACCATTTACTAATGCCCACCTAGCATCTCACAGGAACTATGGAACCGATACCTATTGATGGTCGTCTTTACATTAAGAGTGTACCCTCATTGATGCCAGAAAAGGTGTAGGCTCATTGTTATCAGACTAGAGGCTGCAGGTCGTGAAGAAGCCCTTGTTGCTCTGCACCTTGTCTAGTACATGACGTCGACACGCCAAGTTACACTGACTTCCTGGCTCTATGCTCAACCTAGGAGGCTCTTCGACGACGTAGAACAATTTTACGATGATATATACCAGGAGGGAGTCATACGAGCCGCTATTCTGCCAAAGAGCGTGGCAAGTAACATATGAATGTTATCTACCAAGTTTGTTCCCTCGTTAGTGTTAGATAATACAGTCCAAGCCAGACTGCTATGGCCAAAGTTCACACTGTCTTTCAAACGTGCGTTCAACTGCATTGATTGCAAAGCTATATGTTGTGCGGTAACTGTAACCCAGTGATTGACAATATCAGGCTTCTTCGTGAGTATACATAGTTTGCAGTGACATGTAGTTTCTTGACAAGTTTACGTCGAGCCAATAGTAATGTCCAGGTTGAGGTCATGTCCCTCAGTAGATCTAAAGCTGGCTTCAATGGTCCTTCCTTCGTTGTTCTTCGCCGACCACTTGCTCCTCTGCGCCTCTCTAGCCTTGACCCTCGCCGGGTCTTGGTCATTGTAGTACTCGGCCAAAATCGCAACGGCCGTGTTGCCTGGGACAACGTTGGCGACAATGTCGCACCATGGCTTGTTATTGTGTATGCCCACAGCGATGACAAAAATCTCCTTGCCGACGTCTGCTAGGAAGCGAAGCATGCCAGAAGTACCACTGCCACCCATGGTAAGTCTCTGGCCGCCGTTGTGCGGTACCCAAGTGCCGCCATTGGCGTACTTCCAGACGCCCTGCTCAACAGTGTAGAAGAAGGTCTTATGGTCGGACTGGAAGACCCGAACTTGAACGTTGTACGACATGATCGAGAGTTGAGAGGGGGAAAAGTTTTATGTGTTTGAAGTGATGTTGCAGTAAGTATATGTGTAGAGTAGTGGTTGCGTGGCGAGTCCTACACAGCCAGAGCTAGTTTTGGGGGGAGATCTCAGCTTTATAGACGAGGAAGAAGACTAAAAGCTGATAAATCAAGCCCTTTGAAGCTTTCTCAACTCAATATGCATAGCGGCCCGACGGCGCACACACACCTATTGATGGTATGGCAATCAATCAATTATCTTACGTATGTCTTTCAAATACCACCGTCGATCGGATGGCGGTGATAGACCATGTCCAGTCAACTTTTACCGCGCACGAATGTATGCAGCTCTTGAGCTGCCTAGTCCTGCCATGCAGCCAATGCACTTATAATAGTTTGATATACACCTTCAGACGGAACATGAGGAGAAAAAGCATATGGTGATTTTCGTACGACACTCTGCATCCGTACCTAGAGCGTTTGCAAAGTTCGCATAACCGATGGCTCTGGCTTGAAACTGCTTTGATATGGATATCGGCATATGAGCTATGCTAAGGAGGGGCTGATTGAAAATCGCTTTGAGTTAGATTTTTGAACGAAAGTATGTTTTTGTTATATCTTGATTGGTCGACGGCCGGCTAGCCAAGGCATTCCACAAGGTACTATCCGTAGGTCAATCATCCAAGGAGCTTACACGCCAAGTTATTGCAATACTCTATCTGCAACAGTATTTTTTACGCCAGGTATTCTTTTGTATAGAAAAAAGCGATGTGCGTAAGGTTGAATGTCACTTGTGCGCTGCCTTTGAATGTCGACTTGTAAAGCCCGTCAAACACACCATATCTCACCAACAATTATCAATTCAGACGTGGGACAACGTCACTTGGACTTTTCCTCTTTTGTAGTTGCCATCAAGAGATATCCAGCGTGTCACAGTGCAGTTAGGCACAAAGAGTACTATGTGGCGTTTATGTCGGCTTCTTTGTCATGAATTGAGAGGACTGCAGTATCTCTCTACACAACCGTCTGCCACTATGCCGCGGTTTAGCATATTCTCATGACGTAGGGTCACATGAAAGCATGAAATATTGAAAGTGGCTGGGTGTAAGTCTTTTAGATGGTCAACCGTAGGCGAGACGCGGTTTTTTTCTCCGATTGGGAAGAGTCGCAGTCGTACTCTACGAGTGCGAGAAGATGTGCAGTTGGGAAAACTATTGCCTTGCACCGAACGGTCGAGACCCTGCGTTTTCTACACGCTACCACATGCAACAATGTCTGAGATGGTGCTTGCCGTCAAGCCTAAAGGACGTCGTGATGCAGCTTCAAGAACTGGTGGTGAGACAAGGTGTGTGGATACTGCTGGATGAATACGACCTGCCAGCAATTAAATCATCACAGCTCTCCTCACATAACCGTGACAGTCTATCAATAGAGGCATAAATTTTCGCCGAGGGCGGGTTGTTGTCCCACTCCTCCGCCCGGCTAGGGGACTCTTACGTGACAAGCCGGCACTCCGGGTCACCGACCGGAACTTACCCGCCTCTAGCGTCCGGTGACACAGTATGCCTACTTCAATATAATAATTATAGAGTTCCAACCGCCTGACCAAAATTCACTGTTTTAGCCGTCGAGGTACTGTCAGACACCGATACTACCGTGACGACCCTTGTAAAAAGCGACATTGCCGGCAGCCAGCGGCTTCTGGGGCCGTTGTTCGCCTAATAATAACCCGGGGTAGCAGCATCGTTGCTATTAGTTTTCCACTAGCGCACGCGATCAATAACTACTACACCCGATGGCTAAAAGACAAGAGTGAGACTGGCCAAGCGGTGGTTTCATTGATATCATCGCTTGATTAGTCTTTTCTCGTTGCCGACTTTCATCAGAAAGCGTTGCGTGTCGCTCATGCAAAGTCAAATGTTTTTGTGCCGGGAACGGTTATCACCGGTACTCCAGTCCCTTTCATCCGACGCCACAGTCTGAAGCTCCGAGAAGCTGTGAACGTGGCTTGGTGCCCCAGTGAGGTGTCATGCAGTCGGTTCCAGTCTATTGACAGCTGCGTGCTGTCGTGGAACCATTAACACCACTGGCTATCAATAGATAAAACGCCTTGTCATATAGCCCGCTTCATGCAGCCACGGTCGGGATAGCAGGATAGCACATGGGTTGCCGGTCCTGTGCAGACCCTTGCCAAGCTACAGAGGCGTCTCAGAAATATTGACGCATCAGTGGCCTATTATTTCCAACGGTTTTGGTATAATCAGAAAATGTTGAGGATTGACGGCTCTTGGCCATCCCCCACTTCGTGTAGTAGGCGCTGATCGCCGTAGTAAGCCCGCTATTGTCACGAGCGACAGTAAAGATCGCAGCAGCTTCAAAACAATCAAAACAAGACAAAAAGCGGAAGAGTGTTCACAGCGCGTCTGAGCATTCAAAGCATGATCCCATATCACCCCAAATTCAGTTTTTCCCGGTCTCGTGACATCACGCTCAGTCTTTCTCTAGTTTATTTGCACGGCCTTTGGCTCTTTTTCGCTTTGCATCTTCCCTTTGTCACATTTGCTTCACACGCTAGATGTACCAGCATTTGAAATAGGAACCCTGCCTTTGGTCCTTAAATAATTTTTTTTCCTAGGCTTGTGGCCGTAGCTTCTGGTATATAAAGATTCAATTGTCAAACTATTTCTACGGCTTCCCTAATCTTCCACAGTGAAGGCTTCTATAATAAGTATTACAATTTAAGTGTGATGTAGACATCATTTTTCTTTACTCCTCGTTAACCGTCTTATTTGTCGATTTGAATTTGACACTGTTTCTCCTATATATTCAGGTTTCAATGAAGCTCCTTGTCCTCTTTATAATAGTACTGAGTACTTTTACGACAGATCTCTTCCATCTTTTCGCGGAAAGTGCAGGTTCAGCGCAAATGTGCCTCTGCTTCGCGGAGACACGATGTCCTTTTTGGGAGGTTGGGATGCCGCTCTTGGAGGCGAATTTATGAAGCGCCGGCCCAGGCGACCCACCACCACCCTGGCTGTGAGCGGTTAATCCCAACGCATTTTGTTAATTTTGATGAGAGCTTAGCGCTTATAAAATCGCAGCGAAGAGACATTCTTTTCTGTTCTTTTCCAAATCACCATCAAGGAACTTGTTATGCCGGAACTCAAATACGGCGGTTTCAAAAGCGACGCCCTGAATCCAACACCTTCCAGGGGACTACTGGTCAAAACGCCAGCGGCCTGCCACCCAAGGAGCTGCCAAAAGGAGACGCGCTGACCCAACCAAAAGTTAACATGCGTGCTGCCAAGGTGAAATGGACGAGATGAGAGCTACTGCGAGTAGTATTACTGCCATTCGTTAACATGTCCTAGATATTGTGTCCATCTGTGTTAGACCTCTATAGGATCCGTCAGGCTCGGCCTTCTGAAGGTCAGGGGTCACTGACAGCTCGTTGGGAATAACGAGCCTCTATCCAAGACTAGGTCAGTAGTCAATAGTATCGCTGTTCTACAAGTCATTCTACTATTATACAGGAATGCAGTTAAAAGTAACGAATAGATTGGTTGTTCTAGCACTGATGTCCGTTGCTTGTCACGTGTGGACCGTCTTTCTCGACGGGCACACATATAACACTTACCGTGACTTAGAGAACAAAGCTACCGTTGCATTAACGCTTATCTACTTCCGGGATATAAATACAGCAGCGAGTTAGAGATATCGTAAATTCTCAGCATCTAAGCGGTACTAGCTAACGCTTTATATGATGCCTAGATCCGTAACATATAGAGGAAAAAGCCATCACTATATAATAAACTGCTAGCCTTTTGACACTATCTAGCTAAGCATCTTAACTGTGATAATTTTAAAAGATATAAAGGCAGATAAAGATGTTTACGTCATAAATACCATATAGCGGCGGCGTGGCGACCGTCTGAACATGTTAGGGTCAGGGTATTAGGGGTCTAGTGTTTTATTTCTTGGCCCACAGCTAACAAAGCTAGACTCTGACATAAATATAGCGCTAAAACTTACTATTAAGTAAATATGCTTTAAAGTACATGTATCAAGGTAAGGGGCGAAATAGATGTACGTTTTCTAGATTAAGTAAGATAATAGTGGGTGGCCCCTCTAGCAAAAGTGTGGCTGTGCGCTAGGCAGCAATGTAGTGACGCGGTACAATAGGGTTATGGGTTGCCGTATTCCGCAGCCTCAGCTAGTCCACATATCTAGTGTCGTTTTTTACTTTACACTAAATACTTCGTTAGGAGGCTAGGTTTTATCTTTGTCTTTCAAACACTTAGGGTATAGTACAGTTCCTGCCCGTGATGTTGATTTCTACCCTATATCTAATGCATCTAAGCCTAAGCTTCTCCTAGACATGGAACCTATACTGTTAGCCGGACCTATCGAGGCTAGAAATATCACTGCAGATAGCCTCTGTTTGCTATGTAGCAAGCTGTTCAACCATCCACAGGATAATCACCATGTTGAAAATGTTTCTTATATAGGATATAACAAACGACCTGTTGCGGATATATTACGCTCTGCAAACAATGGCTGCCTTATTTGTATGAAGTTGCAAATGTCAATCCGCGCCTCCACATCGCCCTCAACTCATCTCATGGAACGAGGCGTATCATGCTCATTGGAGTGGAACAAGAAAGACCAATGCTTTCGGCGTATTGGCTTTACTTATCCGTTGGGGCATCTTGACCTATATTCAGAGGATGGTATGACTTCAAAACTCAAATTTTGTTGATCTTCACTAAATAATATAGAGGTTTCATTTCAAGCTCTCAGCAGCAGGAAAGATTTATCGAACACGTCTCTGCATGCGTGCCAGGAATTGGTTCAGGCGTGGCTGAAGGGCTGTACAGAAAACCATCGAGATTGCAACCAGGGGACTCCAGAGACTAGTTGGCTGCCAACAAGACTAATCGATATTGGGAACACACAGCAGTGCATCCCGCGACTGGTAACTTCGAATTCTATACGGGCTGATACAAGTAACATACGTTACATTGCACTTACCCATAGATGGGACTCAAAGCCTCTACTCAAACTCACATCTCAAAACTTGCAGAGCCTGGAAGGAGAAATTCCAGTACAAAGCTTGAGTGCAGTCTTTATTGAGCTATTGCAGTTCGCCAAATCTCTTGGAATTAGGTTTTTATGGATTGATTCGTTATGTATACTTCAAGACTCCAAGGCTGACTGGCAACGGGAATCTCTTCTTATGAGTAAAGTATATGAGTACGCATACTGCAATGTGGCAGCAGCAGCTGCTGCTGATGGCTATAATGGTCTCTTTATAGAGAGGGATGCTTTACAACAGTCTCCTTTCAGAATGACGTTCAAGTGGAAAAATTACGAAAAGGCCTACTACTGCTTGTACAGCAATCTGTGGCACATTGGGGTTACCACGTCACCACTGAATCGTCGTGGCTGGGTGTTGCAGGAACGCCTGTTGAGTCCTCGAACTCTTTCATTCAATACACAATTGTTCTGGGAATGCCGAAGTCTTAAAGCCTGCGAGGCTTTTCCAGAAGGATTAGGACCAAACGCCGATCTAGAGTCCGAGGATGTTGATGAAGCCAGAGAACTTTGCCCGAAAGCATGGAGAAGAATTGCTTCCGAAACCAGCACCCGATACGCGCCATGGGCTAGAATTATAGAGCAGTACATGGTGAGTAGTCTGACTGTGGCCTCAGATAAGCTCATGGCAGTGTCAGGAATTGCTCAAGCAATGCGATCGGCGGTCAATGATAATTATGCCGCTGGTCTGTGGGAACGAAACTTGTCGTTTGATCTTTTGTGGTATGTAGCACCACGTTGGAATGGGGAGGGAACATATTCATTGAGGGCTCCAACCTACCAAGGTACAGGTCTCATTTCATTTCCAAAACCGTTAGGCTAACATTCACAGCACCTTCGTGGTCTTGGGCTTCTGTTGAAGGGCGGGTGCATTTTGCACATGGGCACCGTGATCTTAGCTGGGGATGCCCTTTGATCAAGATTCATGATATAAAAATAGTACCCACAGCAGGAAACTTGGCAGGGCAGCTACAAAGTGGAAGTATTACTATATCAGGAGTCTTGCTAGAGCTACAAACGCTCTGTGCTATTGATGATGATATGTTGACTATGGTTCCCGGTCTAGGAACCGCTTGTTGTATTGACGACTGGCGGGATCTTGTTTATGAAGAGCTCTTCTCCTACCTACCAATAAGATCTATGAGAAGCGCTAATGGGTCGGAGCTTCTAGGTCTGCTACTTCGGCCGGTGCCTGGATGTTGTGAGGAATACCAACGAGTCGGTCTTCTTTCGATTAAGAATAACGAAATAAGCTGGTTTGAGTGGATGGATAGCCACTGCATTGGTTGGATGCCTGAACTCCAGAAGAAGAAATGTTCCATAAAGATTATATAAATAATTATCTCCATTATTCGCACTAAATATACTTGCAGATATTATCTGAGAATGAAGGCGGTCAGGGACTTGAGCAATAGTAGTACATTGTAAGTACATGACTGTGAGGGGTTAGACGATTTATTCAATCTATCTAAATGATCATGTTACAAATAGGCAGAATTGACGATCCAAAAGGAGGAGTCCTTTGAATCTCTTCCAGTAGACAAGTTGGAGATCAGCGGACCGAGGTCGTCTTAGACACGTGTCATTCGGAAAATGTCCGAATGGCGGCGGTGCAGAGCTGCACATTTCACCATGTCTCAGGCCTCGATGAGCTGACCATCTGCGGTATCCCTCACAGTGGGTAGTTTCAGCAGTGACGTGAACGAGGCCAGTGATCAGGCTGTTTTGAATGTTGCTTTATTTTTATCCTCGGCCTCGGCGGTGTGCTGGCGGCGAAGAAGAACTTGATGAAGGGATATTGGAATATCAGAGGGAATCGAAGAGTAGTGGCTTAGGGCGGAAGCAGCGTTGCAAGGCTCGTCAATCACAGCTTGACGGAGAGCGCAGTACAGGGAGCCATGGTGCAGCGCCCGAAGATAATATTGCGGCAGTTGTGGGTGGACGAGGTGATGGCGAGGGCCACTGTCGAGGGCGACGGGGCAAGCAGACGGGAAAAGGATGCGAAAGCTAGCAACTGAGTGGGAAGCTAGGAGAGAGGGAGGCGGCATCGTCTTATAGAAATGTGTAGAGCGGCAGGTTCAGATTACCAGAAAGAGAAGGCGGTGGAGCGGGGTAGCGAATTTGCAACGAACTACTTTACAGTATGTAAATATCTACATGTACTTGGCTTACCGAGTCATTTTCTCGTAATACTACCATTAGCCTTATCCATGTCTCTTCAACAACACATAGCCATCTTTGTGAGAAATTTCTCCCTTGCATTTGTTCCAATGTCCCCCCTAAATAACAATTTCGCTAGGTACGCATTCTAAAATGGTAATGATTACAATTCGCTCATGAAGATAACAGTAGAGGATATATTACCATGCCTAGGGATCATTTAAACTACCATACTCCCGAGACGGGGGCTCCAGGCCCAAAAAATTTCATACAAGAAAAGGGAAACGTGAATGCATTTTATAGGCGGCTCGCAATCGCGGGCTCGGGATTCTCAGTCGCGTAGGCAACAGTCTTGAGCTTGTTGATGGACTTTTCCAGGGACGCCTGCTCGTCTTCGTCGAGGATAATGTCCAGTGACTTGACAATGCCGCGACGTCCGACAATGGTAGGCTTGCTGAAGCACATGCCATAGTCGCTGTGGTAGTGGCTGAGGGGGAGCACGTGTCGCTCGTCGAGAAGGATGGATGTGCAAATGTTGGAGATGACGGCGCCGATGCCGAAAGAGGTCTCTCCCTTGACCTTGTTGAGTCTGTCCGCCTTGAATCTGACAAACTCGGCAATCTCGTGCTTTTCTTCGATATCGAGAGGCAAGACCTGGTCGACGGGGATGCCACCAATGGCCATGTTGGACCAGGCAATGGTCTGAGAGTCGCCGTGCTCGCCGACGACGTAGGCGTGCACAGCGCGGGGGGCAACCTTGGCGCGCTGGGCAATGGTGTCCTTGAGGCGGGTAGTGTCGAGAATGGTGCCGCTGCCGAAGACTTGGTTGGCAGGAAGGCCAGAGTACTTGACGGCAAAGTATGTCATGATGTCGACGGGGTTGGTGACCATGATGAGGATGGCATCCTCCTTGAAGGGGGACATCTTCTCGAAGCCCCCACGGATGACGCCGAGGTTGCGCTGCAGTAGGGAGAGACGAGATTCTCCGGCTTTTTGGTTGGTGCCGGCTGTGAAGACAATAATGTCGCACTGACCGCATTCTTTCCAGGTACCTGGACGGACGCGGGGTGAGATTCCAAAGCTGGTGGAATCACGAAGATCTTGAACTTGGGCATCTTGGAAATCCTCCTTGAGATCGAGGATGAGGACCTCGCTGGCGATTTGCTTGTGAATGATGGAGTATGCAACGGCGGCGCCGACCTTGCCAATGCCAATGATGGCAATTCTGGGACCTCGGAAGTCAGACATGATGTGTGTGAATGAGGTTTTTTGGACAAGATGAAGAATGGTTATACAAAGGTGCTAGTTGTCAGCCAGAAAGTGAGGGGGGGCACAATGGTTGAAATAGTATGTCAAAGCAGCACAAAACGTATTACATGAAAGATTGTGTGTGTGCTAGTTCTCACACTAATAGGCATCATATCATCCGCGGCAGCACAACGTGATATTACATACGAACAGCGGGTCTAATGCTTACCTTCCATGCTCTTGGCATTACGAGTGGGTTTGATAACGTGCATCAAAGACTGGAGAGGCTGGATTGTTGTCTAATTCGAACCGGGGACTTACTATCTCTTGGCGTGGAGATTGGTGCGGCATGGGGGAAATTATCCGATAACTCTGCTTGATGCCTTTCTGCAGCCCAAGCAATATATGTACAATCTCAGAGTAAAAAATTCAAACTCTTTCCGGCTACTGTAGATGTGTTCAATGCCCGTAAAAAGTCAAAGACCCAGCACTTTTAAGAATCCAAAGCGCAAGGGTATGTATCTCTTTGGCCAAGCCTGCGCCAGGGTAAGGTGTCTGTCTGTTCGCCACCATGCGGCGAAACAAACCTCCAAATGATTCTCGCCCATCCAGGCATCATTGTTACATCAAGGGGGGTTTGGACTGCAGGAATTAGATGCATCAGGCCATTCGGTCTGATTTTTCACAACTGTTGACGTCTCAAAGGTCGCAGATTAACCCGAGCGACACCCTGCGCTTACACGCCAATACAGTCAGACTTAGTACAGAGCCCCATAACGGGACCTGCACCCCACGTCATCTTGACAAGACGGTTCGTCTTGGCCTGCCAAGTATTATGTAAGTGGTCAGCGCGGCGAACTATGATAAGCGGCTTGGCCCTCTCAAATGCTTAATTATAAGGGTAAGGCTGGCGCATCACCCGTTTCGCTCTTGCCTGCTGCACAAAGTTTGCCTGCCCCGAGCTGCCATCCCGGGGCCGGAGGGCGGATGGCGGAGCCCCGGACGCTGCCATTGGCAAATGTGATTGGCTGTCATGGTCCGGTGCCTTGCATGTCGCATTCCGTCGGACACGGTTCCGGGCGGTTATTGGCTGTTTCGTTCTTTTCGGGACCTGCCTGTGCCCCGACGCTGTAGCCTGTTGTGGTTAAAGTGCCAATGTTGATTGCAGATCAAAACTCTCGCATAACGGTCGCAAATGCGAATCATGTGCATTCAGGGTGGTGCCGTGTGCAACGCACAATTGCATTGTTAAAGCGAAATTCCCCATTTGATCGACTCTGGACACAGCTCATGTAGCCCTCAGTTGCCGTGGTCGCCGCGTTGGCCACAAAACATGGGCAGAACAAATTCCAGCCATGCTGCCTCAAGATCCTTTGGTTGTCGTTTTTTTTTTTTTTTTGTCTTTTTTTCTTTTTTCGAACAGAATAAACTTGAAACATAGTAGCACCCAATGTCCTCCAGTTCTCCATCAAATCACCCCCAGCCAAACTTCAAAGTCATCGCGAGCAGCGTTACATCTTTTACGTGACAGCGAACAAGTGTTCTTAGATGTACAGCCCTAGCGATACCACCACTAGATTCCTCTGGATACATGAGAAGGGCTAGAAACCAATTATGCCAGCTCTGCGGATGGTGGAAGCAGGACCATTTCTGATTCGCCATATGTATACAGGGTATCAAGACGGGCAAGCGTCCTAGCGGATTCTGCAACACGATTGGTCTCACAGTCTTTTGTGGTATAAACCAACATATCAATCTTGCCGCTCGTGTACTGATAATACGAGCGTTCGCGATATTCATCTGCGGCCAACTTTGTACCGCCCTTCCACCCTAGTTCGCGATCGACCGCGCAACCCACCATTGCTATTAGCCCCGTTGCACGCGACACACATGTCAGCTAAAGAATAATACTACGTGGGAGCCTAATAATGTGGCCATATATTACTGAACATTAATTAATGATGATCGCCGCATCTTATTAATTACATCCACTGATTCCTTCTTGTTCCACACTAATCGAACAACCCACAAGCCGCGATCCGCGTTCTTGCTGATTCCCCGACGTGGCTGCTAGTATTTCCGAGATGTTCCGTTCTGAAGTCGAGGGAGCCCCGCATATCCCAGCAGCAGCACAATGCTTCTTATACCTTAGATGCTTCAAGATATGCTGAGTGCCGTGGTGGCGGAAGTCATACGTTGGCTTCCGACGGCTCGGAACTCCATGTGAGTCCTGGCTGTCTGATACGAGCCTGTTGCAAAACACGAGAAACCATTTTTTTTAAAAAAAAAAAAAAAAAAGAGGAAAAGAATGATCTTTTTTTGGCAAAACTGTCATATCATTATTATTAGAGACTACAGCTTTGCAGTCAGATTATTGTCCAAATAACTCCTCATTTCCACCCGTGGCCAGTCTGGGTTTCGCGCTGGGTCGGGGCGCTGGCGGTCCCATGCCCACTTGGCCTGCAGCTCTGCAGATAAATCGCCCTCGAGCATCTGCACGACATACTTGCCCAAAACTGGAAAGAATTTGTAGCCGTGAAAAGACCCGCAAGTCGCTAGATACAAACCCTTGGCGGCGGCGTGTGGCGAGACGATAAAGTCGGAGCTTGTAGTAAAGGCGTCCCTGTGTGAATTGCTGGTGTTAGAATGTATTGGAAATGTTGGTTAGTGGGAAAACATACCAGCAGATGCGATACTTGTCCAGCTTCCAGCTTTTACTGGGCTCTCCGTAAAAGACGTGGCTGGCATGTCGGATATCGTGCTTTAGTTTCTCGGAAACAATCCATTGGTTGTAATCCTCCTGCGGCGGAGGCATGGAGATGAGTCGTCCTGGAGCAACCTCTGTAGTATTTCTAAAGATGGTTTGCCCCCACCACTTCAGCTCACGGTCGGGAGTTGGGGGAAGGCTGCCGATGAAGGGGGCTGAGATCAAGTCAGTAAACAAAGAAGGAGACTAAACCTCTGATTTCCCGACAAATATAACTCACCATAAGTAGAGTACCACTGCACACCAACAGGCATCTTCTCGTGCCTGGCAAAATCGCTGTCATTGAGCGTCGTCATGCCAGTTGTGATGCCGCCCGCGACAATGCGGTTCCCGGCTCTAAGCTCCGACACGCCCGTCTCAGTCGCGGAAAGGTCTAGCAGTTTTGGCGTGTATGCACCCGTGCACAGAACAGTGTGAGATGCAGTCAGGATCTCGCCTGATTTCGTAATGGCACCTGTGCACTCCCCATCCTGTCCCAGCGTCAAGGTCGCAACCTCGGCAACGACATACTCGACGCCAAGCGCAATGGCAGCTCGCGTCACGCTGCGCAGACAGTCGCCCGCGGCCACCCAGCCGCTCGTCTTGTTAACCAAGACATTCTTGACGCCGCTGTAGTCGGCATTCTGAAACACGCCGCCGTGCATCTTGCGGGCCTCGCCGACGGACACGCGGGCCAGGTCGGCCTTTCTGCCGAGGGTCTGGTAGTTGCGAATGACGTCGTCGGCGTAGTCGTCGCGCGCCATCCAAAAGATGCCCGTCTCGTGAAAGTGAGGCTTCCAGAGCGGATCAGAGTTGAAGACGTCTTGCGCCTCCAGGGCGAGCTGGCAGTATACGATGTCGTCGTAGTCGGCCCGGACCACCTTGTTCCAGTCCCACGAGGCTGCGACACGACTGTCGGCGTCGAATGCGTCGCGGTCAACCAGGGTGACGGAGGCATTGGGATACTTTTTGATCAGATGGAGAGCAGTTGAGACGCCAAACACTCCAGCTCCGATTATTATATAGGAATCATTTTTCGAGGCCATTTCTGTGAGCAGTCCGCCTTTCACAATAGGTGTTTTTGGCGTGTAATTCGAATCGCGGGGGGCTGACTTTGAGCACACTGCAATGGTCAACCAAGACTGCCAGTAACTTTTGCAAAGATGTTTAAAATCACCAACGATAGCATCGAGACTGATATGACCCTTTTATCAATGCCTATTGTTTTATTGATATCCATTTCCCCGCCTACGCTGGCCGGTGAAGCCGTAAAGCCGGTCACGTGTAATAGACTTTGCCGTGTACTATCTGGCGATATCGGGCGAGCCAAGAACGGTCGGTGTTCCGGCGGTGTCGCGTCCGAGACTAAAAACAAAAACTCCACGTGGGTGTTTCCCCGCAGGCAGCATCTCGCCTGGAATTACAGTGGGCACGGAATTGGAGATGTGGCCGGAGAACCGCTATCGGAAGTTTAAAGCTGGAAGATGTGGACAGTGACATGCGGAATGATCCAACGTATTGTGCATGGAGCAATGACAGCCGAATTTTGACAACTACTAATAAAATGTGATATTTTATATTGATAGATGAATTTACTGAAATGTACCCAAATTATCAGCTAGGAGGTAAA